TTTCTTGGTAGCGGCGTTCATAGTTAATCTCGACTCGACACCACGCTACACTTTCTTTATGGGTGTTAAAACCTTTCTGAAGTATTTTGGTGTCTTCAAAATTAATCTTGTGTCCTGTTTCTAACGTTATCACTGACTTATTTTCAAGTTTCTTTATATCTACCGAGGATTTTTTAACATTTTTCAAGCATTGTTTGTGTTCCTTCAATATTACATTCAATTGCCTGGATGTTTCTGCAACATAGGTAGCATTACGGTCATGACAGTGAATCGCACACTCAATGTTTTATTGTTCTTCCTTTGCTTACTTGTCCTTAACTTTCACTAATGTCTTGACATTTGCATTGAAAATTCTGACCTTGATGTTTGTTGACAGTTGTTTTGAGTTCCAGATGTTCTTCCATTGTATATATGTTGCTCTTCCTTTGCCGATCCGCGCCCTCACATATGCATCAGATCCACCCTGTTCATCAATGATGCTGCCCAAATATGTAAAGGTTTTTACATCTTCCAAATCTTCTTTAATTGTGATTGGATTGGTGCATTCTGTGTTGTATCGGAGAATCCTGCTTTTCCCTTTGTGTATATTGAGACCTACTGCTGCTACACTGGTCGTCTTCTCCTGCATTTGTTGTTGCGTTTGGGATAGAAGAGCCAGATCATCTGCGAGGTCTAGATCGTCCAACTGCATCCTAGATGTCCACTGCATCCCATGCTTCCCTTCAGATGTTGATGTCTTGATGATCCAGTCGATCGCCAGGAGAAAGAGAAAGGGTGAGAGTAAGCAACCTTGCCTTCACTTCGAACGACTTTGTCAACTGTCCTCCATGCACGATTTTGCAGTGTAATCTATCATGTGAATTCTGTATGATATTGACTCTCTTCTGAGGCACGCCGTAGTGTCGAAGAAGCTTCCATAGTATTGTTCTGTCCACTCTGTCAAATGCTTTTTCGTAGTCAGTGGAGTTGATGTAGAGTGATGAATTCCATTCAATTGATTGTTCCACAATGATTCGTAGAGTTGCAATTTGGTCTGTACACGATCTATCCTTACGGAATCCTGCCTGTTGGTCACGAAGTTGGGCGTCTACGCAGTCCTTCATCCTGTTTAACAATACCCTGTTGAAGACTTTTTTTACCTGAGATCGGTTCTGAAGGGCAGTGGTGTGTTTATGATGAAATTCCTTTATTATTATTATTATTATTATTCAAAGGGTGCCCAGAGTTAACTCTAGGTGGTTATTCATCAAAGACAAAAGGCCTAATCTTTGAACTACTCCTTCACTTATTATTTGTTAACGATTTACCTAGCATTTTAAACTCTCAAACTAGGTCATATGCAAATCCTAAGACAAACGATATAGAAAAGCTTAGGGAAATACCTAAGTTAAATCGACGTACAAAAGTTTCCATATTTTGGGGTGGTCGAAACTAAGTCAACTCCCTAGCCGGAATGTAGTTTATTGAATGTAATAGGAAATCTATCACAATATTGTCCTTTACCAATGGCATGACCATAAACTTGTAACAAACCTTCAATGTTAATGTCTTCTGGAATCCATAAACATAGAAGAGTGGAGTTATTTCACATATTCTGCTTTTTCGTCCTAGCAACCAGCAACGTATGTGCAGTAATGACTGGATGTGCAGTATTTTTTCATCCATATGTGCAATTATGAGTGCTATATTTAGTCTTGGGTTGATCCATTTAATTAATGTTATTTCTTTTAGCAAGTTATCTATCACTTACGCAGATTACGATGTTAATGCATTGTTTTTCTGGTATGATTAATACGTTTCGTTGTCTTCGCTTTGGTCTCCTAACATAAAACTGATAGCGCTTTCTTGAAGCACCTTACAATAAATCAACCAAAATGATATAAACACAACGAAAACAGTCTAGAAGCTCTCAGTTTGCGACATTTGCAGTATAGAATGATAAGGAGTCATATGATCTTGATATGTCTAATCGATCATAATCTCTTTCATCATGGCAGATCACCATTTCATTTCAGCATAAAAGTACACCTTAGAAGACTTCCATTTCGGATGGAACACAAACATGCTTCCAAGAAGATCCATGTAAACGTCTTTTGGTCAGATTCGTCTAACTGTGTATCTGTTCACTAAAAAGGATAATAACGGCACCTCATAAACAACTATTTAAAAGAGGGCTTAATGTCTACTTTGGTTCCCTAGATACCGTGAATGACTGCTCAAGTGCAAAAATCAACAAAAGGATCACTGTAATATACATAAAAGGCATATCAGGAACTACAACTAGACTTCTGAAAACCTTTGAAATAGGTCTTACACACAAATCAACAAAATCACTACAATCAATCCTGTGCAAACCAAAGGATGAAATGACGAAAGAAGACAACCCAAAATAAATTGTGCCAACCGCAAAAATCTATATCAGACAAAGCGAACGCCCTCTTCATCTTCGCCCGCATGAACATCAATTTGCAGTCAGACGCTCTGACATGTCTTCACTTATATCAAGGCACGTGGACAACTGCAGACACATTTGACCAGAAAAATGTGGACATTTTGGATAAAAACAATCCTAACAATACTAGAGAACTTTCAGAAGCTTGTCACTCAGGTTATTCAGCAATCAACAAGCACATTCAAGTTGTTCGATTTTATCAACCAGCCAGGAAAATTATGGACAAACATAGGAACAAAAATCTAACCAATGGGAGATACAACCAAGATAAAGAAGTAAACAATGACAGGTTTAGGATCAACAAGAACCAGTCACCATCGTGGTCTACAGGACAAGCTGTGAACGCATGTGGAGAAATGCAAACACTTCAGGTCCACCTAATGTTTATGCTAATTATGTCATACAGAAGAACGATGTAAGCTCCACGACCAGACAATTGAGCTCAAAGGACAAAACTCCATCAAAAGCCGAATTCACTGTGTCCTATATATCGTTACCGCAAGATACTACGTTTCCATTTTAAGACTGAAAACCACTGAACTAATCACCACTTACATATTTGTTGATTTATGGCTGTTTGGACTTCTCTTGAAGTTATTTTCTGCAGGTTCCACGATTTGGCAGAGTATATCAGCAGAACGTTGTCCATGCCTTATCATTCACACTTCGTACAGCCGTACAACGTTTAAATGATATATCCAGAAACCATCGTCTAATTTTCAACACTTTTCAACAGTGACATGGTCTTAGTCGATTATTCACTGATCCTTGGGTCACCGCGATCACAAATGAACCTGAAACTATTTTTGTATGGAATCTCAAGTAGGTTTTACCCAAAAAGATCAGATTTAAATTTTACTGTAGACTTAGAGGATGGAATGAGCTATGGTCATTTACCAAACATTCCGATTTACTGCGTAAGTCAAGTATTCTGACTCTTAGTCACTGAACTGAAAACTGTAGGAATCTAAGGAATTATGATGGTACGTCCAGAACTTTTGTAGGCGTGCGCTGCATAGGATCACGTACTAAAAGTCACGAAGACATTTCTGACACAACTGTGGCACACCTTGACGTTTTCTGTTAGTTACCGATTTCTGTCAGAATTTGGGTTTTCAAAATCCAGCAAGGCACATTTTACTCAGTTCAGTGAAGCCTCATTATATATACCTCCATAAATCAGTCACAACTTTGAGGCTGTGTGGTTCAACAAATCTTGCTTTAATGTTTGATAACAACATCAGGAAACTTGAATTTGTGACGGTTAGCAAATCCTCAAAATAAGTAGTTCTGTATGTCCTTGATATTGATGCTGAAGGCGCTTGGGTATGCATCCGCGCCAGATCACGAGTGGGGTACTCCATGCTACACATCCTTTGCAACAACTCATTAGCTCAGATCAAGCGTTCCTCGATATATCTATAGCCTTCTAAATATATGTCCGAACCCCTTCCTTTCTGACTTGTGATATAACTGGGTTGTTATACTTCGATTACAAAGGTGTTACAAGCAAAAATTTTGTCAAGCTCTGAATATTTATGGTATCCTCAAGTGTTATGATATCATAGGATTGGTGAGCAAGCTCCAAAATTTTGCTGAAGATCTTGTTTGCATACATAGTTTATTTGCAATCTTACACTTAACTGTAATATATGACCAAGTAATTCCGAATGTTGTGTTAGAGAATCATATCACTACACAAAAAATCAAAACAATGTTATTTAATGTAATGAACTATAAAGACCTATGAGTCACAATTGACAGGGACTTTTCAACTAAGAGTGATTGCAAGGCTGCTACTACCAGTGGCTTCAGAGTCCTATGTGGATTCCATAAATCACTTCATTATGTGGATGAAGAAATGTTTAGGATATCATATTCAAATGTTGTGAATTCGGGATTCAAGCGGCAAGTCCTTACTTCAAGTGTGAAAGGGACATGCGTGGATGAGTTCAGTAGCGTGGAACCAAAATGGTGAGTGGCCTTTCTGATCTATCTTATGACAATAGACTGAGATACTTAAATCTACTTTCGTTATCTTACCACAAGTTACGGGATGATTTATTGCTAGCTTTGCGTAGCTTAAACAGTGATTTTGGTATTAACATGTCCTATGTTTCCTTTCCATACAATACAGATAATCTGAAAGGACACTTTAAAAAGTTCAAAGGTCGAGAGCAAATCTTTAACGTCTGGAGTACCGTTTTTCCCATCGTGTAGTGAATTTTCTGACAGAATGTGTAATATCAAGACCTTCTGTTGAATCTTCACAGTACTACAAGTTGCAGGGACCTCCTATAATTACTCCTGAAAGTTGAAAATAATTTGTCAAATATGGTTGCTGAATAGTCACAGTGCTATTATAGTTAGTTTCACAACGAACTAAGTTTGAAATTATATTGAAAAGACTAATTAGACGACAGGAAGGTCACCGAGAGTCCTAACGTAACTAATTCACCTGTTTTTTCAACCACAGATGTTGAGCATCTATTTGAAGGTCACTTGAAGGGTCGAAACAAAAAGGCGGTAGTTGTAAACATTCCGAAGAATGAGTATATCTCTTCTTTTCGACGAGGAAGCGTATGAGAAGGTTTCTGAAGTTAAAAAACCAATATTTGTATTTGACTGGCTGTGTTCACTGGAAAAACGATTAGTGGCAGAAAATAGACAGGCTATCAAGGAATGCCAAGAAGATCTTGTGCAACAACTGTTGTCTCACCTGACGCATGCTCCTGGACGTCCAACACACAAGCTTTTGGGCCGTTGTTTCGCCAACCTATTTTTAGTGGGAGACTCGCTTTTGCTTTATACAGCAGTGAACACATGTAACGCGCTTCTAAAATCCCGAGATGATGGACTTGCTTGCATCAATAGTCGTCTAGCCGCATTAAGCTGCCTCGGAGCCATATACAAACGCCTTGGACGTATGATAGGTCGGTCTTTTGAAGACAGCGTTATCATAATGGTGAAGTTGATCAAACAGGTAATGTAAAAATTCATTTTATTAATTTTCACTGTCAATCTATTTTCTTCTTTATTTCACACATAGCAATTCTGCCAAAATTCTGAAATTCGCCACTTGTTCTTTACAGGGTGTTCGTATGATAAGACCTGAAGTGTATAGTTCTCTTTCAGTTTGTAACTACAGGATTCATAACATTCTATTTCTGTATTGTGGTTTAGCTGTTTGATCACCTAGCTTTCAGTCATTGGATTTGAAAACTTTCCTATCTGGTTCTTAGCACTCAGTTAGTATACTTAGTCATCACACTCCACATTAGCACCAGAAACGTTTTTAATTCACCATACAAGCCATTTTGTTCTCCGAATTCTTGTTAGATATTAGATGACTGGATCTTGAATTTGTAGACTATCCTAGCCAACCAGGGCTCTAGGTTGACTAGCGAAATACTGTTGTTTACATCCCTATAGTGCATTTATTGTTGCCCTATTCTGTCAGAAATTTCCGTTTTACGAATAAAACAACTTCAAACCATCATCTCTAAATAATTTAAATCTAAAATTCTGGGATTATTAGTTACAATTAGAAAAATCATTAGAAGGTAAGCCACTTTTAGAGCTTGCGGTTGAACCTTAATTACACTTCACGTACATCCGTTTACATCCAGCAAATGAGTGAAAATACTCGTCTTTTTGTAATCGAGTTTGAATAGACAGGATGGGATAAATGGTTTTAAAACTAAACTCATTATATTCTTTAAAGTAATTAGCAACAAGAGTGAGCGATAAAAATCAGGCATTTTGAGAAAAGTTCTCTGATAGTTTCTAATCTAACTTAAAAAATCAATTTAGGCATAGTTTAACAAATACAGTGTTTCATTCTAAAATCATATGACCAAAAACTACATTTGAAGCCTGAAGATCTTTTGTTAATCTTTTACTATCAACACTGACTATTCATTTTTTTCCGAGCTAAAAAAGAACTACAAGTTCATTCCACAACAAAGCGCAAGGCTTTGGTAGTGTGTATGTTCGATTATTTTCAAAGTTGGAGTTATTTAAAACTGTTGACTTCGGAAATAGTTCCTTCACACTTGTTAATCGAAACTTTTCCGTTAAGTTCTCTTTTTATGAAGAACCAATAACTAGAGAGGTAGTTATCTAATTAAAAAATTTAGTTGCAAATCAACTTTAGCCATCACTACAGCTCTGTTGATGTTGCTGTCTAATTTTCATGCATTTGTTTCTCTTCTGTAAATTGGGACCGCAGAAATATTTTACAAGATACGTTGGAAGGGTTTTTTCATTACATTTATTTAAATTAACCACTGGAGTATAAAGACTAACCTCAAAATTGTGTACGATTCATCTTACAACGAATCTATTCGTGATGACTGTTATCATTTGTACACCGTAGTTCAATTATCCGGTTTCTTATGTAATATCTAAACACCATACGGTATGCAAAGTTCTTCAGTATTTTAGTAGGACCATCTTAAATAAACATTAGGGAATGGTATTCATAGATGTTATTATATTAAGCATAGTTCTGTAAAAGTATTTCATAAGCTATAATTAATTTCCTGCTATTCGCATTCCTGGCATCTGAGTCGTCCTTTACATTCCATTTTACCAGGTTATGAATATGGTTCATTCTACTAAGATTGTCAGTATCCAACTAAATGATTAGAATAACGTATGCTAACAATCTGGGCTACGCTGCTAATTACCAGACAGTTTCCGATGTGTGGTTTGTTGGGTAATTTGCCACTTTTAGATTGTAAACCTTCAGAATTACTGATGATTATGGAGCGAATTTCCGAGTCGTAAAACTGTTAAGATCATTTCTTGTATTAGCGATAAAAAGCTGACTTCTAAAATCCTTAACAATGAATTCCAGTCAGTCGGTCAGTAACAACGTAGAACTTCGTACGTACGTACATCAGTTCGAGTTGCCACACCACATTAGCACAGAGATGCAGTTGTCGATTCAAATCCCGTAGTGGTAGAGGTAATAAGAGTATAAGCAGTAATCGGGAAGATTAGGGTTTGGAGATGTTATTTAAAGAGTATAATCCAGTGAAATAAATTTGGAAAGAGGAAAAAAGGGACATGAAGGATTCAGAAGATTAGAATTTGGGAGAACACAGAGAGTGGATGCACCTGCGCCATTGCAAACGATTTTGAACCATCGGTTGCTATCATCTCGCGGTCCCCAACCAGGTAGTCTACACCTACCAACATGACTCAGTTCACTTGTCAGTGACTTCATGGACTTGTGCCATGTTTTGGTTTGGCCGCCCCTAGCTTTCTTCCAACCTACTCCTATACCACTGAACATAGCACGTCGAGGCAGTCGGTCGTTGGGCATACGTAACACGTGTCCCAGCCATCTCAACTGATGAAGTTTCACTACTTCATCAATTGATTTGCCATCCTTACCTAGTACCCGTTTCCTAACAACTGTGTTACTTACTCGATGGTCCCATGATATACGAGCAATGTTTCGAAGACACCTATGATCAAATACTAGTAACCTACGGATATCCTCTACTCTTACCGGCCATGTTTCACTGCCATAAAGTAGGACGGAACGAACTGCTGCGCAGTAAACCCGTCCTTTGGTTGATAGACGGATATCTCGCCTACGCCATAAATGACGCAAGTTGGCAAAAGCTAGTCGAGCCTTCTGTATCCGTGCTGAGATTTCGTCACACACCAAACCACAAGGGCTGATGAGACTTCCAAGATAAGTGAAGCGGTCGACACACTCAACTACTTCACTCCCTATCACTAGTTCGGGTGTCGATGTAACCCAATCCTGAAGCAACATTTTGCATTTCGAGGGAGAGAATCGCATCCCGAACATGCTTGCATTGTTGCTTAGAGTGGTCAGAAGACTCTGCATTTTGTCAGCGTCTTCACCAAATAAAACTATGTCATCAGCATATTCTAAGTCAACAAGTGAACCTCCCGGTAGAAGTTCAACCCCTGGAAATTTAGATGAGGAGAGTGTTATCTCTAAAAGTACGTCGACCACAAAGTTGAACAAGAATGGGGAGAGTGGACAGCCCTGACGAACACCACTTGAGGTAATCAATTCTGATGACAGTTCGCCATAAGCTCTCACTCTACCAGTTGTGTTCGAGTAGAGAGCCTTTATAAGGTTAATGTACTTCTTTGGTACTCCTTTCAGTGACAAACACTGCCATAGAACCTCACGATCAACAGAGTCGAATGCCGCCTTAAGGTCGAGAAATACTACCATTGTGGGGCGTCTGAATGTGTGTCTGTGTTCTAGAACCTGACGTAGTGTGAATATCTGATCTATACAACCACGTCCAGGTCGAAAACCAGCCTGGTTTTCTCTAGTCTGCTCTTCACGAGCTTTGTTAGGCGTCGAAGTATTATTGAAGCTAATATTTTAGACACTATATTAGTCAAACTGATTCCTCTGTGATTGTCACAAGAGGACTTTTGTCCTTTCTTATAGACTGGCACAATCAGTGATTGAGACCAGTCAGATGGGATTACGTCCAGTTCCCAAATTCTACCTAAGACCTCAGTTAATCTCATTGCTAATACTGGACCACCATCCTTAAAAATCTCAGGAGTAAACCTGTCAGGGCCTGCTGCTCTCCCTCGTTTCAGATTTCCTATGGCTTTTTCAACTTCGTAAAGGGACGGAGGACCTACATTAACTTGCCATTCAGGTTGACTAGAGATCGTGGGAAACCGAAGTGTGGCTGAAGGCCAGTTGAACTGATCCCTAAAGTGTTCTGCCCATCGATCCAATCTCCTGGATTGAGAATGAATAATATGTCCATCTTTCTCTGAGATTGTTTCGCTAACGGTCGGGTTCCTAATTCCGGTTTCCTTAACGAGTCTGAACAATTGTCTGCTATTACCTATTGCCGCTGCCTTTTCCATCTCTCTTGCTTTCGCTACCCACCACTGTTCGCGATCATTGCGTAGACTTCTTGTCAGCTTGCGCTTAAGCTGACTCCGCTCTTCATTATGTTCAGAGCCAGGTGGAATGAGTTTCCGAGCATCTATCAGTGCGATAGATGCTGCTGAGATCCAGTGTTGCTCCCTAACCTTCTGGTTTACCTTACTAGCAGATATCACTGCTGTTTCCACAGCTTTTCGGATATCATTCCATGCTGCATCGGGGTGGGCATCACATACATGGCTGCCTAACTGTTTTCCTAGTTGTTCCTGAAATATACTCTTAGCTTGACTATCATTAAGTAGGCCCTAAGAGGTTTCCTTGCAGCGTCTTTCCTACGTCCAGTAAGACGCAAGCAAATACGCGCTCGCACTAGAGCATGATCTGAATCTAGGCATGTGCTCCAGAATGAGCGACAGTCTTCTATCGAGCCCCTCCATCGGTGGCTGATAGCGATGTGATCTATTTGGGTCCAACGTTGGGACGAATTAGGGGGTCGCCATGTTAAAAGATGTTTTTCCTTATGCTTAAAGTTAGTATTTGCAAGGAACAGGCGGTTATCTGAGCATAGCTGCAACAGACGGTCGCCATTATCTGTTCTTTGAGCCACGACACCATAAGATCCACCTAGGTGTCTTTCCCTATCGCTTAGTTTACCTACTTGAGCATTAAAGTCACCGGCCACTATTACTACATCCGAGCGCCTAGCTTTTCGGAGAAGGTCCGAAAGCTTTCTGTAAAACTCATCTTTTACATCATCTGAGCTGCAGTCAGTGGGAGAATAGGCAGAGACGACGAAGAGGCAACGACGAGTGTCCCTATCTTTCCGGATTCTTACTGTTCCGTTCAGTCGGACAGCGCACAAACGACTGTCTACTGGGATCCACTCTAAGAGAGCTAGTTCTGCCCTAGGACTCAATGCTATACCTACGCCGGCGAGGCCACGGGAAGCAGAATCAGGGCTTCCAGATACACGAAGCGTAAATCGAGTCGGTTCTTTATTTTGGCATGGTGAGGTCAAATGAATGACGCTACTTGGATCCTGTATGCGCGTTTCGGAGACGCAGCACACATCGATGGCGCGAGATTCTAAAGTTTTAGCTAAGGAAGCCTGCTGTCCTATTTGGCAAAGTGTTCGTACGTTAAAAGCTCCTACGTGTAGTTTAGAGCGTGGTTTCAGGAGACCAGGAATGGCGTTCCACGTACTCGAATCGTTTGCCCTAGCGGTGCGAGGTGATAAAGAGACGTGAGGAGGGTTAGTCATGGAGATAAGAGAGGTATTAGGAGGTGTAGGAAGGATTTGAATGTGACCACCTTGGTCTCTTGTGCTGTTACGGGTATGAGGGCTGATGTCACTTCCCGGCTGCCCACACCGTGGAAGGGTATTTCTTGAGGAACCTGAAAAGGAAATTGGATTAGTGTTGGTCTTGACGACCTGGGAGCGTGACCGCAGAGCCCAAGGGACAACTGCTTGAGGCCGGTCGCGCACGGCCTTTTTGTGGAAGGTTTTTGACGTGTTAGCTCCGTTCTTCAAAGGGCCTTACCGCCGGAGACGGAAATCCGTGAGGTAAGGTGAGGTGTGACATTTTTAGGGTCGACCTTTTCTAACCCCACCCCTCCTTGTGGGAAGGCAGCATCGCTGTCATGCTGGTTGTCCGAAGGAAACACCTTACTGCTGTCACACCCCTCTACAGTCAGCAGTACGACTTCGCCCTCAGACCTTGAGTTGCTGCTTTTAGTCTTACCGTTCACCAATCGACCTGCCTGGCATGGTAGAACCTACAGGAACATATGTTCCAGCCAATATAGCTCGGTTGGGTCATCACGATAGGCAAGCCCGACCACCGCGTCAAGGTAGCAGCTTCTTAATCTGCACATTTCTTGTTATACTATTGTTCGAAGTATCTTTTATTATGGATAAAATCTTAAGTAGTTCATATTTTATTCTTGCTAATATACAGTTAGTTCATTGCAAAGAATATATAATTTAATTTGTAACTTCTTTTTTCTTCAGTCTGAGTCACTAGTTCGATGTGAAATTATGAACACATTGTGCAGTTGGTTGAAGGTGTTGGTTCAGCCAGTATTGTGTGTCACAAAGAAATATATAAAGCGGTGAAAATCTGCATGACGGATCGAGTACTCTATGTGCGTGTTGCTGCGGTGAAAGTGAGTCAACTAACCATTGATGTATGTTCCGTATTCGACACAAATGTCAAAATTATTATATTTTTACTTTGGTTTTCTTGTCCAATATCGAATTATTACTACATATTAGTTATATGCTGTGGAAAAATATGTACAAAGTATTTGAACGTAGATACTTTGTGTACGATACTGTCATAAGTTTTAAACTATATATGTATCGTGAATTTTTATTAACGAGTATTTCCATCCATCTCATTAAGCATATGGTTGGAGCTTGCAATAAACTTTAAAGGTTTGATGCGTTAATCTGACTTATTTCAGCACAATAAATGTCATAATTTTACAAGTCAAAGTTCTTCAAAGTACAACTCATCTTATAAGTGCCGTTTTTAGAGGCAACATTTGACTTGTAATAATTTTTCATTAGTAAATGTTCTCCTCGCATAGTAGTCAGTTTTAAAGATTAAAAAAACATTATATGGTTGGTTAGTATCATTAAATGTCCAGCAGAATTTATCACCTTTGTCACTTACTGCTATTGAGTGTGTAACAGAAACGTGTCACTTGGAGTGTTGATCACTTGCAAAAAAGAACTGTAGTGAATATTGGTAGGGCAGAAGGGAAAACTGAAGAACGTAAATTACAGAATCAATACTGTTTATGAAAACAGCCTTGTTCTGTAAATCTTATGACTGTTGCAGGTGATACTTTCGATAGACGTTATTGAATATTATATCTGCAATTTCATCTCTCAAATATCTCATGGATTTTTACTTCATTTCTCATCTTTCATGATATCTGTCTACAGTTTCCAAACCGTCTATTGCGTACTACTTACTCATTCAGTTTGTTATTTCCTTAACCTTAGTGTCTTTACTTCCTGGTTGACCATTCTCATTCAATTCATACCAACGCATTAGAAGCTACTGTAAGTTTGTGTTTGCGATGTATGGATGGATCCAATTATGCAACTCGACTTGAGACCGCACATACTTTGGGTCATTTGTTAGCAAAAACTCAGCGTAAAAGGGTTGCAGATACAGGATCTGATGCATCCAGCAGTGGAACAGTTGGGACGTCTAGTAAGTTGTTCATGTAGCGTTTTTCCTGTTCTTTATGTTAAGAAAATTAATGAAATTATTTTTTCATAATTTCATGCCAGTTTTTTCTTCCAATTTGTCCAAAAAAGTTATTTCATGGAATTTCCTATTCGTAATATGAACATTTTCTCAATGCTACTGGGGTTTAACCTAAAGTTGAAAAACCTTTTACGAAAAACCATTTTTTTCGTAAAGTTGTAATACATTTATTTATAAAACCAACTTTAATCCACTGAGATGCAGTAGGAACGCAATTGCATTGAGAACGTCCTTAGGTTTCTGGGTACTACCTTTAATCCTGATGTAGTAAAAGTGGCTTAAGACCTATTACGTAGTCACTTGGCCGAATGTATACAGTTATATTTTTGCACATACATATGCACACAACACTTAAATAAAAATTCAGTATTTCTGGTAGTAAATTGAATATATTGTGTAAATCAATCATTTTTAATGTTTTGGTCAAACCGTACAGATGTTTAATTCCTTGACAATTCGATGTCCTCACAATTTGTTTTAATATATCAGGTAGATAGGACCGTAGATGAAATTTATAGTTGATTACTTTATGTCGTTCGTACCGGTTAAAAAAACGTTATGTTTATCAGTAAGTCAAAGGACGCATCAAACTGTCCAAATACTAGTGTTTTCCGACAATTTAACAATATTACGCTTGTTTCATGTTTTTTGATCTATGGTGATAGTGATTTATTTATCTGTTTACCAAATGGCAGGGGTATTGGGTACCAGTTCATTTTGTTCTGACCTACAGGTGTGTGTGACATAACTGTTAGAGTTAGATAGGTAGGCATAGGTTACATATACTTTGTGGGACTGTTGCCAGCATTAAATGAAACTAAAATTAGTGTGGCAAAAATTCAAGGTCGTTCAATTTGATGCGAGTTCAGGAAGTCACTAACTGTCGGTTTTGGTCTTCCAAGGACGTTTAAATTTCCTTACCTCAAGTCAAGTCTTTATATTTGGATACATGCATTTATTCCACTTTCTTGTGGAGATACTTCACAAACAGTGTTCGTCATATTTTCAATTGTTTTGCTTTTTTTCATAATATGTGGTAATAAAACAGGTTCTGAAAATAGTATCTATTTGTACATCTCAGTAGGCTTGGTGAATACTCCTCACTTTAAAAGGTAAAATCTAAGTTTACAAAATTAAGGTTAATTTAATACTCCACATATTGACTATACTTGATGGATGTATGTATTGACAGTTATACGCCTACGATAACTATATTGGTTTGTAGACCAGTGGAACAAGTTCTCGTAAACTATAGAATTAATAAACTATGTAGGTGAATTTATTTTTGTTTTATTCTTTAGTTTGTTTTAATCTATGCTTATTTTGTTTGCTTATCCACTTTCTAGCATTGACTGGGGTAAAATTGTATATGTAGTAATTTTGTCGATGAAGTAACCGCGAATTAAATATGGTTAATTTTTCAGATACTACTATTCTTTTATAATAGATTTATTGTCGTCAAATCAGGCATTGTTATATGGTGTGTGCTACTTATATCGACATAAGTAGTATAGGTTGTTAGTCAGGAACAGAATGTCTGGCAGCAGAGAGACAAGAGGATCGAACAGTAAAGAATGGGAACAGAATGCAATTTGTATGAAAATGCAAGAACAATGAGGTCTGAGTCATTATGAAACAATTGATAGACATTTTTCAGATTACGTATTTACTATTTGATTGTTAGATTTTATTAACAAGTCCTGTAAACGTGTCAAATACATTCGATTGTCCCCGCTGGTGTTCGTGTTCACTACAGTTATACTGGATTAATACTTTTTAATGATGCACTATAATTCATACATTGTAGACCCGATAAATCATGCAAGACTCAAAGCAAACTCGTCAGTTCTTTTTGAACTTCTGCCTTTGATATAAATATTTTTTTTAAAGAAACGTACGTAAAATGCAATACAAACACTTTCAAATGTTACTTGATAGTATTAATTATGTCTATCTGATTTTTAGTGTTGTGTATTAGCGTCCGTTTTCATATTACTTTTTTTTGTTATCGCTATGTGATGCTCATATTTTAGCTTTATTATTGATAATTATGAAGTATTTATATGGCTGTTGTGTTTGTCTTTCTTTCTTTGCAGATAATTCGCGGAGTAAACCTATCTCACTTACAGATGCATTGTCATTATTGTCGTCAGGATTTTTGAAAGGTCCAGGTGGGTTTTTAAAAGGTACCAGTGCTACTGATATGATTAAAGGAACTAGTCCAGTTAATCGAGAAGTTCGTGTTGGTGTAACGTATGTAAGTATATAAAGCATGGTGTTAATATAATTATTTGTGTGAAAAGTTTTTTTTTGTTAAAAACTTATCTAATTAAACTATTTCATAGATAATGAGATGAGTAATGTTGAAGTTAAATGTAAAGTACTGGATAAATTTGACAAATTGGTCGATGTGGCTGTGGAATTTTGACGACTGGGATAGCTTTGATGCATTTTAAGTATGCTCTTTCAATAGTTTCTAACATATGAGTAATTATAAAGAGAACTAAGAGCTGTCGAACAGTGCTATGGAGTTAGTCCGTGAAATCATTGTTTTTTTTACCAAGTCATGTTGAGAGATGCAAACATCTTGGTTATGGTTCTCTAGGTAATCCAAATCAGTTACAGTGACGAAGGTAATGAGTACTAAATATCGTGGAAATCTATTTGTAGGTCGATGTGTATTTATGCCATACTCCTTGACTGATCAATTTTCGACAGTAACGTACAAAGCAGCAACTCCACACATAGTTATGCATTAATTTACAAACCATAACTGTCTTTATGTCTATGAGTTACAATGCTATCTCATGACCTACAGCTCGCTTAAGACAGAACTGAATTTGAACTTGTGAAGCAATAAACATAAGTAAAGTACTGAAAACACTTATCACCCACGATTTGATTTATCGGTTCAGTTATTTATTTATTATATTTATTTGAACACATAAACGTTGGTACAAGAGGACACCAAATACATATGCTCCACACAATAACAATAAGGCCAGTGGTAGTCACTATTGATTTATGTGAGGGCTTTGATATCGCCTGGGTGCCGAGACCGAAGTAGGTGGTTGTCTTAAATGGTCACTACCTAACTATTTGATCTAGAGGTCTAATCCACAAGGCAGTGGAGCCACCGTTAGGAGGTGCAGTCCCATGGTCGCCGGTGACCAACAATAGATTCCCACTCCATTTGTTTCCTCAGGATCCTGCAGCTCATGTGCACCATTGGTTCGGAATCAGTGTTTTCCAACTCCCCTAAGTGGATTCCTCCTGTACGCCAACCCGGTTAAAGGGCCAAATAGTCGCTTTTCGTCCTCTCAATTTCATAAACAACACCCCACCACGAGAAGGCAGTGAGTAGGACTTCCCTAACAATGGCTGTATACACGTGGCCATTTGAGAGCATTTCGAGAAGATCAGTGAACTCTCCTCACTCTCGACCTTAGTTGTCTTACAGTGAATGTTTTTTTATATTTTAATTATTATCACCGTTTCCAAAAATACCTCAATTCGTTAGTGTGGTCATCTTTTCATGGATTCAATGAATTGTACATGAGTTCGAATTCAGTTAGTTCTCCATATAACTATCGTTATCAAGTGCTTGTTGCACAAGTTAGTGGCTACCTAGACTCAATAGCTTAGCGGATAATGCGATTGGAGTTTTGTGTGAAGGGCATCAGGTCCGAGTCCAGATGTAAACACCCGTCCAGTTGACGAGTCCCCCACAGGACGAAATTCTATTGCTAGCCACTACCCAAGTTTAATAATGATTGATATATATCTACAATAATAGGCATTGGGAATTAATGTATTTTCTCCCTTCTTTCTTTTGTTTTTCAACCACTACTGAATAAACGTCAATTAGCGTTGATTAAAATGACCATTAAAATGATTTACACTTCGTTGATGTGTTAATTAGTCAATTTGCTTTTATTTTATTTGCAGGCTTACATTGAATTTATTGTTGAAATGGGGCCGTTATGGTTTGAAACTAATTTGTCAACTATACTGACACATTTAATGAATCTTTTATTAGTTCCACGTGCTACACCAACACATGTCGAGGCTATATATGCACGTCAATGTATACAATATCTATTGGGTACTGTATTTCGACACTTATTGTCTGAATCAATTCAATTAGTTGCGATTAGTGAATTGATAAAGATATTAGTATATCATTTACAATATTTACAAAATCTTCATGTGAATGAATATTCAATGAACGACGGTGATGTGTTTCAACAGATATTCTCTTCATCCTCTTCTTCCGTAACACCTACTCTTAATAATAATGGTAATACAAACGAACCATCAGATTCGTTACCGAATGATATTTTCAGTGAGACTGGTATCAACGTAACACATGGGGATAATCAGGCAACTAGTAATGTACATAATTTGGATAGTGTTGTGGAACCGGATAGTGGAAGAGTGAGACGTGGAATTGGGCGTCAAGCAGCAACAGCGACAATAACCACAACAGCTACTACGGGTGGTAGCAGTTCCCGTTCGAATCGGGAACAACAACATCAGCACTTAGTTATTTGTGTGTTAGATATAATTAGTCAACTAATTCGTTGGTTAGATTCACTAGTTGGTAAGCACTTTTATCTACAATTTTATTCTGTAAACATTTATTTTATTAGATTAGTCGAATGATGTATTTTAAGTTCTTGTTTTATTCTATTCTATTTTATTTTTATTCAGCTCATTTACTATGTACAAATTAGTATACCTGGTTCTTGGCAGCTCTCTAAGCTACCCATACTGTTGTAGGTGGAGTGGGGTTCGAACATACGATTGTGGTTGGAAGTCAACGCCTTAACTATTAAGCCAACATTACACTTTCATCTGGATCCCACCTTTGCAAACTTTTGTTCATGAACTTTGGCTTTTGTCATTCAGGAATTTATTCATGCTTGGTTTTTGTTGATCAATTAATTTCCTAACCAATAATCCTTTGAGATATTTATGTACCCGTTTTCAAGTAGCACTAGGAAATACTGTCCGATTTCATAAATCACTGTTAAGCGGAGGAAGATGTGAATTTTATGATCTATTGGCTGGAGCTAGATTTTAGACCCATTCAGTTACAGCTTTTTTTAATCTATAGTTTTTAATTGAAATTTTATAAATATTGGTTGTTTGAATCTTCCATTCGACGCTTAGGACTGCAGCTGACCAGTCTCCTTTGGGATACGTACATCTTGTGCGCATTACCTCGACATTGCTACTAAGTCACAAGCACTTTTAAGTATAGATGGATGGTGGTTAGTAGTTGAATCCAGGATACGCGTCCCGTCCTTTGTAGGACTCATCAGTTGAATGCATATACACTTTAGTATGAGTATTCACCTCTGGACTCGAACCCAGTACCGGTCGCTCCAAACTCCAATCGTATTATCCACTGAGCTACTGAGCCACTAGCTTGTGCAAAATTCACTGCATTACACAAGCTATTACACAGCCTATCTGGGCTCAGTAGCTCAGTGGATAATACGATTGGAGTTTGAAGCGACCGGTAATGGTTTCGAGTTCAAATGTGAATACTCATACTAAGGTGTATATGCATCCAATTGATGAGTCCCACCATCCATCCCCACCTGAAAGGTTAGAATTTATTTCCCTCATTTCCATCTAGAATATCGACCTATGTTACTTGCCTGTAGGTGTTAAATTTCTTCAAAAAAATACAATAAAGTTCTTATTAATTTCTGATTCTTAAGTAGTTGTTAATGTGATATCAAGTGTAGGATTTTTCTGTTCATTCACAGTTTTACATTAATTCATTTTTTTCAAATTTTAGTTCAACTTTTGGATCAACCCACTCAACTAACTGATGTACTATGCACATGTTTATCACATCCAGTACAGGCAGTTCGTTTGGCAGCTGCATCGTGTTTAAGGCAGTTAGTAATTGTTGTACCAAGCCAGCGCATCCCTTTATTAAATAAATGTTTACATTGTTTGCAACAATCTCATAGATATAGTGCTGAAACACTTTTAGGCGTTACTTTTGGCATAACTGGACTTCTAGCTGGGGTTAATTATTCTATTCTTGGTTTGCCGAATAATGTACCAGATCAAGTTAGTTTATCGTCATTTTATATATGTGAATTTTGTTTTGTTTATTCGATTGGTCTACTGATGGACAGTAAACTTGCTGTTTTCAAATAATATTTGGTGTTAGATTGATAATTTCGACCTTAATATGATAATAGTCAAAAATGAATTTATCACACTAACTTAGTGGGACTATATTGCTTTTAATAAGAAACTGGTATTCTAAAATGGCTTTTTGGTTTTACACTGTTAATAAGCACACTTCCAAAACAAGGGGACATATATTGTGCTATTGAACGTACGAACTATTTTGTATGGATACGAAGCACTTTCTCGATTGTAGTTTGTGAGAAACATGCATGCAATAATTCATTTCATTGGTATAAATGATCATAAATACCCCCTATGATTACAGAAGTCCCAGTTCTGTAGGAACGGAGTAAGTGAGATAATAACTTAATTAACCACAAAGAACATTCGCAAGTCGTTCTCAATAGAGCAAAAGAACTGACAGCGATTTTTCGTTCATACTTATAGGTTCTCCTTTCGGTAGAATTCGCCTTTCCCTTCCAGTGCATGTACTACTACTATAAATATAACTGAACAGGTAAACACGGCAAAATGGTAACTAGAGGAGAACTGTTGATGTTAGACTTTACTGACAGAATTTTACGGGAATGTTAATTTATCAAACAAGTGCAATAGTCTCTTATTAGTTGATTCATATAAGAGCTTATTGAATCCTCTTTAAATAAAAGCTTAACAAGTACATTCTTTTAAAGCAGTAATTAATATTAACATTTCATTTTTTAACTTAGTGTTTACTTACAAGGTGGTCATCGTATATTAAAGTTCTATTATTTTACACCTAATTAACACACTTAACTTTAAAGTATACTTTGTTCTTTTTAAAGTGTTTTTAGCTTAACTTCCTCAGTAAGGTATTAGGCAAAGACTGTTTGAAATGGGTGTATTGACCAATTAAAAATGTAAGCTAAGCTTAATTTAATTTCATATCTTAGATATGAAGATGAATGTGTGATATGTTAGTGGTGACTTTATTATAGGTGATTAAAAATAATATACAAACAAGCTCTTAAATTATTTGAAATCATCTTCATCTAAATACAAAATTCGATGATAGTGAATTAATTAATGAACAGAATATATCTCTTCAATGTGAGCATCTGAAATTACAGACTTGCAAATTTTTCAGTGAGACTCTAATTTATGGACGACTTTTGGTAACGCTAAAGTGGTCTTGAGAATGTCTACCTACTTACTACGATTAAATAAGGGTTTAAAATCAGTGTGAGGAATTAGGATTAGTATTTACATTTGGATGTTAGGGTTAGGAATTGGATTTACGGTTTTCAGCTATGATGTCAAGTGATATTTAACCCGAAGGATGAATGATTTTTCGCGCCAAAATCCAAGACCTACCATCTTTAATCTGATTGGTTCGTCCACAAGTTATAGTCTCGCCACTTTTTCATCGATCAAGTTAGCGTCATTTGCTCTTAATGGTAAAGCTAACTTTTATGATTGATTTCTTCAACAGGATTCTTATGATTCCCACTAGTTTGGTAATTCTATACTAATATCTTTTTCCATTTAGTTGTTTAGTCTAGCTGAAGAGCTTCTACGTGCGGCCAATCAAAATAGCCGATTCGCATTGGCTCGTACTCAAAGTGGTTGGAGTTTATTAGCTGCTTGTATAACTCTTGGACCAAATGTTGTCAAGCCTCATTTACCTAGAATGTTGTTATTTTGGCGTAATGCGTTTCCACGCAGTTTACGTGAGCTGGAAGCGGAGAAACAGCGCGGTGACGCTTTTACATGGCAGGTATTTTAGCTTTCTCAATATTTACATAGTATTTTTAAATTAAGCTTAAAAGTATGTTAAGTTATGAATATGGTAGTTTGATTGCTTTGAAAAATGAACAGAGATTCAATTCATGTTGCTTGCCAATGAAAACTTTTGTCATAACACCTCCCTTGTTAAACCTTCCTTTAGTCTTCTTTCTATCATAGCTCTCTCTCTTCTGAGGCCATACTGTTTTCTAACACTGATTATAAATCAATCTTCATTATCCCGTAACTTGATCATTCTGGCTGTTCCCCTAAATGGTTGTATGATATGATACATTTGTGGGCTTAATTCATTGAGTGCGAGGTTAAGTGCTTTAATTCACCTTGAGTAAATCAGGTACTTGAATATGTTTTTTCTACTTTTTCTCATCTTAATTCGAATGTAATCTTTTAACGCTTGTTTTCAACTCTTCCAGTAACCAAATAGATCAGATAATTGTTATATCTTGAAAGTTGATTTCTCGATATACCGCGTATAACAGAGCACTAGAACACCCAAAACCGTTCCAAGTCTCAATAAGGAGACAGAAGACTAACGAGAGGAATATTATTCCAAACAGTGTCAATCATAGTACGAAATTGTCAGGTATTTATAGTCTTTAGTAAGAACGAAATCATCATTACAGTCCTTCAGTCCGCATACAGGGGGTAATTAGCATTATCCAATCGGGAAGCTACACGTAGGAATTCTAGAATATTCTTCCGAAAGGTGATTGGATGGGACGTCTTCGGCTCCTTCTGAGCCTCTTACAGCTTCCTCGAGTTCACCGGTGGTCCGTCGCTACAATAATTATCAATTTTTAGATGTGCTGTAGAAAAACGCTATCACTTTTGATGACAAAATATCATCAAGTACCTGTTTGCATACTCATGCTTTTACCGCACTGTTTGAATGAGGTCTGACGATATTATCCACCTTCTCACATCAAAATAGACGAAACAATGTTCAACAGTAAAGACATTCATTCACCAAACCATCTTCCCACCATTTGTTTTGGGTGTTTTCAACAGTTTATATAATTAGATCATCGTTATCTGAAAAGTCATTCGTATACTTGATATTACTGCTTAATGACTAAATAAATAAATGATTTGCACCGTTGTAATTCATTTCTATATGCATACATAGCCCCTTGATTGACACATTTTGGTCTTATTTACTTCCTTATTCTATTTAATCAATTTAATGGCGATATAATTTGATCATATTTTTATTGATCTGATCTACTTTTTCTCCAATGATAATTTACTTTTTTTAATTTTTCTATAAAAGAAATAATATGATGAAGTAAAGTTAATTGACAATGTAATTCTCTTTTTAAAAATTAACTTCGTTTAAAATTGATTGACAATTTTATTTGTTTATTTAAATTGTCTCTACTTTCGCCTACTTCTCTATGGTATGTTGGTTGTTCTGAGTGTTGTACACTTTTTGTACATTCTGTGTGTGTGTGTGTGTGTGTTTGTTTCTACATACATACATACATACATTCATCCCAGAATTTATTGAGATGGCTAGTCTTTTTTTTAATTCGATTAAATGTTTATAAATTAGAAAAGTAAATTGGTTGACAGAAATATTTATTCTGGATTTGCACAGCTGTATATAATATATATAAGCGAAGATGGATGGTGGCTAACAATGGAATGCAGAACGCTCGTTTCGTCTTATTTGGGACTTGTCAGCTGGATGCACTTGCATCCCAGAGTTAATGTTTACTCCAGGACTCGAATTCAGCACCGTTCGATTCAAACGCCATCGCGTTTCCCACTTAGTCCTAGAATGAACATCAACTCTGGGATGCAGGTACATCCAGATGACGAATCCCAAATAGGAGGAAACGTGCGTTCTTGATTCCACTGCTAGCCGCCATCCATCTTTGCTTATACTACTTGTGAATTAGGGCAATATCGAGGCAATCCGCACAGCATGCAAATATACCAATAAAAGACTGGTCAATCGCAGTCCTAAACGTCAGTGAGAAGATTCAAATGAGCAATACAAAGTGAATTTCTAATATAGATTTGTTTGTGAGCCACTGGTTGCGCCGATGCCTACTACTAGTATTTGATCACAAATGTCTTAGAAATATTGCTCGCATCTGCTGGGATCATCGGGTAAGTAATAGTGAGGTTAGACACAAGATATTAGGGAATGATGGTAAATCAGTTGATGAGGTTGTGAATCTTCATCGACTGAGATGGTTGGGCCACGTGTTACGTATGCCTGAACACCGATTATCACGACGCACAATGCTGATTAGTGTTGGGGATGGTTGGAAGTGAGTTAATGGTGGCCAAACTAAAACGTGACATCAGTCCTTGAAGTCACTAACTTCTAGTCTGAGCCATGTTGGTAGATGTAGACTACATGGTTGGGGTCCGCGTGACTATCGAAACCAATGATTAGAGACCGTGGGTGACATGACACATAATCGGTCACAATGGCGTAGGTGTATACACCCATTGTTTCCCCTTAAATCGTGAGATGAAAATTATTTTATGCCTTCCTTTGTATCAACTAATTCTTTCTTCCTGTACTACATCCTTATACATAATCTTTCTTTTATACATTGCTACCATTGAAGTAACTACTTCGGTGTTCATCCTGTTGTGCTAATGAGATGTGGCAACTTGGACAGATAGATATTTATGCCTGGTCCAATGTTTTAGCTGATTGACTAACTCAATGTTTAACCAAATTGCACTGTGCTTTATATATTGAACAATTGTTTCATATTTGTCTTCTGGGTGCGCTCATTTGGAGTAACATGCCATGATTGTATCGATTCTCAGAAATATCTAACTTTTTTGAATGAATGAAAATTTGTCCTGGTAGGTGGACAGACTCTTCCAGTTAGAGCAACTTTTTTTCCGATGTGCGTAATTTGTATTAAGAACGGTGCCATTCGGCGAGCTGAAAATATGCTAACTGTTCAATTCACTAAGATGTAGGGTATAGTTTCCACACTAGTGTTTTCTAGCTTCATCATTGAGAGTAGATCATACAGGGTGACTTAGATGACTCGTTTTACTGAGAAAATCATAACAAAATTTCATAACGAAAATTCATCTCGATGTATGTCGTTCTCATCTCAGATTGTGGAAACTATCCAAATGATTTTGCTTTATTTGTTATATTATTGACTAGTTAATCATCGCTTTTCCGTTTGAATAAATAAATCCTTTCTGGCATATATTCTGAAATGATTTTTAATTGTTTCTTTCTTTTCAATTAATAAACCAAAATTATTAGATAACATCAAAACTAGACTTCATAATGAGAATCGATAGGAAAAAAACATTTGGGCGGAATGGACTATTGAATTAGTCGTAAATCAATTGTACTTCATATGTTGTCATAAGCGTTGATGAGGTTAATGTTTTCGTATTAATTGTTCGTGTATATGATTTTGATGGTTGTCTTTGTAGAGCGATTTCAAACTGATCTACTTTTATAAATTAAATCTCATGTTATATCAATATAATTAGGTGAATTCTATTTCTCAGGTGTTTTTCACCGTTCTTTTCTACATACTTTATTTCTTACCTTAAAGTTTGATCGGCACCAAAAATTAGACAAATGTAACATTAGTCATTACTCTATAGTCAATCATTTGTAAATATCTCAGTCCTACGGGAACTCAGTCACTGCCCGAATAATTTAGTAGTAACTTCTCAGATTGTGAAGCTAACTGACGTACGGTCGGATGACATTGGGAGCATTAGTTCCCCCCAAGATAACATATCTTATTGACAAGCGTTAACTAGCACGAAATCTATGTCAATACTAGATTTCTTGTCGACTAACTCCAGCCACTTGATACTTTTGTTAAACGTCTTTACCTATCCCTTTGTCGTCTGTCTCTCACTTTCTATCTACCATCCTCCTGCCTCAACTTCAACATTGTAGATTATGCTGGAATCCAGATCGGGTGCGTTATGCTCTATACAAAGCTTTTTAGAATATTGTTCACCACAATTACTTACTGAAGATATAATTCATCGTCTTTTACCGCTTATTGAATGTGCATTAAATATGCTTGGACAAATGAATGATATTGTTCGAATTTATGGAAATCACTTAAAAATAATAGCTGGTTTTATTCGATTACGACTGTATCGAATTTTACTTTTACTACCATCTACAGCATACACTAGTAAGTTGATTAATTGTTAATAATATATTATTATGATTATAATTAATGGGAAATACTTTTTTGCTTGTCTAATTATATATTTCTATATCATTTTTCAATTACAACTAACTTGCTAATGTGTTATTGGCTTAAAATAGTATTTGCTAATTAATTTATTCAGTATGTCACATATGTAGTGACCATGTGCCAAATAATATTACAGTAAATGGTTGCAAATTGCCCAGGAGTATCATGGTTGAAAACCGAATCGCTACTTGTATTGTACTTGACTCAAGTACACCAGCAACCGTGTCAGTGTGTGTTTATGTGTTCAGAAAAGGTTGATGGTCTAGCTATTAATTTTTTTCGTACTTTGTTGTTAATCTTAGGTCCTTTTTCACTGTTTCATCTATATTCCTACAACCTACCATCCTTATTATGTTATCTTTGATTTTTTAAGTTCATTCCTCATTCATTCAATTAAATTAAATTATTAAGCAATTTTATTATTAATAATCGATAGCGTAGATACATGATTTTCATGTTAATTGTTAGAATTTACAACTCTTTGAAGCTCTGATTCATAAAATGTTACCAGATCATAAGTATTTTTGGTTATAATCACTGACAAAATTGCATGTTCATTGGCACATAACTTTACGTACTACTGAAATAAAGCAAGATTGGTCGTCAATCACATTCCATAATGATTTTGATTGAAGTTAACATATAGTCTGTCTTGAAATATCTGAGATATTTTCTGAGCACCTTATTAGAGGAAAATCTCCTCTTGGAGCACTTCTAGAGTTACTACCGGTCCCAAGTTTGGGCAAAGGCGGAGGTTTGGTCATGGGCCAACAACGCTATATATGGAAGGAAACTTTGTTAAAAAATATGCTAAATGGAAACCATCATTCAAGTAAGCAAATGATAAAAGGATATATATATATATATATAGAGAGAGAGAGAGAGATTAAGTTGTTCGATGTAGTTGATAGGAAACCGTAGGTCTGCATATCGTATAAGTTGTTAACACACATCAGCAAGGTCTCTTTGTAATCTTGTGGGAACTGATGTTTCCAGTGGCATCCCACTACTCGTCACCCACCTTCACAACCTGAAATATTGCCAATGATCTATTCAGATTGCTGACTATTGGCAACTAACAAAAAACCTATGTTCAGGGTTTTCGGCCGACTGTCTGCAACCAATTAACATCTTAAAATACTGCACACAATGTCGAGTCGCTTATACTAGTGGCGACATTTCAATTTAGTCGAGAGATTTCAGTCAACTCAGATGATTAGATGAATACGACACTGTTCGCTACTCAATAATCAATTGTAAGGATATATATATGTACCTTTTGGGATCAGTATTAATAAAAATATTACTTTCTATTGATTTCATTCCCCTGATTTTGTGGATTAGCATTTATACATCATTTGTGGCAAACAAGCCTTAGTCAACAAGGTAAAATAAAATACACGTATGCATCTATATAACTTGATTTTATTCTTTTGTTTGCTTATTATTTACATTTGTCTTGTTTAATTCCTGATCCATTTGTTTCATTCAATGTGTTTCCTATTTATGCTAATTGGTTTGTTTGGTTTTCACTAGACATGTTAGTATTTATATTAACACCATTACTAGAAGTATTATGTGGTTGGTTATGCAATAGTTATCAAAATAATATATTGCATGCGAATGTATATGTATTCATCTCGTTCTCTTTCATGCTATATATATACATTGGAGTAAACATGGTTAATGAAAAAAAGCATATCATTCATGCCTAAAGATCAGAGCCACCTTTTCGAGTCTAGTGGTGTGTGTGTGTGCACTATGCTTTTAATCGATTGGTTAGAAATTCAATGCTTCATATTTTTTAACTTCCGTCCACCTTTCACATAATATGATGCTTTGTTTACTTAAGTTTTTTTTACGCCAAAGAATTCTTATATTTAATAGTGAGTGGAAAATTCTCATAGGACAATAAAATATGAAATTATCATTATAAGATTTCATTATGTTAGAAATAAAAACCCAATTAATTAAATTTTCTAAAAGAATGGGATCCTTTCTTTTTTGGAAACCGATGATGTCTAATTACCAATTGTCAACATACAACGGCAACATAAATCCTTATTTCCTAATACAGAAAATTTATGTCAGAGATGAGTTTTTTTGACAGAATTTCGAATTGAAAGTTTTTCTTTTAAAAAAACTATTTGTGTAAAGTAAAATAATTATTATTAAAAGAAAATACAAAGTATTCGACAACAGTTTGAATAGAGTAATGAGTAAACATTTCGAAAGAATAATCCAAATATGTGTTTCATATTAACTTCTTAAGCTTGAAATTAGACTGTAAAATAGCATTATGTGTTCTCTTATCTTTGAAATGGAGTAAATATTAGTTCTACTTTCAGCTGCATCTAAAATAGAGTTGTCCTCCGCTATTCTCCATTAGTATTTTCGAATGACTAGTTTTTTTAGAATTGAATAGGCTTTAGCTCATAAATTCCTGAGAATTAATGAGGTTTCACTGGTTGAAATCATGAATCAATTGAAGCTAGACCACTATGGAAAACCTGGAAGCACTGGACGGCCGTTTCGTCATAGTGTGGGACTCCTCAGCAGTGCGCATCCACGATCCCGCACCCCATGAGATTCGAACCCAGAACCTATCAGTCTCGCGCCAGGCACTTAACCAACTAGACCACTGAGCCGGCATCCAATGGTGTTAATGTCTAACTTCAACAAATCCACGAAGTTGCGTCACCGTATACCATTGTCTTCAGTGAGTTGATATCTCACAACAGACCTGGTTGAACTCCACTGGTAACGGCTTCTCACTAGAACTCCAGGAGTATCCCTTGAAGTCAGTCACTAGTGAGCAGATGATTGTTATCAGAAGGGGTTTGTGGAGATTTTAGAAATTTCACTGATTAAAATCATAAGTCAATTGAAGCTAGACCACCATGGAAAGCCTGGAAGCACTGGACGGCCGTTTCGTCCTAGTATGTGGTGATATATCTATTTAATGTCCAATACTATTTGTCAATATGGTTCGGTACTCATAGTAAGTCCATTTAAAAAAATAATAACGCACTTAGATGAAATCCTTGGTCAATCTTCCAACTGTTGGCATTGTGATAGTTCGTAGTTAAACACAAATCTTTGAAATGCGCTCTAATCTACATTTAAAAATATCATCTAACTGTTAAAACTAATGCTGAGTTAGAATTTATCATTCGATGTTGTTTGTAAGCCTTAGGAATAAGGAGAACTTATCGGTTTATTCCAGAAAACATAGAATGCTAAACAAACCTCTGTGTTTTACTCTATCAGTGGTTCACCAAATGAAATCTGTGTAAAGATAATTCGAGTAACTTCGAATTCGACAATATCTCTATGTTCATATTCATTGATTGGTTCACATATACATGTGAACACATTAATAACAATTTACATTATTACATATCTGTGCGAATTTTTTTTCTTCTCGCTTAGTATAAAATATATACTACTGAATTTTTCAATTGCTTGCTTTTACAACTACTCTTCATCTGTGATAATTACTAGTAATAATTTATTATCTATATTCTCACAATTCCACATGGTAACAATCATGCTTCCTATAGTTCTTTAATTAATTTATGTAATTGTATTTCAAAAAACTAATTACCGTCAACTTTCAAGTAGATAGAAAATATACTAATCAATCATAATTCATTATATTCCCTTATCTTCACGTTTTCAATGGTTGCCTAAGATCCATTCTTAATCTAAGCTATGAAAAATCTTTACATTGTTCATTGTGCATTTTTTGTATGTTTAGTAAATCCAGTATGTGAATAAACGCATGTTATCATTTGCCTTTATACCTGCATATTTTTAACTGAATACAAATTTCAGGCTTTAATTCTTATGTACAGTAATATTTATATTGCAAATTAAATAACGATTATCACTACTATGAATAATATAGATATGTATTTTGATGACCTCTCGTTTTTATACAGAAAAGAAGAAAGTTCGCATTAATATTAATCTGATTTTGATCAGTTTATTTTTTGAACTATTTCCTGCTTATTATTGTTTATTATTATGTGACTGAACTACCAGTTTATAAAATTCTGTTTTCAATGGATTTCTTATTTTTAACACATTATTTATATTTATAGGTTCTTATAGTACAGTTTTACGTGAATTAGTAGCTGAATTCACGTTAACTGATAATATAGCAAATGTAACAACATCTTTATTGAAATCTTTAAGTTGTTCTGAAGACAGTATCACACTTGGATCATGCTTACAGGATACAGATCAAAGATTATTAGAGGAACAAGTAAGTCAGTCAGTTTAATCATTATTTTATATACATATAACTTTACTCAGAATTGTAACTTTTCCATTGATTTACGTCATATACTTTATCGATACTTTGTTCATCTTAATTCATGTCAAACATTTGAAAAGAGGGAAATTATACCTTAGTAATTTTAACCAGTAGCCAATGGTTTCCAGATTGAAGTCTTCTTCACATATCTCACTACATATAGCTCCATTTATGTCTGGTTTTGAGTTGTGTAGATTTGTTGACTACAGTTGTATCTATTTAATTGTCTTTCTCCTGCTACGGATTTTCATTGTTGACATAATCATCAGCTCGAGGGGGTTTAGAGCAATGTATTTTATAACTTTTACGGTACAAAAATGTAATAACAATCAATAAAGAAAATTAATATGGTAATTAGTTGATTTTGAATTATTAAGAAAGAATACATGTTGTTATATAACGAACGGATATAAAGTTATACAACTATTAAAATCTATATGAATTAAATGACAACTCTTTTTTCTCATTTACTATTATCATCATTATTGTTACTGTTTTTGTTATTCTGTCCTGTAATTCGCATGCTTCATTTTACGGCAGAGTGTATGAAAGAGAAATATGATTTTTAATTGTCTTCATTTAACTTATAGCATGTAAATTATTCAGTATTTTTCTGTATGGATGTATCACTATTTGTTAAGCTCTATGCGAATTCACATTTACAAACGAAATATCACTTTAAATGCGCAAAACTTTTACTTTTACTCTTCATTTAGCCATGTATCATGCTGAATTACTATCGTTAATTTTGTTTATAGACTATTTTTTCCTGGTAAAATTAAATATTCAACTCTACTGTTTCTAGTGAGAATTTGTTGTAGGTTTTCACTTGGAAGTTAGTTGTTTATTCTAAAGATTTTTAAGTGACTTACCTCTCCTTGTACTTTTGGATCATGGAGTTACTAATGGTTACCAAGCTCTATACTGTTCTTCCTCATTCACTTTACAAGAAGTACACTAATCATGCTTATTTATTAAACACCTGAAAAATCCGATATATACTTCATTTATCTAGTCAGATGAATTACATTGGACCATATAGCTTGTTTTGAAAAAAAAACTATTGTAATAATATAGGCATAGTAATGTTATCGTAAATAATAACATTATGACCTAAATCAATAATTTGGGCGGATCTAAAAAAACATGGAAAGCATAGTTATTCCTTTGATGAAATATAATTTTTCGAAATCTGCTTTCCTTTGCCTCAGTCATTTTCTGTTGTCACTGCTTCCTATTTTTTTTGTATCTGGTAGTGCAACCCATTAGATACAGCTTAGTATGCTCTACCGTGAGGCACGCTATGTCTAACGACCAGTTATATTAATTTTCTGCCCTGAACGTAGTAAGTAGTGTGGGTTCTGAACATACAACTTACCGATTAAAATCTGAATGCTTTAACTATTAAGCCACTTCCCAATGTACCCGGAATTTGATGGACTATGTTTTCGTTTGGTCTTATCATTTCGATTAAATAGTGTGGTGCTTAAAGCATTAAGCCTTCAATCAACGGGACTGGGCTTCGAATGTTTCTTTACGTAGATCAGTTTAACTAGCCAGGTAACATCGAAAGTCTTCATATATAGTATAACTTGAAATCAGTTATAAAAAAGTATTTGTATTTGATAAATGGTTTACATTATCAATAGTTATTTATTGGGGTAATTACTTTTCACGTTATTAGTATTCACGACTGAATTTCCGATTAATTTCTGTTAGGTGATGATTCAAACGTCTTTGAACTATCGCCAATCATCAGCACATTTATAGAAATGTTAATAAAGAAGAGCTGTTGAGACAGAACTATTGAGTATAAAGAAATCTTATACTTTTCTTATCACCATCTTGTCTTTTTTCGAAAAGATCTTTTTAGATATTTTACATCAAAAATAAGGACTAGAAATAGCGCATACACAATTACATCATTTCATAGGCGATCCCACCTCTTTTTCTTTATCCATATTTATTCACTAGGTGTAGTCGTATACTGGTTTTGTCTGGGGAAATATATTTTTCTCTCTAAATAAAATAACATCCACTTTTAATTACTTCTATTAAAGAATGTCCATGAAGGTTTTTTTGTAGAAAACATGTTCGTAACTATCTACAGTTTTGTATCAGAAATATTTATCAGGTGTATAGTACCTAACTATAGATCATAATCATAATGATATAGATTTAGTACGTCGCATACATGGATAAACGAATATACCATCCTTAATATGTTCAATGTAAATGTTTTAATATCTTTTTATTAACGTAAACTTAACATATCATTTATAGTCTACTAGTTTTCTATTCCTTAAACATCTCAATAATTTATCGTGTTGATTATCCTGATTTTCATTATGAATCCCTTTTAGAAAAGAAACTCAGTTCTATTCATTGTAAACTTAAACAACTCCCAATCATAAATTGTTAACTTGTCGTAATATTTGTTCACATGATCCTCAGGAAATTCTTATCACAATAAAACAGAACCCTGAAATCATATTTGTGTAATAATATTGATCAATCACAATATAACTTTATCTTAGTAGTTAAAATGTGTATCTGAACAGTATCTAAACATTTATTGTACTATAATCATTTTGCCCCATTTCTATCCCTTCTTTTCGATATAGTTACAATCAACCATATTAAACAATTCACCTAGGGCATTAGAACATGATCCTTCTTACCTATATCTACATGATGGTGTTAATAATTTACTGGTAAGTCTTTTTTTCCCCATAATTTATTATTCTTTAGAGTTACTGATCTTAACAATCGTTTTTTCCTCAGTAATCTTTTTTTTGTTGTTGTCAAATGAAATGTAAAATAAATCAACAAAACACTTGAATAATTGTATTTTCAGTTTTTATATGAATTTGAACTAAATGCATGAATAGCAACTATGCAAATTAATTTTTCTAGGTAATTCTCATCTCTTGTTTATAACTCTATTCGTATTGGAAGATAACATTAGTGATTATGAGAAATATATTTTTTTCGTTTTATCCCAATGAGTGAAAAGATATAACAAAAAATATTTATTATTAACTTTCTACCCAATGATCAATTTATTTGAGACACTTTTGACTGAAAAGTTGAAGTGACATGGATTATTTAATGATAGATATAAAAAATATAAAGAGGTTTAGACAGGAATTATCTGGGATTGAAAATTTGATGAGTTGTGTGATAATTACAGAAAATAAGTAAAGTTTACATAAGTTTTGGGAGTTGGGTCAGTGCAAATTACGTAAAGGTACTTTTTAAGTGAATGAAATAACAGTTGATGAAGTGAAGATTACAGAACAGTACTGATAAGAATTGTAGTAGTAACAATCATAGAGTATGTAATGAAAATTTCAATTTTCTTTTGGTAATGGTAAGTTAAAGATGTCTCCTTCTGAACGCGTGTATTCGGTTTGGGTTTGGTTCAGTGAAGCTTAATAAAGTTGATTGCTTTATTCTGTTATTTTGAAAGATTTTAGAACTTTGACAATATTCCCTCTATTGATTAGGTTTTGAGCCTTTGCACTGTTTATGACAGTGGGAATTTTCAGTCTCACGTTTCGTGAAACATGTTTGGAGGTACGAACATATACTCTTATCTCTGTTCTTCTTGTGCAGGTGTATGTAAATCAATAAATACAATTGGAGGTACTGAGAATAGAGGACTTGTTTATTTTGTTCTACATAACATTCCATGATCGTAATTTCTATTTTTTGCAAACTGATAACGAAGCTGTTATTTATTACATATTCCTACTTGCTTAAGTTAACGTTTTCGATGAATAGATTTTATTCCATTAGACCATCTTAAAAACCCCAAGCCAGACGAAATTAAACAAGTACAATTAATGACGAATAATAATCTGGTAGACAAGACTACAAATTGAAGTGTTTATACTGCTACGATAGATCCTAAATCATACCATATAATAACTTCAGCCACTGACATTTCGTCTCCGAAACACCAATTATTGGAATATGTATTTCTATGCGGAACTCAGACTAACTGTTATGAATTTAAGTTGGGGTCGGACTTTTACCCTGTGCTAATTGTTGTGTCCTTGACTGGAAAATTAGAGAGCAGCGTACTTATCGATCGATTCAATGACACGTAAACACGTACGGACAACCTAGAGTCTCTATTGGTCTCGCTTCCCTGTCTAGCCCAGTCAGTTGAGTCCAGAACACAAGTCACAGCCTCGGAGATATGAATCATTGTATTTCAGACATGCTCTATTTATATACCAAACAAGCAAACCACATCGCACCATAAAAATAGTAAACAACATTTACACAATATGTAACGAATGAATTAAATAATAGCCAATAGGGGATGTACATTTAAAGTCCAAGGCCACCATAGACTTAACATGACAATGATTGGCATATTATTCTGTATCCACAACATTAACTATGAATCGTTAGTTCCATCGCTTGACCAATTTTTTCTTGTTGTATCGAAATTAAACAATGGTATTAATTTGGCATGGGTAACACATATTTTATCGCCTGCTGAAGTAGTTACGTAGGTTTTATTTTTTTACCTACGGCTTTATAACTAACCTTAATATTAAACAATAAGTACTTTCATCACATGATGTAACACTTACGCTTTCCCTCTCAAATGTACCACATCTAGCGATTGTTTAGTTGAACAAAGCGCTAGAGCGTTAACAGTATATTCCATACTTTAATAAACTGGTTTCATGTTCTACTACTAGTAATACTAAAATATTTTGTGTTTGGATTTTAACAATGACTAATAAAAGTTGTTGAATCGTAACATCACATTGGTTTGGAATCCCGCAATAGTCTTTAGTCAATTAGCCAAGCGACTAGTTTCTCTACAGTTCATATACACTAAATTAAATATGATTAACCTCCATCTTACTCATTACTACAAAAGAAACTAACCATTTACATCGTGACTGATGATCTTGTAATAATAGTAGACGGGTTGGTCAATTAATCTAGGCTTAGGTAACTTCTAATTTGCTTGACAAATCATTCACTTTACCGATATCACATATTGTTATTACCCCCGTTCAATTGGAATAATCAGGTAAACTATGTCTTGTCTCTACAGATTCAAATTGTGACGTCTAGCTTAACAGTAAACTATTTGTTGAGTCAGACATAGATACTGTTTTCTCATGTGTAGTAGTATCATCACGAATAAATAAAAAAACATATCTAATAATAAATTGACATTAGTTCTTTCATATACATTTTTTCTTGATTCATTGCTTTTTCAGGCTACCGATGTTACCTTGACAAATATATCGAATACTGAAGATGAGAATGATGAAAATCTATCATTGACAGCTGGAACACTGTTTCATGGTCCATCACATATTTTACTAAATAATAATAGTACTTTTACTACTTCTAAATTCTACAGTATTAATTCTACCTCAAATACTAATACTAATAATTTATCGTGTGGACATAATCTTGGAAATTTTACTAATTCCACACTTTCATGTGCATTACAATTAACTGGACCCATACCTGTTAGTGTTACTGTAATAGATGCATCAATTGAATTGTTTGGTCGTTTATTTGCTTGTGTTTCTATTCGTCATCGTACACAAATGTTAGAACATTTTACTGAATGTATTCGTCTTACAAAATCAATACGCCAAGAAGCTGTACAAATTAATGTTTTCGCTGCTTTATTAAGTGCGTTAAGACATTTAGCTGAAACAAAATCTACATTCGGTGATGATCCAGCGTTAAGAAAAGCTGCTACGAACTTAATTTTTGTAAGTTCTTTGATGCTACGTGGTTTATATTTTATGTCCTGTTCGAATGCTTCATGATAGGTTTATACTGTACATGTTAATTCACTCCAAAAGATTATCCTGAGTTCTTGTTTGTATAAACGCAGAATTGCAAGACAAGACAAAAAACTTTTTTTTAAATATTTTATATCGATATGGCTTATTTGTGTTGTTAGACCTATACTGGTGAATGAAACGTCTCGGCTGCTCACATTCTTGAAGGGTATTCCTTTTTGAAATGCTTGAAAAAGAAACAGGATGAGTTGGATGGTTTTTCGGTATGATAGCTCAGCTCCACAGCTTAAAAATAATTACTTGAGGTATGGTATTTATGACTCACATCAGTTTCTAAGTCCTCAGCACTAGCGCCGGACACTTGTGGGGTAAAAGACGGTGTTCTGTTCTAAGAATATCCTGATGGTACGCTGGAATACAACGAAATCGTCTGTCGACAGTTTGACTTGTTAATTTTATTCACTATTGAGATGTGTCATCTGAGTTTCTTTAACATTTGTTTACACTAATCAACCTTGATCGTCAGAGGAATTTTCCCTACTCACAAAAGACTAAATGTGCTTTTTTTTCATCCAGGTAAACGTTATTATTAGGCTTCAAATTCAACTCTTACATCATTGTATGACCGTCTATTTTATGACTAGAGTAATACAATTTACTATTAATATTTTCTAATTTTTGTGATTCTCATCAGTTATTCTTATTTGAGTGATTGACAAGTTCTGTGAGTATGTAACTCAGTGTCCGGTTGAAGACGGACGAAATAAATTGCAATATAAATGAACTATCTGTACATAATACTTTCATCGATCTAAAATGAAAATATTAGCTGCGAAAACGAATACACGACAAAAGTAAGCTTTTATTCTGATTATATTTGAAGTTAAGTTGAGCATTGATTTATATCAACAAATAAATTCATAACCGGACATAAAAAAATAACAATCAGTTTGGAAAATACTCAAAAAAAATCAAGGTTTGTTTAGTCTAAGGAAAACTGTAACATGTCATTGATTATATATGTATGTATATATGAAACTGAAACAATTGAAACTAACCTGTAAAGGATAAGATAAACACAGAAATTTAACAATGAGTTTAGTAGTAGTGATGAAAAAGTTCAATGGATATTGGTTTAGTTTATAGAGGAAAATCATCATTGTTAAGAAGTTCCATACTAACACTGAATAGCTATGCAATATTCCCTTGTTTGAAGTAGTATATTAATTGAGGCTATTTTACGACTCATTCTACCTACAAGGTAAGTTCAGTAGTTTAAATTAACTGATGAGAAAAGAAAAAGTGATATAAAAATAATGCGATATTACTATCATTCTCGTTCTTTTTAACTTATTATAATGTTTTATAAAGCTTATCTCTTTCCCTGTTTCTACGTGTGTTCGTGAATGTGTGGATGAGCGAAAATATAAAAGAGACCATTGGCTATCTAGAAGATTGTGATGATAAAAGGCTTTTTCTCTTACCTTCTATTCATCGGCAAACGGTGTATAAGTATTTGGTTTTTCTGAAACGTTTCTATTTAGTTTTTACATTAATTTTAAGGTATTTATTACATTTATTCACTCAGATAATTGGTCATTACCGTATCGTTGATGATTACTATCTTCATCCAATATCGATAGGCTTTTATTATTGTTATTACTTTTTTACTATCCTTTACATTAGGTATATTACGACATCGATCATAAAACTTCAAATTTATTTGGGTTCTTTTGTTGTACGTTGATGTAAAATATTGTATGTTCTATAACGTTTACTCCTCTAATTTTATTTTAGAGTGAGGCCTATAGGTGGATATATATGTCAGATCTTCGTCAAGCTTTACCCTAGTATACTTTATTATTTATGCACATTTCACAAAAAATTAATTACTAATTGATTTACTGGTCAGTGATAACAATCAAATAGACTAATCATAATCAGTAAAAAGAAGCGCAAACTAACGGAAAGCTAACAAGTGCACTAATACTGATATGAATAATAAAGGTTTGAGTAAATATTTAAAATACGGAGTATTTTAAAACTTTAGAAAGTAAGCCTATTAAGATGATAGTTGTTAAGGTCTACGTGTGAGTAGTAAATGCAGAGAAAATACGAAATAGATTAAAAATTGGATTGTGCAATAAGTCATTTGTAATTCACTCAAATATTTGTTATTATGATGACCAAAGTAAGGAAAGTGGTTGTACAATGTTTTTATAGATACAATACTTATGTTTGTTGAGATCGATATCGATAACTTCTGCTATATGTAAAAGACGTAGGCATAGACCATGCAACTTATTGATTGGGACCCAGTAGGTGATTTGAAATCCATTGCTTATATCCACTTACTTCCTTACTTTTACCGACAGAATAAACCGAATAAGAATAATCAAATATATATGGTTCAATTTGGAACACCACAACTATAATGCAATTTGGTTATTGACGAAATAAACATCTATTTTAATGAATAAGAGTGAAATCATATGCAAGATAATTACTAGCTTCCATCTTAACTTACGTTAGATAATATCTCGTCTCATTGATTTTACTCGGTCACTTGGGACATTATCATTCAGGATCAATAGATGATCAATAAACGCTGACACCAGTAAAATTCCCTTGATCTCATGACATAGTCTTAAATTGTATTAAAGCAAGATAATCATTTTGGAAAATTTTCGGAAAAATTAATTAAAAATTTATGTACATTTACATACAATAGACCTATGGAATAAAATTTCATAAATTAATTGTAGTTTATCGTATGTTAATGTATGTATCCTATCTGTATAAATGGAAGGGTTATGTATTATTTATGAAATATTGTTTGGTTAAGCTTAAATAGCTTCAGAATATGTGTGAATGAAAGTTTCCACCAGTAACGTCTATATAAAGGTTTCTTATTACTATTTTTTCCTGGCAGAATTCTCTTGATCGATTTGTAATATGGCAATTTCTTAGTTTAAAACCATCATGCATAATATACAATTTGTTTGGGCGATGACTTCATTACCAATATATAGTGTAATTTTCATAACTATCCTCCCTTTGGTATGTCCCTGGTTCATACCCTACTCTAATTTACTTGAGGCCGCTTTAATAAATATCACTACTTCTCACATAAAAATTGTACCAGAAAGTTAAGTGTACGAAACTACACTTTTTAAAAACTAAATTACACTAAAAAGCACGGTTCTGGCTATTAATGAATGATTGAGATACGCAGCTTTGTCCTACCATGTAGTTTAAGTGAAATCTTTTTTTCCTATACATAACTATGATAGAGAATACAGTAATTTAATAGCTGAAACTCATGAGTCAATTAAATCTAGATCACCATGGGAAACCTGGGAGCACTGGACGGTCGTGTCGTTCTAGAATGGGACTCCTCAGTAGTGCGCATCCACAATCCCACCCGCGGAATTCGAACCCGGGGCTTATCGGTCTCGCGCGCGAACGCTAAACCTCTAGACCACTGAGCCGGTGTCCGACGGTGTTAATGTCTAACTTCAACCAATCCACGAATATAAATCATTTACGATTCCATTTTTCATCTGTGTATGTATGTGTGTATGAATGCGAAAATCATAAAATTTATTTCTTTTTAGAAAAAATAAACTATTAAGGAAGTTTTTTTAGTCTAGATTATGCGGAGACCATTATGGTCAGAATTCTTCGTTGAACGGATCACAAAGGAGTATTGTTTATGATGTAAGTGGTGCTTGTGTGTGTGTATAGCACTAGTGATGGCATTAATGTTGATAATAGTGATTATCATAATAATAATAATAATTGATGGCTAATCCACAGAGTATAATCCCCGTTTTTCACTTCACCATTCACTAAGTTAATTCTTTCGTTTACATTTTCTATCATCTCGCTAACCAAACTAAAATCACGATCAAACAATAATTTATCTCAGTGATATTTTTGTGCACATGACAAAATCTTATGGGGAAATCTCACTAACCCATTGGTATTGTTACTTTGCTTAATCTAGAGGAGTTCTTTTATTGCTATCTCATATTATGGTTATGGGTGTTTCTTGTTTTTGTCTTCAAATTACTTTGTAAGAAAAGTTTTATTTTCCCTGTTTTATTTAGAGTTGATTGATGTGATTTTCTTCCTTATAAGATTAATAAATGGATGAAGTTTTTGATATCATCTACAGTTTTTTTTATCAATACACCCTCCTAACATCTGATCAAAACAAGTTTATGGAAGGTATAGACAGACTTTATAACAGTGGATTATATGCTAGTTATATGAATGTTGGGTATGATGTATCGACACTTAGTCATAATTATTTACGTATTAGTTAAGTAGATAACCCGTTTCGCTCATCATAGCAGCATATAAACGTTTTCTTAAAGATTTCCCTAGACGATTTTCCAAATTTTCTACCCTAGCACCTCCATCGGACCCAATCTTTACGAAGAGATTTTTAAAAAAATCTGTAGATCTTGGAAATTGTAGTTTAATTTTCTTGTTATTTTTCAACGAGACGAGATGGATAGCCACTTTTAGTCAATAAAACGTTGAGCTTTCTAGTAGACTACCTTATTTGATAATTAGATCTAAATGTGATTGTACAGCTTCAGTAAATTTTGTCGATAAGAAAATCTTTTCGCTGGATTGTCTTTAATTCTTCTCCAATGACTCAACGGGTTATTTGATAGTCAGGTATCTATGAAATATTAACTTGGACCTGTACTGTTTTGAGTATTAAACATAAAATATTTTTGTGTACATTGTTTTTCTTTCAGGTATTGTTTAATTTTTAATTATTGAACATGTAATGGATCTGTGGGGTGTATCATTAATAGTACATTCACAGCTCTTCGTTTGTCAATACATAATGAAGAGAAAAAAGTATTTGGCGAAAAAAAAGAGTTACATTGTAATGTACTAGCTTACTCCTCTTTTTTCTTAGAAAAATGAAAGATCTGAACGTTAAAATAATAAACTCAAATAAACATCAAAATTATAATTGTTCGTTCAAATATTCTTCGTTTTTGAATATTCTATGGGGATTTTTAAACTGCTATAATGTATTAGTTAAGTGTTGATGTGGGAATTTGCCTAGACTGTGGTGATAAGCAGGTACGAACAGTGTGTAAAAGTGGTTTATAAACATACAGTCAATTCAGATCATGTGGTTCGGAATTTTCATAAAATTCTCTAAATAATTTTAAAAGTAATAGTACATAATCATAAATTGTTACGTAAGTCTATTTTATTAACATGTGTACATAGGAATTTGTGGTACTAATGCACATGCACTCTCGAATTAGCTTGGCCTACTTTTCTCATATAAAGAACAATCATAGGATGTGCATACGTACATATTCCTTACTCTCTTAACTATTGATCGGTTAAACAGTCTATAGATAAATTAATCTAACATTTTTCCATGTGTTTCAGTTTCTCTCTCTATCTCCTTAAAATTATTATTTAAACGATACGAGACATGCAAACAAATATTTGTTCTGCTTGTAAAATACATGCTAACTGCTTCAACAATGTTTTATTAATTTTGATTGAGTGAAAAACATGTCCTATATGTTGTAATACAAAAATCTGTCAGAATTCGTTTCAGTGCATGTTGGCTGAATAATAATAATAACAAGCCAGAGACAAAATAAACAGATGGATGTGAAGGTCATTCAGGGTGTATATGTAGGCTTGTGTAAATATGAGGACAAATTTGTAGTTATGGCTGTTATGCCTAACAGTAATGTTTGCCTTTAAATAGAATAGGAGGTTTAATCAGCTCGAGTATTATTCTCCCTTGAATGTTAGAAATAGGGGGTATACTTTGTTTTCTTGTTTGCTTGCACTAAAATACATATATACACTCGTTAGGTTTCTGTAAACATGTTTCTATTTTCACTTTTGTTTGGTCGGATTTCTACCTGTGTGTAATCGTATTTCTCAAGTCGTCATAACTTCAATGTTAACTTTACTCACTTAAGTTCAGTCACTCGAAAGGTATCTACAACTTTTGATAAAAACATTGTGTTTATTTGCATTATGCTGCTAGGACGTTCAAAGGTGTTGGAGCGAGTGATTTCAAAGCGTGTATGTCTCTAAATCTTTCTATTTTCGATCATTCACCTTTTAATTTCGTCTTTCCCGTAAACTTGCTTGTTTTTTTAGGCTACTTTGACCAGTCCAAGTGTTCTACTACGTTGTGTGGCTGGTGAATGTCTTGGAAGGCTTGCACAAGTTGTTGGCGAATCTGGATTTTTAGCAGAATTAGCTCAACAAATTTTTGAACGTTTGCGTGCTATTCGCAATCCGATTGCAAGAGCTGGTCATTGTTTAGCTATTGGTTGTTTACACAGTTATGTTGGTGGTTTGGCGTCTGGACAACATTTAAGTTCAAGTGTCGGTGTACTATTAGCTATTGCACAAGATTCCAGTGTGCCCGAAGTACAAGTTTGGGCATTACATGCTCTTGCACTAGTTGCAGAATCAGGTGGTCCAATATTTAGAGAATATATTGAACCAAGTTTAAACTTAGTACTTCAGCTATTACTGAAATCACCAAGCGCTATGCATGAAATTCAAAGAAGTCTTGGTCGTTTATTTGCTGCTTTAATTACTACTTTGGGGCCTGAATTACGTGGTACGTTATTTTGGTCTTTATTGTAGAATTTGTTATGTACTTTAAAAAAATCTAAATCTTGGAGAATGGGCATGAACAAATGCTTGTTATAAAGTTATTTTATCAAAAAAAAAACAGTGGTCATAGTATAATATGTCATTCCTTTCTGGATTTGAAATGTGACAGTAATATAATATGTTTCTTTAAAATAACAAGCGCTATTTTCTTAACTGCCTTTTTATTATGCTAAGGTAAAATCATAAATAAATCTTCATCTGAAAGTGTCCTCTTGTACAAATGTTTCTCCAGTTCTGGTTTATGCGTTCTAAAATGAGATAATATTGGTTTCACTGCTTCAGCAATTAAATGCCTAAGTCGTTCTTTCTTCAAGGATATGATTCTTCAGTTTAGTTTTTCAATTAATCTATGGAACTCTATGATTTTAATAAAATGCGTTCAATACAGTATTTCTCACACTTTTTCTAATCTTTCACTGATTGCTATCTTGATTACATAATTGTCTATTTCAATCATCTCAATCTTTTTGTACCGGTTCTCAGTCGTATTTCTTAGAATAAAATATTTAGTTGTAACAAAATCTTACTTTTAATTTCAAACATGTCCATACATATTTACGTTGAATAGTGACTAATTCCATTTTAGTTGAGTTAATTATCATCAGAAAAATCTCATGTTGTAATAAATAGCTGAAAAAACCGCTTACACAGTGTTGTTCTTTTCACATCTGATCAGATCGCTTCTAATATTATATATATATATACCGATGTTAGCCGGTTTTAAGAAACATTAATAGACATTATTATAGGTTGTATGATAACAACCAGTCCAATCGCAAATGATAAATTTTATACAAATCTTTGCCGAATTATGTTTTTATATTCCCTTTCCTTGTACTGTATTTGTGATTAAATAATACCTTCACATAGGTACAAGCGCTGGTATAACGTCTGTTCGACATTCATGTTTATTATGTTGTATGATTATGCGTGATTCACCGGATGCTCTACTACAAGCTGAAGGTATAGCCTGTCTACAACAATTGCATATGTTTGCTCCAATGCATGTTAAGTTAGCTGGCCTGGTTCCTGAATTACAAGTTAGTTTTTTCCCTCTTTGTATTTTAATATTGTTTGTTCAGTTGTCTTGGTGTTTACTAATCATGTACAATATTGTTAGTTTATGCAATGTTTACTCAGTCGTATTTTAGTCCGACGTGTTGGTTTACTTTAATGAGTCAGATCTGATAGTAATTCACTGTTATCGAGAGATTTAGTTAGATTTATGTCTTCGCAGTAATTTGTTACATCTAATCGTTAGTAGGTTTGTAACTTACTCGTGTGTACGTTACTGTTATTGTTGTTACGGTTATTTTTGGACCACAGAGTAAGCAGTGCGTGGCTTAGAAATAGGGTTCTTGGTAAAAATGGAAAATCAATTTAAGGGGTAGTAAATCTTCATCAACTAAGGTGGTTGGGGCATCTGCTACGTATGCTCAACCATCAAAATGTTTAGAGACTTTGAATGACATGGCTTAAAATAGTTTGCAATGGTACAGGTACATTCATTCTTTGTCTTCCCCCAAATTCTGAGATTCTAAATTTCCCTTGCCTTTTTTGTTTTTATTTTGCTGATATATATTTTCTTTTCGAAGTCATATCTTCGATGCCTTATCTTTCCCATTACCACTGATACTGTTACTACCTCTACCATTATGAGATTTGGCCTATCAGTTCCATCTTTCTGTGCTAATGGGATGTGGCAACTTGAATAGATGTACATATGTACAGCTTCTACGTTCTGACTGACTGACTGACTAGGTGAATTGTAAGTAGGTTTATAACTAGTGTGTACGTTACTGTTACTGCCGATAAAAGAAGTATGATGAAAAACAAAAGTCTAAAGATCTAAACGAGAACAATTAAAAACGTTAACTGTTTTTTGGGCAGACAAACATACAGGACACACTTAAACGACAGTGATTAGAAATTGAAAGAAGAATAACATATCAAATGTATAAACCTAAGCGGTGGTCGGTTTAGTTTTTAAAACCTCGTGATCGTCATCGTTACTGGTTGAATTACAACACATTTTGTTTGGGTAGATTTCGAAAACTGATAAGTGTAATAGCTAGTTTTGTATCACGTGGTGGGTGTATATCCAAGTCTGAGTTTATATAACAAATAAAATACAATAGATTACGTAACTGATTTGATCAAGTTGAATTGTTAGCCTTCTTTTTTATGTTACTTACCCATATAGTACTTAAATCGATTATTAATTTACTGAACCAGTACTATACCAAACATGTTTTGAATACTTGACTTCGGCACTATTTTTTTTTGTCTTTTGGGTGCCAACCTACTTTGAGTTGCGAATTTTCTACGTAAACCTTCATTCGAAATATTTTCTTCCAAAACATTCAATTTTACTGCATGATGTTCATAAAGTATCTGTTGAAGAATTTTTAACATTCAGTAGTGTACAAATTTTACACATCAATCACTAAGTTCCATTTGATATTCTTTTTAAAAAGTGATTGTTTATGAATTGACGTGTAAATATTACTTGATCCAATGTATTTTCTGTTTTATTCTTTTTTTATACTTCAGACCAGTGTGTCCAGTTTCCATTTGGTCTTAAGACGTGCAGCATTATCATGTTTACGACAATTAAGTCAAAAAGAGGCTAAGGATTTGTATGGTTGTATGACACTAGGAGGTTTGTTAGAAGAGAAACCTTCTCCTGTTCTTTCTTCATTTTCTGCTATCTCCAATAAAAATGATATGAATAGTTTTTCGAAATCAACAACTAGTGAGAAATTAGAAAAAAAGTTATTTAGTTTACTTGATGTTGAAATGGACTATCAACTACGCCGAGACATTGAAGATACACTTATTGGAATGTTGGAAGCAACTGGTACCTCACAACTTTCGTATTGGTTTACATTATTGAAAGAAGTATTATTGGTAAATTTTTGAATATATTAATCTCTCATTGATTGCGTGTAATTAATTTTTATTGCAACTATTATCAATTGGACCTAATAACGTGCAATTATGTTTGCGTTGATTTTCCTTCAGTTGGTTGTTTGAATTAAATGCTTTATTTTAGTTAGTGGACTTTTTTTCAGGTAAATTAACTTCATATACTATTAAATAAATAGTATATTTGTAATATCCCAACGAGTAAAAAAATTAGATTTTTCTGACGTTTCTTGACTTAGTGGAAAAAATATGGAAATTGACGCAAATTTTATCATTTAAATGTTCCTCTTCTGTAGTGTATGATAAATAAATTGTAAAACTTGATATTCGTTCAAATGCTTAATTTTCTCGAAGCCTATCCTGGATAAAATAGACGTAGAAGTAATTGTTAGTAGATTGGACTGCTCCTATCTATTACCATTTAGTTCTGATTTAGATTATAAAACTTGGCTAACTAGCCAACTCATCACATGTTTCCTTCTTTAATCACCACTGTGTCTAGTCCTACTTTGTTTCGGGTAGTTTGTTGACTATTAAAGTGTGAAAATGATTTATTATCCATATTTCTTGTAGTTTCTCTTCCAAATCTGACTATCGATCGAATTTCTCTAAAAAAGGCTCATCCCAGTTGAATATTTATAGTACATTCGTTGTTAATGTATTCATTTCCTTATTTTTTCTCCACTGGAACAAATTTAAGCTTTTTAAAATCACAATAAAAGTTTGTAGAAAGTGGAATGGTTTGAAGATAATTAGTTTAGAACATTTAAATAAAAAATATAATTAAGAAGGAACGAAAATTATCGATTTTCTTGCTATCTAGGACAAGGAGATAATCTACTGAACTTTTCTCTACGAAGTAACATTTTCTTACTGATCATGAATACTTATATAGCTGACTCATTTTCTTGCAAACATGGAATTCTGTTTTGCAAACACATCTATGCAAGTAGATATAAGATAGATTAGCTTAGTTACAAATGGTTCATGCACATCTATACATTCGTTTTTTTTCTTCTGCCAAATGTATTCAAAGCTACTGATACTACTTGTATGAAAATCAAACAGAAAACACTCAGAACCTTTAGTTCAATGATTGTAAATCAAGTGTTTTAATAACTAAGTTATTTCTCCTCTATTTTTCTAAAATAATAATAACTTTTCATTAACGAGAAAAAGGATTCATTATCAATCAATATTTATTGTGAACAACAATTTCAAATCATTCATAAATTCATTCTTTTCACTGTAACCTCGTTAAGTAAATTTTAAAAAAACTGTCAACATTATAACATAGTTGTTCAACAATATAATAGTAGTATTTAGTTCTGACTTATTGAATGAAATAAATAACGACATCTTTGAAAGGTTTAACAGTTGAATGAATCGTTTTTTTTTGTTTCTTGATTGACGATTTTTTTCAAAATCATCAATATTTATTTTCGATAACTTCATTTATCAAACATTATCGACATAAAGAATTAATATGTACTGTTGATTGTATAAATTTCTTTTCTTCATTTATTGGATTTATTCAACCGTACATGGTAAAAGTGATTGATTGCAATAAATTGATAAATTAAAATAGCTTATTTTTTCATCTGTTCGGAAACTTTCTTGAAAAAAAATGCAAAACAACTGATTATTTTCGAAAACATTAGGTAGTATGCGTCAAAAGTTGATAGTACTTGGGTTTTTATAAAGCCGTTTGGTATTTCTCTGCCAAAAAAATTCTTTACGTACATCATACAAGGATTTTCATCTGAGTTATGCTAATAGATCCCGAGTACCTGGTTTGGCATTGAAGTACTAACTGAGATCAGTAGTTAAGGAAATTGAATGATATGACTCAGGATCAGTCACAATAGCATATGCATTTACTCGTCTCACTCAAGATATTGAGCTCCTGTATTCCTTAACATGTACTGCTTTTCATTCTGTTTTCTTTAATTATGTTCTTAGCGTTTAGTCCTTTTCGTTATCCTTGCGAATAAATTATTTCAACTCATTTACTGTTCATCTTTTTACTTTCATCTCGTCGTGTTAATGTAATATGATAATTTGAAATTTTTTTGCCTGATTCTTATATCGATTGTGAATGACATAGAGCATATATTTGATGTTTTTATTTTAATTTTCAAACTTGGTAAAATGAAATAATGCAGTGCATCATGTCAAACGAACCGTATGTGTCCTTAAGGCTGTGGATGATACGTTCTGCACGGAATAATAATTGATGAGCATGAAATCCAACTTTTAGGTTATTTCCATAAAAATATAAAGTACAATTATACATAATATTTAATCAGTCTATTCTAATTAACACGAATGACTATCGATCGTTTAATTTATAATATGGTTTCGTGTTGAAAACATGAAGAAATTATTTCATATATATATATATATATATATATATATATATATATATATATATTGTCAGTTCCATTTTTCCTCTTTGTGCTTTTTTTGTTACACACCATGCAAGAGGTCTTAGATAGATGCATAAAATTTACTACAATTGTATTATATATTTATTTTCATTTGTGAGTTCCTTTCCATAATTTTCTCATTATTGATTGAGTTTCTTTTTTGTTTCGCATAAATAAAAAATAAAACAACTTCACACTACTATTATTCCGTATTTGTTGAATGCTTATATAATGTAATCGAATAAATTTTGATTGTTTTCACGAAAATTGCCTAATCAGTTCATAATGTATATCAAATGTTTCGTAATAATTATCTTAAATAACTTAATCAACGTATACTTCATTTGACCTATTATGAATTCGTGTTTATTATTTTTCTTTTAATCAACAATTTGTACAGCGTTGATGTTTTTCAAACCACATACACGCATTTCACTACAGAATGACAAATGATCATCATGTGAAGAACAGCAAAATAAAACTTGTTATAGTGATTTCAAGTTGGTACACTTGAAAATAATGCACCGGTGACAAGAAGATCGTAATAGTTTAAAACTACACAAAGAAGATTAAAGAGCAGTATATATTAGAAATAGAAATATGTAGTTGTAAAGTGAGGGAAAATATATAAAAATGAGTCAATGTTTTGAATATTACTGTTTTAGTTTACTTTATTCGGAGGTCGAACAGCTAATAATTTCCGCTGCTTCGTATAATCTATTTAGTAAATTGTGATCGCATCTTATTTAATTTAGTCACTCCAGACTTTCACATATTTCATTTATTCCATCCAACTAACAGGTGACTGTTTATGCAACACACAAACAGTTTTATTATCTAGTTTGGTATTTCATTAATTTTTGTTAATTAGTCTGCCTATAAATACCTGTATTCTTATTAGATGCTCCTGGCCAATAATGGACCTCTCAAAAACCTAATGTACCGTGCTGGTTAAGTACAGATTAGTACATTTATTTGACGGTTAGTGATACTACTCAATTGTTCAAACTGAAGTAGATTGAAGCGGTTTTTGAACATCCTACTTAGTGGTTGAAAATTGTGTGATTTATTTACTAAACCACCGCTTCGTGTATGAGCTAGAAAAATTCACATTTATATAAATTCCATAATCTTTCAAGTGCATACACTATTTAATTTAGGGTAGAAAAAGTGTTAGCTATATTTAAACTAGCCTCAGTATTCCAAAGATAAATTAACGTTGTTAGATGTCTGTATATTGTATTATTGGATATTAATAAAAAGCGACTAAGTGTACGTTGTTTGTAAAGTTCTAGAATACAGCGGCTGAACTATTGATTCATTACTTTTTATTAATGACATTAGTTAATTACAATAAATTCCAGTGAACGTAATTTTGCTTTTATTTTAATTTACATAACATGAAAAAGGCTATTTAACCGAAACGTACCTATTATGATGTGTATGTATGTATTTATTTATTTTTAAAGGTTTCCACTTCACTGAAAACTGATTTGACCAGTGACAGTAATATTGTTATCAGAAATTCTATACAAAAATCATCCAGTACGAATGAATCAAACTCTATTGGGGGAGATAAACTATCTTCCATTAATAACGATGATGTAGATATAATGACTGTGTCTGAACGAAATAGTCGTGTAGACGAAGAAAACATTAGTGGTTCTATTCAACCAGAAGATAATGAATATGAGGATGTTGACATTAATTTTAAACCAAAACAATCTAATCAAGAAATTAATCAGTTATTCACTGTCAAAATTAGGGCCAGGTTTGTTTTTCCCTCTTTGTTAGTTAGTTTTTCTATGTTTGATTTGGTAATTCTTTTTTTCATTTTTTACTTCAATTAATGGATATTCATGGACGGAATTCATCAACTCATCTGCTCAACGTAGATTTTCTAAAGTTACAATAATAATTCACGTCCTGTATAGTGAGCTCAGATTTTAGTATATTGGTTAGTGATTGATGACATTAAGTGATGATCACATTTGGTCGTAAATTCACCGAATAAATAGCTCAATGGTTGTTGTGTTCGTTGCGAAATGAAAAAATCTTGTCTGTAATTGTACAGGCAACTATGCGTTGCTCACTAAACATTGAAGTGTGAAACTAAACCAAAACAGCTATTCGGTGCTGTCGGATTCTGAATTTGATATGAACTACTGATACAACTATCAGCTGTTGTCTATTTAGCTTGGTTTATTTGTTCAAAGAATTCTGTGGTTTTCTTGAGCTATATATTCTAATGTTATTTGATTATTTTGATATCAAAGGTTCACCTTAATGGAGTTATATTCATCTAATGAGTCATATGGATTGTCAGATGTAAATTGTTGATATGATTCCTAACCAACAAGGAATTCTATATGATTACATAAGATTTCAGAAGTAGTCTATTAGACTAGTTTTCGATGCTAACAATACATTTAAATTACATTTCTGTAGATACTGGACATTAGTATCTTTTCCGATTTTACCTTCGAGTTCTTGTGTGAATCCTATCAAATCTTACATTATTCTTGTTTGAATATTGAAAATAACAGGCTAAAAATCATCAATCTAAAATACAATGGTGTCTTTCATAATTAACTTGTAAACATTTTATTACCAAGGTAATTGAGTTTTCTGACTTTTTCAAATTCTTGATAAAGAAAAGCCAATGAAAATTTTCAGTCTTGTGTAGAATAGGAAAAAAAATATTTGTGATATATAAATGAATTCATTGTATTTCAAGTCATTCTATTAACTTCGAAAAAGCTAAATTTACGACGAATATTGAGGTTAGATTAAAAAGATTATCTCTTATACTTTAGGCAATGAAATTGAAATTGAAGTTCGAAACAAGACAGCAACATCCAGAAAAATAGAGTAAAAACACTAACATTATACACTGTAGCTAAATTTAATACCTATGAATGTATGAGAAAGGTATAGCTAAAGAAATTATAGACTGACGATTAATAAGTAGTACTAATTACTGACATTAAGTGGTTGCATAAATAAATGACGTAACTGGGATAGAATTAACGTACCGAGCGGAAATCTTTATTTTCGAAATTTCTGTCCATTAGTTTTACCTTTGTTCAAAATACTGAGTTGGAATTCGATAGGTAGTTTAAATTAATGATTAAGTGAGACCATGTTTACGTTTTCTTAGACAAACTGTCTCATTGTAGATTAAGTTTATTACTTATCTTATTCTTTGCACATTTTTCAGATGCTCAACACGAATTTTCGCAATCAGTTGTTTGCGTATCCTGATATCTAACTGTGCCAGATTGTGCAATACAACATTTGTAAATGATTCTCTTCCGTATATGAAAACATCTGTAAATGATGATGATACTACTGATGATTCGTTAATAAATTCAAAGTCACTCGCTCATTTTGATTTGGCTAAAGCTAGAATCCTACGTTCTCAATCGGGAAAATCCGATTGGCTTATTCTGTACCTGTCTGATTTAATTCGTGTAGCTTTCATGTCAGCCACATCGGATAGTGAACGACTTCGTATCACAGGTTTAAAACTTATGCAAGATGTTATTCAAAGATTTTCCCTAGTACCAGATCCAGACTATCCAGGTACTTTGTCTCACTATATTATTCGTTTTTGTTTTATTATCCATTTATGAGAATATTTTGTTCTATAAAATGACACCAAAGATATTTCTCGTCATCATCTGACATCTATGAATCCTGGATTCTATGTAATAAGTTATTTTAAGTGCACATTATTGAGAAGTCAAAAACTGAAAGGAAATCGTTAATAGATGTTTCAGTAGTTTTAGTGGTTCTCCTATTAATGTCAATTCTTATTGTACACACTCTCAGCCACTATCTTCTCAATTGTAATGAGTGATGCAACTGTTGAGTGAAAAATGAACAGTGTTTATTTCAGTTAACGTGAATCTGTTTGTCATTTGTTAGAAGTAAGAAATCTTAGTGGTGGTTTAAACTATGCAAAAGTCCAAAACCATTGATGCACAGCAGTATCCATTCTTTATTTCTCTCATGTTCACTTCCTTTCTTCGCTCTATTTTTTATTTCTCTTGCTTACTTTTCCCCTCAATACTGTTTTGGTAATATATATATATATATATATATATATATATATATATATATATATATATATATATAAGAGATTTTTTTAAACTTTTCAAACTGATTTCCAGTAATAGCATTGATAAGATTTAGTCGATTAACTTCCTAATTTAGGTAAGATTACAGTCCAATAAGATCAAATGAAAAGATGACTTAATTTATTTATGCGTCAAACTTTTGATGCCCGACAATATTCTTAGAAAATAATTCATGTAAATATTAGCATAAAGTATTGTAAATTTTTCTTGACTGAAAACCAAAGTGTTTCAATAGGTTTCTTTTCAACTAATTGTTTTCTCATGAAACTATTTTCAGATCATGTTATTTTGGAACAGTATCAAGCTCAAGTTTCAGCTGCACTACGACCAGCGTTTATGAATAGTTCATTGTTAAATTCATTCGACAATATAACAGTTGCACAATCTTCAACTACCAATAATTCCGTATTATCTGGTCCAGTTCAACCTAATCCAGAACTACTATCTATAGCATGTCAAGTGTGCAGTACATGGCTTACTTCTGGCGTTGGTCGTGATCCAGAAGATTTACGTCGTACACAAGACCTTCTAAGACAAGCATTTGATAAATTAAAACTTAACATATGCACTGAAGATCACTCATCCAATGTGTCTGCACAAGCTCAACAAGTAGAATCCTCCCAATGGATATCGGAAAATTCTGCAATAGTTGAGAGACTATCTGTTTTAGCTGCTTGGGCTAAAGTTTACATTTTGACAGCTGGGCATAGTAAGAAATGGGAAAATAAATTACACCAAAACAACACCACCTGATCACTAGTCAATCGTCTCAGGTCTTAGATGATGAACAATTGATGGATGATGAATCAGATGATATGATGAATGATGAAAGTGAAAATGACAATGATTCCGACTACAGTATGATCATTAAAGGAATATCAATAGAAGATATCACATTATTCGGTTAGTTAAACTATTTTATTAATTATTTGTTTGTTTCTCTATCTAAAGTAACCTTTGTTAATAGACTATTTTTTGGATAATAAATATATTAAAAAAAAATAAAACCCAGTTAATGGACAGATTCAAATTGTTCATCAAATCATTTGCCAACTGAGAAATAATAAATTATGCTGTAAACAAGCTTTTGTTTGATTTGAATCTAACAATTGTACGTTTGTATATTTTTGTAAATGACTATATACATATCCGTTCACCTTTCGTTCTATTAGTTTTTTAACGAGGGGGGGGGTATATTTCAATCAACTCCAAAAATAGTTAAATACAATAATCTATAAGTAATGAAACATTTTTGGTTTCCTATGTTGTATACGAGTTTGTAAAGCACTGGTTCTGTGCTTCAGATACTAGCATTCTCAAAATTTCATACAGTTTATTATTCCAGTTACACTTATTTCATGTTCTGTTCATGTTAGCTGGGCCATACCATCAGGTTGTGTCGTACACAAATACCAGAATCAGTGGTTCAAAAGTTGTCATATGGCTCAAAATCCCTAACAGCTGCACAGATGCATCTTCTCCCTATCTTACACTAGATCTTCAGTCCCAGTATTCCCTAATGAATAATTTTTTTATATTCTGTCTTCTCGAACTACATTCTCAATGCTTAGTCTTTCTCATTATCTTTGCAACTGTAGACTTTCATTCTATATTAGTTTTGTTAGTTTCATCTCATCGTGTTCATGTGGTATGGAAAGTTGGATCAACGTATATATATATTCTAGGGTCTACATTGATTATAACCCTATGACTCTTGTTTTATAGTTAGGTGCTTTTCTTGTCACTTATTATTAGAAACTTCTCATTAATCTTATTTTGAAATATATTTCGCCCACATATTAGAAGTGACTTCAGTTGTTTACCTCATAAACTATAATTTGTTTATCAAAAGGCTATACAGATATTTTAAAACTACAAATTAAATGTTTTCAATTTAACATGTGATAGATTTTAAAGTATAATTTCCATCGTAGTTTAAAATTGTTTTTCAAAAGAAATCATTTTTCGCGCTACGATCCTTTTTGAATTAGGACAGAATTATGTTGTTTTTTACTTTTTCATGCAATACTTAATTTTGCGTTGTCTGAGTGTTTTTTTTTGTATAAGTGAACCAGTTTGTTCCGCTTGTGCTATTTTCATATATAGGAACAGTGTACTGTGCAACACAGATGTTAGTTGATTTCAGGCATTTAAAACAATTATTCCTTTTCATGGGTTTTTAACAATCTGAAAAGTGTGTTTTATTTAATACAATACAACTGGTCGCACATTTACACGTCTATGGATTTTGTGTGTATACATTAAGAGATAATATTTGGAAATATAAGAGATAGAAGTGGTATATAATAGAAAGAGTAGGAAATTGACTCACCGTTCAAGGGATCATGCGGATTACCAGAACAGATATAAAGTGATAACTAGTTGGAGACTTATGAAATCATAAAAACTCACTTTTAAAGCTTTTACCTGGAAATGTAAAACCAAATTTAAGGTCATCTCTTTTTTCTGTTTCAATCATGTTTGGCTGCTTAGCAATATGTTTGTTTACCCGATATACTTATCAGAGTTTGAAGTTATTTGGGTACATATTTTGTCATCGTAAACTACAAATCTCGGTATACACATAAACTCCATGTATATATGTGTGTTAATGCCTGCATACACATAAACTAGTAAAATAAACAGTGTATAACGTACTCAGTGTTCAATGGGTAGATTAAAGTACTTATTTGTTTTACAAATCTTTCTTGTTTATACAAATAGATACTAATGCCAAGTATTTCTGAGATATAAAAACAAAATGAATATAGAATGAAAAAAAGTCTACAGTTGCAAGGATAATGAAAAAGACTAAGCATTGAGAATATAGTTCGAGAAGACAGAATATAAAAAATTATTCATTAGGGAATACTGGGACTGAAGATCTAGTGTAAGATAGGGAGTAGATGCATCTGTGCAGTTGTTAGGGTTTTTGAGCCATATGACAACTTTTGTACCATCAATTCTGATTTTCACTTAGACCCCTGTAGTGAACGTAAAGTGAGATGGGGAGAACCAATTTATTATTGTTTAGTGCAAAACTACAGTGTCTTCGTAAAATATAAAAATCATACTTAAAATAAGTCATTTGCATAGCTTCTTTGCGTTCTCCTTTACATGATCCATTAGTGCTCGAATTTTGTTGTTATTTCGATTTCTCTCCGATTTCTTTTCTGTCCCCTACATTCCAATCTTCTGCCGGAGGCATTCCACTTCCGATTATTGTGCATACTACTTATAACTATCAGTCTAAGTAGCATACACCACATATCTACCACATATATATGCCACATATCTAGCATGTTTGCGTATTTCTGCATGACTCAGACCAACAGTCAATAACTTCGTTTTCGTTTCGACCGAAGCCTTACTTTGTTCAAGATTAGTATGTGTTCTAGCATGCACTGAACTTAACAGCACACAAGGGGGATCAACTGTAATTGTCTATTCGATTGATCCTATGGTTAAAAACCTCACGTGGATTCCTGAGTTTAAACATCTGAAATGAAGTGAGTAATAAATACTTAGTAAACTGTTTTAAATCCATGCGCTAGTCGTAAGCCAATGACTGGTTTGTTTTCTTGAAAGAATATAGGAAATCCTTTTTTGCTAATGAATTACAAATTAAAAGTGATCAACTTTTTACACTGATGTTGAGTTCCTGTTTCTCTTTTCAGTCAGTTTTAAAAGCTGTCCTACTCTAAAATAAATCTTAGATATTAAATTTACAATTTCTTCTATCCGTGCTTTTTTCTGCCTTTCTACTTTCAGTTCAGTCTAATATAATTTTGCTGGCTTCTTCTGACATTTTTATTCAGTAGTTTTTCACATCATATAAACTTTTTTTTTCATATAATAATAATTTCTAATCTTCCTTCTGAGTGCGAAGCGATCATCAACTATTCGAGTTCACAATGTGCAGGTTTCAAGTAAATAATTGAATTATTTACTTTGCTTATTTTAATTGTTTTTCCTTATTTTCTGTGTCTGTCTATTTGATTTGTCAGTTTGTAAACCTGCTCCTTACCTTCAGTCGAGTAGTTGTTCTGCCGCATCACGTAAATTTATCTATCATTTATTATCGAAATGGATTCAACCGATTCTCCCAAATTTAAGTAATGCTTGGTTAGATGCACTAAAAATTATGCATATATGTGTCTACCAGATAATTTATCAACTCAACACTCATCTATCTTACTATCCAATGTCAATAATAATTATATTAATCATAATCTTGATCTAATACGTGGATATTATGCACGTTATTGGCCTTGTATGACATATGCATTAGCTTTATGGTTAACTAATAATGAATTATGTGTCGAAGAGATTGATACAAATTTACCAAAGAATGAAATGTCTAAATCAGCTCGACAATTCTTTTTAATTCTAGGTAAGTATTGATTTGTTATTGTATTTTTTTTACTAGAGAAAAAGAGATGATTATTACTTTTAAGTGGTAAGAAAGGAACGAATTCAATTTTCGTTTATCAAGTGTAAATTTGCTTTAAGTTAGGCTTTAATTCTCCGGGTACTAATAATATTGTTGCTTTACTGACCAAACCGTATTTTCTGTCTACTACATGAAGATTAAAAGTCGAACTAGATATGTATTATTTTTTAAGCCCACGATATATTCATTTTTGAAAGACTTGAATATTTCCTGTCAATTTTTATGTAGCATGTTTTTCTCTGATTATTTAAATACAACTGTTTCATAACGAATTCTATTCAATTTACCCTGACCCAAATGTTCATATAAATAACTCAGGTAACTAGTGTAAGTTTATCTACTATTAGGTTTGTGAACTTCATTTAATTTTTAGGTGTTAACGTTCCTGTTTATAATAGTCAAATTGAGGATACTGTAACAAGATTTTTTTTAAAAATTAATTGTTTCAATCCACTAGCTTATAAAATCTTAAGAATTGTAGATTGAATCTTTTAGGTTATAGGATTTTATTATTTATCACTTAAATTCAATCCATTTCTATGTATGTGATTGATTTCTTGCTTTTATGTATTTTTCGTATAAATTATGTTGAATTTATATGAATAAAATAATACATTTGTAATATCCCAATGAGTAAAATTTAAGTCTATGAAATTCCACGCCTTATTGTAAGTTGCTACTTCAGAGGATAAATAATTAACAGAACTGAATTAACACAAGTTTAAATAGACTATTAAAACAATACACCTAATAGTCAATTTATTCTCAATTATCAAATCAAACTTTGGCAATGATACTTCTGAACTTACGCTGAATATAGTTACGGTTTCTTATTTGAATATTAATTTTTATGTCCTCTTCAGTTATCTGAATGAATGAAAGATCAGTCTTACATGATCACAAAGCCTCTAAATGAGACCTCATTGGAGCTGGTGCTATATAGTGTTTTCAGATACATGAACTGTCCGAGAGTTTGTTCTGTCCGTTATTTAATAGACCTTACTGACAGCAACAAAACGCTATGTGGTTGAAAAGATGTGTGGCTTTTGTCTTGATCTACACTGACTCGTCTTTTCCAGAAAAGGAAATCAGCATCAGTGAAATTACTGATCGCTGAATAAAATATTTCACTGCTGTCACATCTAGCTAGCTGTACTTGTTCGCCTTTCTTTTAACAATCTAATCACTTTCTAGCAGGTTTTTGTGATATAATAATAGTACCTTGAGATACCACAGATCCCAGAAAATATAGTTTAATATAATTTTTTTTCTTCTTAAAACCTACTATACCGGTATTCTCGATGGCAATGGTGTTTCGTTGATTGCTTATTAATTATTGTTGTCTTACTATTTTTATCGATTAAAGGTATGTGTGCAGAAGCTATGTGTAATCCAACGTCCAAACAACCAATATCCATTATTCATACATGTTTGCGTTGTATTCTATGCCTATTGGGTAAGCCGAAGTTTCGTGCTTATCTGATGCAATCATCAACCGAAATATCTATTGAACTATTACAAATATTACATCGGTAAGTTTGTCGTTTGATCATACCTCCCCTGAATCGCTTTAATTTGGTGTGTTACGACGAAAATTATCGACTTCTATGGCGTTATCCCTGTGCTAAACTGATGACACGTCAACCAGCACTAGTAGCCTTGAGTCAACTCCGTATCCTTATTAGTTCTCAATATACTATGAATAATATATTTCAGACTTACATAGTTTATATACTAGCAAACCAGACTGTAGCACGTCATAAAATAAAAAAATGATACTTATGAAAGATCAGTTTCAAAGGTCGCTGTGAGTATAGAATACTGTAACTAATAGATTGGGAATAGATTAAGAATTAAAAATAATATAATAGTAGTTAATAGGATAAATGAAAGCTTATGACAAAATGAATATAAATATACATGACCTAGTTATTAAATATATATATATATATATATGTATAACTGTGGGATGTGGCCCCCTAAGAAAACTACCTGCTTCGGTTTGGGCACCCGGGCTGTGTCCTGGCTCTCACACAAGTCGAATGATTTATGTGGCGCATATCTATTTGGTGCCTTCTTGTACCTATGTTTATGTGTTTAAATAAATAAAATTTGACAGTCCATAGATTCCCTTCATTCTTTGTGGAATTTATAGAGGCACTGTTAGAATTATAACAGGATGGTTTATTACTCAGTTATCCCAGCTGTTACTGACTCTCTATGAGATACTAGGTTATGGATAGATCTGTCATTTGTTCTGCGAGCATTTTACACTACTTGATCAATGACAATATTTCAGTCATCACAGCACCATACACCTACTGGTAACTAGTCAATCATTTTTTTCTGTTTTTACTAATAAAGGTTTGAAAATTTTTTTGTTTACTTAAGCAACTGTAATAATTGTTTCAAATGGATATGCTTTGAGATTGATAGGTAAATTGTGTGCATTTACATGATTCAATTTTATACACTAAGGACTGATCACTCATATTATGCGCTGGAAATTACGCATATTGTCAAGTCATTGATTTTGTACAGTTTGTTGGCCAGATTATTATAGCTAAGCATATTATGTAACTCTCCAAACTTGTCGTATAACAAAGCGTACGTTGTCCGATAGGTAAGAATGTTAAATGATTTCCAGAAGAATAAGTTTAATTACAATAGGCTTTCTTAGCTACAAATTTTGTACAACGCACAAGTCTACAATATTGCAGTTTACAACCACCGATGCCATATCGCATGAGCTGACGACAGTTTACTGTTCGATGATTAGTTTTTAAGCAATTAAAACGCAACTTACACATCTATAGAACGTCTACTCTTTCACTGTTAATAACTGTGAATAGAGATGGACATATTGTGAGCGTTTGAGCGAAGTCGACAACGTGTATCTTCACCTCTCGATAATATGTGGACATTAAGTCGTATCGAAGTCGTGTTGTTTTCCGACGGTGTTTGAAGCTAATAATTTCCGTCAGCTAGTTGACTATCAGTGTTTATAGTAGACGACACTATTCCTTCAAAAACACTAATAAGTTGTAGATTTTTAGGTCGATTCCTTTCTTCAAGATGCCTTCTTCCACTCAAATTGTATGTTTTGTGATAGCTTCTATACCACTCGTTTTTTTATTTGGTTATGCAAACAAACTAACACTTGTTTTATTATACAGACCCTCAAACTCATATTTATCTTACAAATCCAGTGTTTAAGAATACACTTGACATATATATGTATACATATTCAATGTATATAAATATATATAAAGTGAATAGTATCACAATATTACATCTTGGTTAATCATATCTCGAGTTCATACAAACACACTAATCTGATGGCCTTAAAATATCAATAGTTGTAGAGTTCTGTAGACAATAGCAATTTTAAAAATATACTTTACCAATATATACAACTGCCATATTATGAGCAAATTGTTAATGTATTAATTCCTTTTTGTGAATATTTCTAGTATATTTTCCTTAAAAATATCTTGTATTTGTTTTTGTTTTTTAAATAAAATTTATTTTTAGACTTATACTTACTCGTGATTGTGTAGAAACACATTTATTATGCTTAGCCAATGTGATTCATATAATGATTGCTAGTAATGAACGTTTAATTAAAGAACGTGATAATTGGTTAACTAAAGGTAATGTTATGATGAAAGAATAATAACTTTTTTCTTTACACTAATTTTAGAGTAATTTCATTGAATCATTTTATAAGAAGTTGGCATTATATAGGTGGTAGATTGAGGTTGTTTAGGTATGAGAAGTAACTGTATTTAAGATGGAACGGTAAATGAGACCTTCGAGATAATGAACGGTATTGATGCAAGTCGAATACGTACATCTTCAGCGTACACTTCCTTGTCCACGTCAGAAATATATATATATATATATATATATATATATATATATATATTGATGTGTGGGCGAGAATGATATATTGGTTGTCTGCTTAGTCAGACATATAGATACTCTGACAGGTGTCAGATGAGTTATATATTCCCCTATCCTTATAATTATTATTGATTGATTGTTCATTGTTGTTGGATTGTGTCGGGCTTTTAGCGTTGAAATATATATTTACATTGTGGTTAGGCTAATTACGTGTTCTTGATCTGAATTGTGCTGAAGTCCTGTAGAATAGACACTGGGAGGAAATCTAGTGTAGATAATCGTTTAAGGTAAATTAACGTCCCATACGTGTAAACGTGGAAAACCAACCGTTATAACATATATATTAATAATTTGCGTACAGATTTATCCCATTTTTCTATTTGAAATTTCCTAGACAATTAGATTGTACATGATTTAAAATCTTAACATTTTTCATTCTTTTTCCATTATAAATGAACTAGGTTTATGTTCAATGCTCACAAGTATATACCTATGTGCAATCTTCGTATGGAACTAAAAACCCTCTAACTTTTTTTTAGTTTGCTTATACCTATTCATTATAGTTTATATCTTGATTTTAATGTATAACTCATGTTGTTTAATGTAATGTTGTTGAGAAAATCTGAATATAGGCTATAAATTCACTTACGAATAATATCATGTTAGAATATACTATAAATATATCAGGAAAAAGTAAAGTATTGTTCAAGATGATGTTCATGTTGTAATCTGGTGGATGATAAGTTAATACTGTCAAAGTTTTGAACTATGTATCCTGAAGTGACGGGATGAAAAGTCAAAATTAAATTGATTTCCTCATTATGATTCTTATTCAACATTGATTCCGTTTTAATTCAATGTGATGATTGATCAATATTTCTTTCTGTTGCCGTATGACATTTTATTTCTGTATAACATACGATATTCTTGTATTCAATTGACATGAACTATGCTCAGCATGTAATTTGTTATAACTAAGTACTTTTCATATATGTGATTTCACCCTAATTATTAATTAAAACTAAGTGTATGAATCAATATATAAATGAGTGTATTTCCGACTAGATTTGTCGTGGTTATTCGTGCTTCTGGCTGTTTGTGGAATATATTTCCTTCTTCTGAACTTGGACTTCTCTCTCTAGTTGGCAGGTCTGAGACGCGTCAGAATAGCTAGCTTATCTGTCATTGTGTCACGGAGTCTTCGTTTCGTTTTCAGATTAAGTGAACTCGTAATTGCTTCAAACATAGCATATCCCCCAATTGTTTCACTAACATTTACAAATTTTGTCAGTGTAAATACAATAAAATAATAACTTTTCAAAAAAATCTTGACAAAGTATGGGAAAAGCGAAACTACTACGGAAAAAGATTAATTCCTTAAAGTTTGGTGACTTTTTAAATAATTTTTCATCTACAACACCACGACATATTAGTAGCATACTACAGGGACGGGTTCAAGACAACCTACACGAATTTTCAGGTACTTTTTAACCAATCTACAAAACCGCTTTCGTAAATGTATTGTACATGCAAAAGAAAATAACATTATCACAAAGATTAAACAGATTTTACATATTAAATGACTCCGTTGATGTCTTCGACAGATTACTCTACCTGTAAACTACACAACCAACATGTAAACTCGTCATTATAGATATGCATCGTGTGTCTTCTCAATTTTGATTGCCTAGTCCCTATATTATGCTCATACCCGCCTAACTGGGCAAGACAGTATGATTTCAAACAATTCTTTTGTCTCTTATAATTTATATATGTGTTTCACTTTGTTTATAAACTATGGAGTCTTCTGTATGTAATGTTGTTAGACTGACATTACTTTTTATAGGTCTTTTGGAATTTATGGCGATTATTGCTTGTTGAATATTTAAGCTATTGTCTTATAATTTTTCACTTGTCTTTTCATGATCAACTCTTAAGAGTGATATTTATTTTCTTGCTTAGTGTTAATAAGAAATAGTATATAGTAGATGTATTTCACTCAACAATCATTTTGTTATCATAAAAGAGGTGAGATGTTAGCTGAATATGTATTATCAGTTCAAGTCCTCTTACACCTAAGCTATTTACTGTTCATACCATATCCCTACATTATCAATAATTGATTGATCTTGAAATTAAATGGATGATATTTCTCTAATTTGATTGTACTGTGTTCTCTGAGTTATGCGATTTGAATGAAAAGCATTCATAGGAATTCTGGACAAGATCATGTTCTCCTGTTTCATGAATGATGCTGAATGCTTCGCAATTAAATCTTCTCGCTCAAAGAACACAATGCCACCAGTAGCATTCTCCTGAGTTGTGTAAATCCACTACATCATTTCAAAACAGCGTTCCGCTGTTCTGAATTTTTATCAAGTACACATTGGTTTTAGTATTAGATTGGCATTTTTAAAAAATGCTTACCTAAAATACTCAATTCATTATGATTGTTTCCTTTTTATCTCTTACAGAATCAACACAGAATGCATCTAGTATGTTTATTTCACCAGAATCACAAAATCCGAAAAATAATTGTATGACATCAAGTACAATGTTACAAACTACTGGTCTAATTGACACTCAATTATATGAACATGGTGATGGAGGCTATTTGTCAAAATTTTTTGATCGTATCACTAATAATTCTAATATGGACTATGATGAATTTAATAAAACATCGATTAACTGTCAAATGAATAATGGTATATATGGAGGGAAAACATTTGCTGGTTTACATCCTGAAAGATCAATTGTATTTACATGCTTAGAAATTGTTGTCTGTATAGTGGCACGCTATCAATCACAAATTGTCAAACAATTTCCTCTTTCCAATACTAAAGATGATGTTGAATGTAAAAGTAAGTTATGTTATCGCATTTTTTTTTAGAAAAAATTACAATTTAGTTATTTTTCATCAATTGAAGATGTATTAAAAGTTATTGTTGCAGTTAAAGCGTAGCTAACTGTGGAATCTAAGACGCGCTTTTTATCCAATCTTGCACTCATCAACTGGATGCAATTTCTTTTCAGTATCGATGTTCACACACAACTGTTTAAGAGTTAGTTTAAATCGGTGAATATCAACTAATTCTTCCTAGTTTGAAATTTTTAGCATTGAGCACACATCTTAGACAACTGTCAAAACCAGTTAGCATGGATGAAAGTGATTATCGATGTCATTCAACTACTATATCGAATTTCATATTGCATGGAATTACTTACATTGTTCATCTTTATTTGTGTGTGAGTATCATAAATACACAGTTAACTACGGCTCCCTTTTTCGACGTTGGGTTTAGTATATTGGAATATATCTATTCTACTGTCTGTTTACTGTTATGGATTTTCTCAGTAGATCAACTTCAATCCTATATTTTACTTATTTAGACTTTTAAATAAATACTTATCACTTTGTATATATATCTACCCCATTGTTCTTCCAAACGATTTATTAAATACAGTAGGTTGAAACGTAAATCTTCGTCTAACTTCATTTCTTTTAAACAAGAAATTTTAACTACAACTGAATGGAGTCGTGTATACACTGTCCTGCTAGTCAATGTGCTAGTCTTATTCCGAATAGTACTCTTAGAAAAACGTATCTTTCCCCCCTCTGGCAGTTTTTGCTTTTGCAATGTTTTCGCATAAACTTAGATGGATATTTGGTTATTTATTCCCTGAAGAAGTGGCCCACACTGAGTCACGAAACGTCAGAAAATCTAATTTTTCTACTCATTCGGATATTACAAATATATTAATTTATTTTGATGAATGCTCTTCATTTTCCTTCATGATAACTTTTGATGCATGTTTTTTATATTGGTAAAAATAAACAAGTGTATTACAATGTGTTGGCTAGAACTGGGAGAAAAGCTTATAAATTGAATAATAATTGAAGTGAAGTTTGAACACAATTCATTTCTGTATATCGTTACAGCTCAATTAATAAAGCTCTGAACCTTTGCCGTTGAGGCCACAGGTCAATACAATTGTATTACGATGTAACTCTTTGAACTTCTATCATTGTCTTAGTAAACAAATATTATGAGCAGTTTTAGTTTTGTAACTTTTGATTACTATACACTTAGGTTAGAGCCCACAATAATTGAACCAAATCTTATTTTAACTCCTCTCTTCTATAATTATGTATTATTTATGTGAGAATAGTACATCATCTATGGATATATTTTCTTGTTATTTCTTATTTCAAGATCATATTATTCCAGAGACAACATGCGCCTCCGATGTAAATGCTCCGCTTGTTCTAGCAACAGCTTTGAAATGTTTAATCCCATTAATTGATCTATGCGCTCCAAGAACTCTTTTAAGTACATTAAGACTTGCTAAACAGAATCAAAATTTTCAATCAAATGATTGTGTGAATAGTAATATTAGTGTTGAAAGTGAGATTAATCATCCAAGTACATCTCAAGCATCAATACATCAACAAGAATGCTTATTGCCAATTCTATTAGATTTATCTAAAGAAATAGCAAAGGTTAGTTGTGTATCTTTCTTTTTCTTTTAAAAATAAGTCCCATTTAAATTTATTCATGGATTTTTCATAGTATAACTTCATGTATGATGATATGTTACGTTTAGAAGATTATTGATAAGGTGTATCGATGATCGACTAACTTATCTAGCAATTCAAAGAATCAGTAGACCTCTGAATTTTTCCTAATCATATATTACATTGATTGATCGGACAAAAGTAATTGATTAGTGTGAATTTTGTATTCATGCAGACGGTCGAATGTAAATCGGACAGATCAATGAGAATGTCTCTGTCTGTGACATTGAATGGCATTAGTTCAAACCTCACAAGGTGCATGAATTCCTTTTGATCGCTTCCAAGAGACATTTATTAGAAGTAGATCGATTAACTAATCTTGGAAAAAACGTTTTGCATTAATGTCATTACAACCGTGATGTACCAGTTTTTTTCATATTTATTTGTCGTGTTGGATGCTTGAAAATGACTTATATTCTATTGACGGGTGTTATGTCAGTTCGTCATCTGATTATTGACTAAATTGAATAGTTGTAATTATATGTTTCACGATGCTAACATGCTTGTTCCTTAAAGCTTCTGGACTTTGGTTTCGATAAAATTTTAGGTAAAATTTATTATGAAGAACTAATCAGAGTCAATAACACGACCTTTACGCTTTTGTGGTAAATTCAAAAATCATGTTAAACAAGGAGTTGAAATACATTTACATACTGCCCATTGTGATCGATTATGTGCCATGTTAAACAGTCTCCAACCATTGGTTACGATAGTCACGTGGACCACAACCAAGTAGTCTGCATCTACCAACATGGCTCAGACTAGAAGTTAGTGACTTCAAGGACTGATGCCACGTTTTGGTTTGGCCGCCCCTAACTTTCTTCCAACCATCCCCAACACCGGATAGCATTGCACGTCGTGGTAATCGGTGTTCAGGCATACGTAATACGTGGCCCAACCATCTCAGTCGATGAAGATTTACAACCTCATCAACTGATTTACCATCATTCCCTAATATCTTGTGTTTAATCTCACTATTACTTACCCGATGATCCCAGCAGATACGAGATATATTTGTAAGGCATCTGTGGTCAAATACTAGTAACTTACAAGTATCTTGTACTCTCAATGGCCACGTTTCGAGTAATCTGTTGAAGATATCAACGAAGTCATTTATATGTAAAATCTGTTTAATTTTTGTGATAATGTTATTTTCTTTTGCATGTACATAACATTTATGAAAGCGGTTTTTAGATTGGTTAAAAAGTACCTGAAAATTCATAAAGGTTGTTTTAAACTCGTTCCCACATAAATTATCCTTTATCAAATGTTCTTCTATATATATTTTTAAAAATTTGTTCTTATGACTTTATATTTTTACCGACTTATAAGATTATGGTTTTTTTAATTGTTTTGCAGAGTATATTAATAAAACCAATTCAATGTTCAAATGTGAAAAGTAATTTTGCCAATAATCCATTACAAACAAAGAAATCAAACGAGATCTACTGTGTTAATAATAAAAACAGCAGTTATAATAATAATATTAATCTATCCATATTCAAACCATATGATCTAACATGTCAATCATCGAATTTATTCACTTCATATTTAATTGGTGAAGATGAAACAGAAATCTCATCAACAACAACTAATTTATCTGTATGCGCTGTTAATGAGCTATTAACATCAGTGAAATCATGTCAACAAAGTTATCAACAATATCGTTTTATTAATCAATTCATTGGTTGGACTGAACAATCAGCTGAATTAGCTGAAGTTTATATTTCATTATTGAATAAATTGGCTGTGCATCATTATCCTGCTCTGTCAGCCAATTCACCTAATCAAGATTTAAATGTGAATAAATATTCGGTGCATTTATCACAAACAGCTGAAATTCAACCGGATAGTAGTAGTATTTCTAGTGTAAAAGAACAATGTAATAATTCAGTTAATTCTAATGTCAGTCAATCTTCAACGATGGATATTATAAATGAGAATACAGTGTTAAATGCGTTCACTGAATGGTATCATTTAATTTCAGTTAGTCTATTATCAATCCTACGTCATGAACATGATAATGAAACAGGAGTAAGTTTAGTGCAACGTTATTTCTTTTTATGAATTCTGCTGATTTGTATCACTATAAACGGTTATTGGTTCTATTCAAATTCTCTCAGGACGTAATAAAATGTAAAAGATGGCTCACTAAACAATCGATCTCTGTAAATGTTTTTAAAATATTCTTTAATACTTCATATTCACATTGTTGTTTAATCTTATTGGGTCAACACATATTCAGTTGGTAATTTTTGTGTAGAATGTAGTCCAATATGAAACTCGAAGGTTATCTGCGAAACAAGTCTTTAGCTATGTCGTACATTACCTTAAAATCATGATGTTCTAAATTTTCATTATCAATTCAATTAGAAATTTCCTTGAAAAAACTCTCCGTTTATGTACCATCTGTTTATCAACATCGCCTTAAACTATTCACACAGACCAGTACTTACGTATATGTATACATAAATTTATGTTTATCTATTCAAAATATAATGCATATCTGGTTCAGAGGTTTTATTAATACATGGTACAGTTTTTATAAATTTATGTGTGTAGACCGATTATTTATTGTGACTGTTACTATGCTCACGACGAGAATAAATATTATTAGCTCACTAAAAGTTGAATTGTTTTATTTTCACGTATTTTTCCCATTATTTATTTACCAATTTTTCATCATTTGTGGCAGGTGTATATTCTTATCTGTAGTATTATGTGAGAACTAACATTGAATCAGTGCTGCATGGAGAGATACATCAAAGTTGATTCATTCATTTATTCAATAACTGATGCAGAAAATTAGTGTTTTATTCAGATATATTGTTTATAAGTTTATGTTTTTTTTAAATCTCTATATAGTGTAAATTTAACTAACTGATGACTGTTTGCTCGATCGGTTGACGAATTGTTATTTTATTTTCCTTTTTTTGTTGTTGGTAAATTATTCTTTTTTCACGTTATACGTAATTGTGCAACTCATTTCTTTTAACTCATGTTATTGTCATCATTACAGTAAAGATTAAAAAAGTTGTTATATTCGGGTCGTCGTAATTGTTGTACCGGAAAAAGCTCTGATCACTTATACTAGGAACAAGGGACCCCTGCAATTCCCACGATGCGAAGTAAGAACACAAAGACTGGCATAAGTAAAGATTTATTAACTCCAAAACACGACCACGACGACGACAAATCTTGTCGAAAATGCACTCATTTATATATTGATTGTACACCCATTTTGATTAATAATTAGAATGTACAGATAATTCCCATTTAAACATTAAAATTAAAACACGAATTTCAGCGAAGGGATCTCTTTTCAACGAATTTATTATCAAGCTGTACAATCGTATATATATGAAAATTTTGTTTTTGTAAAAGTACTAATTCCGTGAGGAAATGTGAACACAGTTAATATAAAGGTTATAATACCAGATTACGTAATATGAATAATAACAATAACAATGGATTTGGTGAATATAATAAGATGATTAAAGTGTTGTTTTTTTTAATATAATAATTAAAGGTCATAGAGGTGTAGAAAAATAAACTGATATGATGAGCGTTCATGAATAAAACAATGAGAATATAAGACATAAGTATGTAAGTAAAGGGGGGGGGGAATGCGGTAATAATAAAAGTAATAATAATAATAATGATAATAATAATAAAAGTAGGATAATCAAAATAATTAAGGCCAAGGTAACGATAAAGATAAGACGTACTTCTTTTGTACGCATAGTTCTGGTTTAAGCTCCTGGATGGTAAGAGCTTCGGCTATTTTTAAGAGTTGGATACGAAGAAATCTGGGTAGATTTGAACGAATCATATAAACAAACTTAAAGTCAATTTGTGGATCTGTTGAATGGTTATAGTCGATTAGGTGCTCAAGTATAGAACTCCTAACTGCTTTCCTTTCCCCCTTATAGAACCAAGCTGGAATATATTCCAGTATCCGAGTTGAAAGCGAGCGCGGGCTACGGCCAATGTACCTTGCTCCACAAGAGCAGGTGAACTGGTAGATGCACATGGAGGCAACCAGACGCGGAAGCTTATCTTTTATGGATACAGAAAATAAGTTTCTACTGGTGAAGGTTATTCGCAGTTTTGCCGCGTTAAATGTTCTTCTAATAGTTGTTGTTAGACGGTTTTTGATTACCGAACATCGGACGTAATCAAATTAAATTTACCTTCAGAATCAAACAAATGTTAGTGTTTACATTTGTATATTCAAGTTTACTCTACAGACTTTCATGTGTATGATAAATGTATTTCAGACTATTTGAATTAGAACTCCGTTTTGTATTTGTATACAATTATATTCAACAATTTATAAAATGTTTGTGATTATTTCAAACTGATAAGTGGATCTCTTTTGGCTAAATATTTTTCATATATTATCTTTTCTGACCATATACAGGTTGATAATTCTTCACTACCTAAATGTTGTCTAGCATCAGCTTATCTAGTCAGCCGTATATGTGCCAAGTGTCCTATTCAGGTTTTTAAATCAACAAATTTAGTCAATGAGCTTTCAGAACTGCTTTGTCGTGGATGGTATTTATCTCCAATTTCTGACAATCAATCAAATGGTTTAATGAATAAAGATGCTAATTCATTGGAAAATCCATTAATGGATATTTCTAAATTATTTGAATCGAAGCTTTTGCAAAATCGAATAATATGTTTAAGATCATTTGGATTGTTATGCAATCATCATGAATCTTCAATTAGATCATTGTTTATCAAAACATTAACTCCTCAAGTAAGCAAGTATTTTTCACTGAATTATTTCGCATTTTTATATGTAACTGAACATTTGTTATGTTTACAGTATACTACTGTTGGCCTAATAGTAGTCAAAAGTAGTTTGCTACTTTGAAAGTTTTCAAAATAATTTCATATTGCAAAATTTCAGGTCGATAAGATTCTACAAACTCAGTTGCTGTATATGTTTACTTATTTGCCTTAAGATAAAATAATACACTAAATTAATTTAACTAGGAAAAAAAAGTTATTCTGGAATTTAAAAGTGATATAAACAATCTAAGAAAAAAATAAGGTATTAAATGTTAGTCAGTCATCATGAGCACAGAACCGGGCACAAATGTACGTTGCATATCAAATTAGCAGGACGAAATGAATATAGTAAGATGATTTGCAAAAACATTTAAAATAATGCAGTAGCGATGATAATGAAAAAAAGACAGCAGTGTGAATCCTGTTCCAAAAAAACACAACATATAAGTTTATGGAGCGATAGAGAAGGAATGCGACTACGCTGCTGAATAATGTTGATCTATATCACCAATCGTTTCCAACCGTCGATCACCGTTATTACAAGGACTCCAATCAGGTTGTTTGCATCTACCAACTTGGCTCAGACTAATAATCAACAATTTCATAAACTGATGCTGTATCTTGGTTTGAGCACCCCAAACTTTCATCCAAATTACTTCTACCACCAGCTAGCATCCCATACCAAGATACGAATGCGTATCACATTGCCCAACTACATCGATCAATAAAGATTTATAACCCAGTCAATCGAATTCTCACCTCTACCTAGTACCCTTTGCTTAACTTCAAATATTGCTTGGTTGATCGTTTCACGAACCAGAGCGGTCCCTCAAAATTCTGCAAGCTAAACATATTTCCTATTCTCTAAAACTATATTTTACTGCTAGAAATTAATACTATAGGTCATGTGTCACTTTCAGATTGAATCATTACGTAGTTCGTTGATAGATTTAGTGTTTCTAGTGGCCTCCAAACTGCCAAGACCCCCTTTATTTCCTCTACACAAATTAACCTTAAAGTAGGGGTTTGTTCTTGATGGAGTTTTGTTCTCTGAGCTGGATGGTTTGGTCGTGTTCTCATAATCCCATTTTCTCTTTACTGTTCAGCGGTCACATATGGTATTCTGGGGACTAGTAAGCAGTTATGAACTCACTATCAAGCGTTCAGATATATATGTAATGTAATATAGTTTCGTAATGATTTTATTTAATGACTCAGCAATTCTTCTATGTTTTAGGTATTTCATTGGTTATATGATCTAACTAATATTGTTGAAATGTATTCATCTAAACAACAACAACAACAACAACAACAAAAGTTAAATACATCACCTGATTTATTCAATATTCAAATTAATCTAAATGAACTTGTTTTATGTTTAAATGAAGCATTTGATTTACTTACTTCAATAATTCGTATCGTTGAAAGTTCAAATCGTCAAGCTTTATTATTAATTTATTTACCATTATTATGTAATCTACTTACAAATGAATCGTCTGTTATATTAAACCGGTTAAATTATAAAAATAATATTATTTCTATTACAAATTCATTAGATTTAATTTATTTCATACATATTATTACATTAAAACATATTATAACAATAGCTCCATGTTTTCCAAATGAATTTCGTTCAACGTTTCAACTTCTTAATGATTTTAAATTACGTTTAGAAAATGCAATAAAATTCTCTAGTCCATTAATTACTACTACTAATAATAATAATAATACCAATCATGATTATAATCATTCGAAATATCAATTAACCAATAATATCCCATTCATTCATAACAATCAAACAATTCTGAAACATAATCCTCAATCGAATTTATCATCGATTAAATTGAAAACAGATTTCAGTAATTATACATAAATCAATAATGATAATTATCATCGCGTTTATAAGATAATATAATTATCCAACTTCGTTATAAACTTAATTATAAGTCAATATCTATCATTTGTATGTATTTATATGATCTCAAATGATGGTCATTTCATTTTTGTCTTATTTGTTTAATTTATGTTCTTCTAGCTTTGTTGCTTCTTCTGTCATAGAAACAGTTGTTAAGTTCTTTGATATAATTATCACTTATAATAGTGATTCTTATGATTGATATTAATTGATATGCATTTTATCCGGTTAAATTATATTGCCTTCTCTTCCACCATTTTTAAAAAATATTTTTGCTTTCTTTCTTTCTTCTAACTCTTGTTCTCTATCTTCAATGAATTTGTCTACAATCATTATTGAATGTAAGAAGTGAAAACAACGAATCTATATTGATTGAATTAGGTTTATTGTTGTTAATGTTGACTGGATCACCTCATTTATTATCTCAGTATAATTTTAATTTATGAGTATTATTATTATTATTTATTAAATTTTAGGTCAATAATGTGACGGGAAAGAAATATATCTTTCTGAAATATTTCTAATTTAATGGATTATTTCACGTTGAATGATGCCCACAATTATATGTGGTCTTCCCTATGGTATAATACACATAAAATTTGTGTATACTATGTGTTTTCATTGTCTTTCGCTAAAAGGAAAAAAAAGTACATCACATCATCATGTGAACTTTATATATTTCAAAATTCTTTTTGTAAACATTTGACTGGCTGTATGTATAGTAACTTTTCTCTTATTGTGATAATTATTTAGATTGTTATTGCTTTTATTGTCGGTGTTGTTGTTGCTATTGTTAAGAGAAGTTTGTGTTTTGGCTTTTCGTTTATTTATTTTTACATTTAACTGTACTGATGATATTTATTCAGTGTCTAATCTGTCTCCTTTCACTGAATGTTAGAAACTTACGTGAAAACATTGTAGGTTCTTATTTCTGTCATAATGCATTATATAATATGAAAAAAATATTTTATTTGAATGATATTCATCCTCTTATTTGCTGTGTATTGACAAATCATAACGATGAAGTGCTGTGTTGAACAAATATGGATATTTATTTATTCTTATCTGCAAAATATTGTTTTAATTTTCATCAGGTTATAGATTTCATGTCAATCAGTGGAAGGTAATTAGTAGTAGGAAGCAATGCATCTAGGATTTGTTCTTGTTGATACTCGTCGGTAAAATGTATTTGCAATGTTGAACAAAACGATGGTTGTCCTGAAATTTGTAACCACAGAAAGATATGAATACGGAAATAGATTATAATTTCCACGTATGACTTCTCCATGATGTTAGTATATAATTTCACTCGGTTAACTCCTAAGAGAATTTGTTAATGAAGATTTTTTAGATGATTAATTGTCTACGAAACTATTTGTGACGAATAATCAGAAGGGACCACCTCAGGGTTGAAAATAATAGTAAAGAATACATTCACATCTATTCGCTCTGTTTTATTTGTCTTTTCATGGCTTTGTTGATTTCTTTCTCATATGGCCACTGCGTACAGTATGGCAGCTTGAACTTGGACATTACTACATACAGTTCGATACTATTGTCTGCGAATTAGAACGACTACGCATGATATCATATCATTTTTTCTACTGCTGCTGCTACGTTCATGTGATGGTCGGGCTTGCCTGTTGTGACGAATTAATTGTGCTACATTTTCTGTAACAATCGTACCTCAGGATTCTACCATGCCAGGTAGATCGGTTGATGAACGGCAAAACTAAAAGAAACAAACTCAAGGTCCGAAGACGAAGTCGTACTACTGACTGTAGAGAGGTGCGTCGGCATTAAGGTGTTTCCCTCAGACAACCAGCATAACAGCGATGCTGCCTTCTCTCGAATATAATATCGTTGATGTATCCTATGTCCCTGAAACGCGCATACACAGGGTATCAGTGTGATCATTCACGTGACCTCACCTAGCCAAAACGGAGAGCCGACGAGTTTGGCGACTCGACTGAAAATTTTAGTGGTCTGGTGGGTGTAGGCATAGCACTAAGTATGAGGGCAGAACAAGCACCGTTAGAATGGATCCCTGTTGCCAGTCACGTATATGGTGTACGGTTTCTTAGGAACTCGGAAGCACGTCGTTGCCTTTGTTTCACTTCTGAATACGCACCCATTGACTGCTGCTTTGATGAAGTGAAAGGTAAGTGTTATAGAAAGCTATCTGAACTTCTTCAAAAAGCTAAACGCTTAGACATAGTGCTCGTAGGTGATTTTAATGCCCAATTAGGTAGCTTAAATCAAACTGAAAGACATTTCAGTGGTATTTTCTTATTCCGGCTCAGCGAACAGATAATAGTGATTTCTGCTGCAACTGTGCTCAGACAATAGTTTACTCATGATAAGCGCTAATTTTAAACATAAGGAGAGACATCGTCTAAGATGGCGACATCTTGCACCATGCCAACGACGGAGAGACTTGGTGGGAGACTGCCTCTCGTTCTGGAATACATGTTTACACTCTGATCATGATCTAATACGGGCACGCACTTGCTTGTGCCTCACTGGACACAGTAAGAAGACCTATTCGAGTTGAACTGAGTGACGAGAAAGCCAAAGGTAAATTCCAGGAACAAGTAAAGTCACACTTAGGCAGTTCTGAAAACAAGATATTGTTTGGAAAGATATACGAACAGCTGTGGAAACAGCAGCGACATCTATTAGTGACTTGAACCAAAGGGTTACGAAAAACTACTCTACTAAGTATATTGTACTGATGGATTCTTGTAAACTCATCCTATCGGGCTCTGAACACAATGAAGAGCGTAAAGAAAGAAAATTTTGTTAACCAAAAGTCTGAGGAACGACCGTGAGCAGTGGTGCGCAACGAAAGAAAAGGCAATGGCTGGAGGTAACGCAAGACAGCTCTTCAGACTAATAAAAGAAACTGGAATTAAGAAACCAAGTGTAAGTGAGACGACACTTATCTGCTTTCAGTCGCGACTTTTCGAACGATGGGCGAAACACTGAGGAGCAGTTGAGCTACTCTGCATCTACACACTATTTTCAAACAGCCGGAATGTAACATTGAAATAGATTCCCAACTGTAGTTGAAGACGAAAAAGTAATAACTAATCTGAAACGAGAAGCAGTTAGTCCAGATGAATTAACTCCGGAGATCTTTAAGCATGGTAGTCGTTTTAACGTTTAGGTTAAGTGATATTTTAGCTAAAATCTGGGAGATGGACGTAATCCTATCACACTAGTCTCAATATATAAAAAGGGGTCAAAATCATCCTATGACAACCATAGAGGGATTAGTTTGACTAACATACCATCTAAAATACTAGCCTCAATAATTATCGGGCGTCTAACTAAAACTGATGAACTGCAAACACGAAAAAACCAGGCTGGCTTTAGACCTGGTCGTGGCTGCATCGACTACATGTTCAGCATTCGTCAGATCTCAGAACACAGGCATGCTTATAGACGTCCGACAATGATAGTTTTTCTCGAGTACAGGCAGCATTTGACTGTGTAGATCAAAAGGTTCTGTGGCAGTGTCTCAGAAATACATTAATCTTGTGAGGGGTCTTTACTCGAACACTAGCAGTCGAGTCAGAACTTATGGCGAACTGTCATCTGATTTTGCAACCTCAAGTGGTGTCAGACAAGGCTGTTCACTACCTCCATTTTGTTTAGTTTCACCACAGACCTACTGCTGGAAATAACGTTCTTGCCGTCAGAATATTCGCAGATGACAAACCTGTTTGGTGAAGACGCTGATAAAATGAAGTCTTTGGTAGCATTGAGCAACAATACCAAGATGTTTGGAATTCATTTCTTCCCCCCTCTAAATGCAAATTGTTGCATTAATACTGGCCTGCATCAACACCTGAACTAAGAATAGGGAGTGAAGTAGTCGAACGCGTCGACAACCTCATTTATCTTGAAGGTCTGATCAATCTTAATTGGTTGGTGTCTGACTAAATCTCTGCAAGGATTCAAAAAGCTCGTTTGGCTTTTGCTAGCTTACGTTACCGATGGCGAAGTAGAAATGTCCTTCTATCAATGAAAGTACGCAGTTTATTCTATTCTACATTGCGGCTGCAAAAAGTGTCAATTAAGGGTAGAGGATACCCGTAATTGGCTAGCACTTGATCACATATATCTTAGAAATATTGCCAGCATCTGCCGGGTAAGTAATAGTGAAGCTAAACGAAAGGTGCTAGTGGTTGATGATAAAACAGTTGATGATTTTGTGGATATTCATCGACTGAGATACTTGAACCACTAATTATTTCTCCTTAAATCATATCCTTATATGCAATCTTTTTTTTCTATATATTATTACCGTTGAAGTAACTGCTTCTATGAATTGGGTGTTCATCTTGTTGTGTTAATGAGGTATGACAACTTGGACCGATGCATATATGTTCCTGGTCCTGCGTTGTACATGACTGACTGACTGATCAACAACTGATGGTGTCATATAGATACAGTTTTAAATCATACAAACCAGTCTGTCAATTAAAAGAAAACTGAAAAGTAAACATTGACGCATTCAATAATAGATAAATATTATGATCTTTTTTTTCTAGGTTGCTTCATCTGTTCAAGTAAATTAGCAAAAAGCAATAATTTTAATAATAACAAAGATAAATAGGAAGTCGACAGCTGTGATTAGATAATTATTTCTAAAAACAGTGGTTTACATCACTTGTGCGTGAGTGTAATCAATTATCAATAAATGAATAAGGAAAATGAATCTTTTTCAGAGGAAAGACTAGGTTACAATAATAGTTAAAGAAATACTAAGAACATAAATATAAACAAAATAACCTGAAAGCAAAACGACAAAGCTAAGTGTCAATAATGGTGCTATTGTTACTGTGTATATGTGTGTCCAGGACAGAGTTCTATGGAGAATGCTGGTGGGTGACCTATGATCCTCCACAAAGGGTAACAGGCGTAAGTGCATGTATCGATTTCTTGTGTCCATCAAGATGAAAATGTTAGACACATGAGTGAAAGAAGAACAAAACTGACAAGATAAATCATGAGTAAAGTTGTCTTAGAGATCACGATTTGATGGAAAGAAGTTATGCAGAAACGACAGATTCGAAATACGATTAAGTAAATTCAGGATGAAGAGAAACTAAAAATGAAAAAAAACGGCTGGCAAAAGGCAAGCAAACATAATCAAAAATATAGCTGTCATAACTAATTGAAATAATATTATATTTCTATCATTGTTATTATTATTGTCTCGAGAGAAATGAAAATTAATTTTATCACCTGTGAGCAAATTGTCGGAAAATAGAGGAAAAGTAAATAAATGAATAAAAATCATCTTTGTAACAATTGCATAACATGTATATCAAAATGAATGAAAATTAAATAAGTTTAAAGCACAAAGGCCCTCATTGAATGAAATGAACAATGTCAATACAACACATAAATAGCGATAACATAAACAACATTGAACTAAGTATAAACATTACTATCATTTAAACAATAGATGAATTATTTGATAAACGTTGTTGATGATTATCATAGGATTCAATTAAATGCTCTTCAAAACAAATAAATCCTGAAGGTGAATTTACATGATGTGAATTGATTAAAGGGATATAAGGAGTGTTGTTGAATGAAGATAACCGGGTAGCGGATCGATGTCTTATGCATCCGGAAATCTACATAACAGTAGTAAGCAACAAAAAAAACGAAATATTTAATGAATAGTATTATGGCAAAACATAAGATAGAAACGTATATAAACTGAATAGACAACAGATATGATGACGTGATGATAGTTGTCATTACAGATTGAAGTAAAATGGAGAGAAAAACAAATTGAAAAACCAAATCTCACAGAGAACACCATACCTTTAAAGTCAAAATTCAATGGTAAACACTATTAAATAATATTTAAACTCAATCCATCTTCATGAACAACAGGAAAAGAAATGAATTATTCAAAGTTTTGTCGAATTCTGACTTGAATAGTGGGGAAAGAATTAAATTTGACAACTAACAATATAACACGGAGCCTGATTTTTTACAAAAAACAAGCGTGTAATTGAGAGTTGTTCCTTTAGTACAGAATAACAATTTAAATGTAACAACTTAAATCACAATATGTGTTTCCCCAGTTTCACCTTATGCCTAAATTATTTTAGTAATCTTTTTCAACTTGTGCGAACGATTTGTTTAGTGAAATCACACCACTTACATTTTTAATACGACCACTGTGATACCATTGAACAATAAAAGATTGTTAATAAAATAAAAGAAACAAACTTTAACAATTTACGACAAAACATATTATAGACAACATTATGATCAAGAAAACACGACAGAGGAATTACAATAATAATACGACAATACTACATCACTGTTACTATTTAAGTCATTGGTAAATAACTACCATTACTTACTGAGACAATAGGTTTTCGGAGACGAACACTAGATGGGTGGTATTAAGTGAAGGAATGAGAGGATACACTTAGAAGGTGAAATAAACAAAAAGACTAAAATGAAGTGAAAAAAATTGTAACCTGTTGATTATTCACACAAACTGCTGATTAAAAAGTCGGAAGTGAGGAAGAAGGCTGAATGAAGCTATGTTGCAGGCTAATACTGAGGACCACCGTCTCCCCATCTTGATGGTATTAACTAACTAACATTTTATCAAATTTTCCCTTATCGACAGTAAGCTTATTTTATTTGCATATACAGTAAGTACTGTATACAGTATCGTTTAAATCATCAACCGACCAAAATTAAACTAGGAAGCACTGGATGACCGATTCATCTTAGTATGGGACTCCCCATCAGTGCTCACTCACTACCCTGACAATGAGAATCAAACCCAAGACCTTCAGCCCCATGTGCAGACGCTTAATCTTTAAACCACTCAACCGGCATTCAATTGTGTTTATAAAGTATCTTTAGTGGTATTTAACATGATATAAGCAAAAAGACAAACTGTTTAGTATTCTAGTAAACTAGATGTTCACAAAAAAAGATTAATCTATCACACTAACTGATCTTACCCAATATTTACTTCACCACCTGTGTTATTATTCACCTTTGGTTTTCGTGTACATACTGACCTAGAAGAAAATGAAGTACATTATCCACAATGTATAAATGTAATGTGCGTTTACATGGAGGGAAAAATTGTTGCCATATGTATGTAATTAAACTAACACAGATAAAAATTTATTTGAAATATTTCAATGAGTAGGAAACTGAATTTTTGAGATTTCGTGAATTGTTGTAAATCAGCTTTTCAACAGAATAAATAAATGTCAGTATAGAAGTTTATGGAGATTGTTGAATATTATCGAGAGCAGGAATCGACACAAGTTCGACAACCAATGCAAACCAGGAAGGACTGGACAGGTGTTTGATCCTAATATGCGACTCCTCAGTAGTGCCCATCTACTAACCGACCGGACATAAAACTTAGGACGTCTACGTCTCGTAGCGAATGCCTAACGTTCAGGTCACTGAGTTTGCGTGTTTACCGTCAATCAATTAATGACATTGGCTCAACCATTTTCCATTTTCGGTGAGGCAGTCTCATAGTAGGGATCCACTGCTTCCTGGTTTTCATTAATTGATTTCAGATCACAATGAACAACCGAATTAAAATTAATTTTAACTAGCATGGAGGAACAAAAAAGGTATTATGTACAATGCGAACAAACTTGATCATGCTAATATTACATCATTCAGGTCAAAGGTGAGACAATTTTTGTGTTTATCGATGCATATCTAGGTGGGTATGAAAAATGTAAAATTCGTAATGTGAAGATGTAGAGCTGATTTGTGTGTGTTAACAGGTGTGCCTAATGTGACTGTTTGGATAAGTACTTGAAGTTAGATGGATAATTAGGCTTTCCTTTTGATTGGGTGCAGTAGTGTTCAGCAATATACAAAACGCTTTAGCAATTCGTATTTTTCGATGGTTGAAAAAAACTTGATTATTTGAATATAGACATGATGGTGGCTGACATCGGTTTGAAATTGTGTTGTCGTCTTAAATGCATAATTTAATTATGTAAAAAGGATAATAATCAAAGTAATTCCTACTAAGATTTGAAAGACTTGGGGTTTAATCCCGTGTAAAACACCTGTTCATTTGACTTTAATTTGTCAACAGCTTTTCATCTAAGTTCAGTCCCTAATCAAAACAATTTTCAGATTACACGTTGTTACTACATATTCCAATAAATAGTAGTGAGCCGGTGGTTAACACTAGGATTTTTATTGTTCATTCCATGCCATTCAACTCCATAAAAAGGTTCGGATGATGAGTTATATCAGTTAATTAGTCAGGCATCTACAATGTACAACCTGAAATCTATGTCCACAGCAGTTCAAGTTGCCATACCACGTTAGCACAGCGAAAATAAATTATTTCAAGACGTATCTCAGAATAGTAGAAACGTTTAGTGAAAAAACGTTTCAAGGAAACTTCGAGACTGGAGTTCTGAAGAAAGTCAAATAGTGAGTGCATTTACGCAAGTTCGAACGATTCCGAGCCACTTCATTCAAAGTGTCTATTCACTGGTTATGATAGCCGTGCGGTTTCTAACCAGCTAGATTTGTTAAAATAAACATAAGACTGCATTAACTAAAAATAAAACAAGACACTTGAATATTGATACTAAACACAAACCTGTATCGTGGATTATTACATTGACTTGATCTAGGTTTTCTAAGTTTAGGACCAGCTGAAACTCCTCCGCTATTACCATTCTTCTTTCGATTTACATACCAGCGATATCGATTTTGAATTAAAAGTGCAGCTTGACATAATCGTTTATAATATGCATACTAATGAAATAGAAAAAAAAGTTGAATGCTACAACTAATCATATACACAAACACGTAATAATCTTTGTAGACACCGAGGATTCAGTAGCTCTTCTCGATGAACTCAAATATTCATTAAGTTACCGATTTGTGTTATTATTAGAATTCCACAGGTCAGTCGTAATTCAAATAGCTAATTGCTAAAATCTCTGACTGCGGTGCTATGTGGGACTGGTTTGAATTTTTAGTGATCAGTTTTCAGAAGATCGTAGATACACCTTATTGATGTCTATCAATCAGTACGAAACCTAGATCGAGGACTTTTTCCCAATTTCCTCCAGCCACATGATACTAAGAAAAATTCATCTTAATGTTAGTCAAGTACCTTAATTGTCATAATATAAATCTGATGAATTTTTTCCAAAATGAGTTCAAAAAAGACAAGAAACAAGAGAAATTGTCGTGTCACATTAATTTTTTTAAAGCAAAATTAACGAACATTGTGAAGTAAGGTGAATTCATTTCTATTTGTCTGTAAATCAAATGACGCGAAATAGATGACACAAGCATGCTATAGCATTCATAAAGAATAATTTCTAACAAATATTCAATAATAATTGTCTAATGGAAAGTTTTCATTAAATAAGTCAATACGTTACTGGTTACAATGGAAAGTAAATAAACGACAGACAAATATACTAAGTACCTGTTTATAACGTCTATAATAACTTTGAATAATAATTGCAGCCTCAATTTCTTTATTACATGGCCCACTGGATGATGAAGTCATTGATGGTTGTGGTGAATTCAATGATTGTATTGAAGTTGAGATACAATTGGAAAAGTTAGTTGTTGTTTTCAAACAACAATTGGAATTTGTTTCTCCAGGTAAAGACAATTGACCAGACTGAATAGACTGAACTTGATATGAATTACCATTATCATTGGTTATTGTATTATCGTATGATGTTTCTATTTCCACTTCAAGGCCTACAGATGTATCATTTTCGAAACCCAGTAAAACATCATTATTCCATTCTTGTTTATCAGTTAGAGAGATGACAGTGTTGCTATTCTGCTGAAGTTGGTGTACAATCTGATGCGTGTTGTTAACATCACACACACTTTTTGAATAAGCATTATTATTGGATAAGGATTTATCACAAGTATTTAAACCTGTTTCAGTAGTATAATCATGGTTTGATGAAGAGCATAAAACATGATTAGGTATAAATGTATTGGACAATTTCTTATTATTATTTTGAATAATCGCCGACTGATTGTGTTTTTTATAAGCTCGATAATATTTCTGTATAATTTTGGCTGCTTCGTATAAACGTTTCTGTTCCATATCCGATAGAGTTAATCTACTTAAGTCAGTTTCCATAAATTTTCCTGGTACTGCATTAAAATGTTCAGCAATTTGTGCTGTAGACGGTGGTGGACTATTTAAACTGAAAGCGCTTAATGATTTCCCTTGACGATCATATCGAAGTACATCATAATCATTTTCATTATTTAAATCTGAACTCATAAAACTAGTAGAACTAAAAGGTGTATCGAACATTGAATTTGACGTGATAACTCCACTATAAATAATAAAGACATTAAAACAATTATTGGAAAATGGAGGTGGAGTGAATGTATAAAATTTTCAAAACTAATTAAAACGTCCTACAATTTCATTTTCAATTCTTTGGGAACCTACCAGTGGACATAAACTCAGAGTAATACCGAATATTGGACTACCGATTTCTAGTAACTAAGTATAATCAATTCGCATGCGAGACGAAATGTTCAAAGCTTGATTCTCTGTAACATGATTTTGGATGTGCTCTGATGAGGAGTTTCATACTAGGACAAAACATGTCCAGTGATTTCAGGTTTTCCGTGGTGGTATAGCTGAAATCAATTCGTAATTTAAACTATGAATATAGTTCAATTAGTCAACGTACGTTGCTCATCATTGGCTAGGAGCAACCTATTTCAAAATCAATTGTTGAATTAAACGTAATGATAAGAATTGTGATAACCCTCGTATCTATGGTTTAGGTCAGAAGGCAAAGTGTAACTCGTGAGATCATTAAGACAATTTAATCCTAATTATTTATAATTAATTTAATTTTTAATACTGTTGACATTTTCGACTGAATTCTGAGTCATAAATTGGTATATATGCAGACTGCCTCAATGTGACACTTAAGCTACAAGTTTTACAGATTAAATCGATTATGGCTAGAAGTGGAATTGTCGTATTTGGAACTCTTCAGCTGATGTATCTGCATCCGAATACCGATGTAAACCTTAAGGATAAAACTTACCAAATTTCGCTTCAAACGCTTAGCGCGTTGTCCATTGAGCTACTGAGTTCAGAGAGCCGCTAGATCGTAAAGTAGGCATTCAATTTCATCTGTAATGGTTTGAATTACCCTTTAATCGATCTTATTTGATGCATCCTAAAAAGGACAAAACCTGAGTCCTGGATTCCAAAATCCATCAATTCTATAAATAGTGCGAACTTATCTTTTGCGTAAGATATTTTGTGCAGGCTGAAACACTCAACTATAATTTAAGACATAAACAGAAACCAATGGTTCAATTTTAATTCGAAAAAAATTGGATGTCATGCTTATCCTAGTAGTGGATTCATACTCCTGATGAGTTACATACTACGGAAGCATTATTTTGAAGCTGTCTGATTTTCAATGGTTATCTAGTTTGTTAGCAAGCTATCAATAAAAAATAATGTATCGTAATCATAAAATTACACGTACGTTTCATGAGAATTCAATTCAACACTGATTTCATCATCATCATTGAAAGTTTTCAATTTACTTTTATTTTTTTGAATAGGAGGAGTAAAATATGATCTTCTTCTCAAAGGTTCATGAAAACTAAGTAAAGCACTTTTTAACTGATGATTCACTTTATTCTCTGGATAATCATCGATGCCAACACCACGATATCTAAAACTGTTATATAATGTCAAATATTTATCACGATAAGGTCGTTTCGATGGAAGTGAATTAAATGAACCAATTGATTTATTATTTTTATGATTATTACTAAATGATTTTGTTGTTATATTTGGAAAGGTTTTAACTGAATATTTGTTTGTATCATCATTATTTGTTAACTGAATAGGATTAGTAATATAATTAGTATTAGTGGCTAAAGTGAATGGTTCATAATGCAAAAATGAAGAATGTGATTTGAGTTGGTCAACTGGTGCTCGACTCAAAGCAATACTTTCACCTAAAGCTGAATCAGAAAACTGGATAGAAGAAGAATGGGACTCCTCACCATTATAATTATTATCATAATCTACATGGGTTGATAGCAGATCATCACAATTTTGATTATGAAGATTAACAATACGCCTAGGCATAGCCTAAAAGGATATTTTGAAACAGAGAAAAAATATGATGGAAAGTGTTTTAAATAAAGAGAAAAAGAAGTGCTAGAAAACAGAAGTAGGTAAATACTTAACATTATTCAATAGGTATAGTGTAAGGATTTAAGTTCCCATCTCTGAACTTCTTGGTTGATCACTACATTGACGTCAGCTGACCAACCCGATAGCATAGTTGAATTTCACATTAAAAAGAATGGCTTAATGTGGGTTACATAAACTTATACTTAGTTGATAAATTGCTTTTTCGTAGATGCTAAATGGTAACCAATATATTGAATCTGGCATCGGTTTAATCTGTTGATACCACCCGTAAAAACAAGTTAAGTATATCAAATGACATCAAGGATGTGGATTTTAAATAAACCCTAAAATGTCAGTTTTTTAATATAAATACTGTTGCTACACAGTTTAAATCAAAGAAAATTGAAGGGTCTGTAGTACTGAAATTCCGAAGGCAGATTAATTCAGTGCCGAAAATATTAACAACAGAAATAAAGAAAAACGAAACCTGAACATTATGTATTAAAATTTAGTTACTGAAGATGTATAAACACGTAACGAACAGCTAGTACAGGTAGGTATAAACGAGTATATGGCCAATGTCATTAGAAAGATGTGACGAGGTATTTTTAACAGTCATCTAAAAACGCTTATTGAACTTGATATGTGATTTTTGAGCTCTCTAGCGGTCGATGATGACTCGTAAAGCATGTCGGTACAGTTATGGAAAGAGATCTATACCATCGCCGATTCATCTTACTAATATTTGAAGTAGGTGAACGAGGAATTTATGCTTTATATGTTCCTTTCATTTCGTTTTCAATTTTCCTATTTGATCTCACGTTATGATACTTTCAATAGTAAATATTCACACATCGTTTTTATTCGTCATGAGACCTGAAGGTTCTGTGGTCCTTATACGATGTGGAGTCGTCGATGTACATTTCTAATAAATCACAAACTAAAACAAAACACAATTGTGCCCATTAGTTGATACCAGTTTATAATGAAACCTATCTTTCCTTTTACTAATAGACTATTTTATTCCATCATTTTCATCAGCATTGTTAATTCATACAACCCCTTTTCAATCAGTGATCTGTTAAAAGAAAAAAAATGCTCTAAAGTTTGTAAATATTATCTGGAGAATTTGAGATTGAACTTGTTCTTAAGTGTTCTAGTTATTTAACAGAAATATTATCTGCAGTTTAATTGAATTCACATAATCGCATTTGTTTTTTATTGAATTTATGATGGGAATGTATTATGTGGATAGATTGTTCAATTCTAAATATTTGAAACAGTTAAAAACGATTTGGATTTATGAATAAATATGCATATTTCACAATACTTATGTGTGCATTAGCCATTAACTCACTTCCTTGTGTATCACTCTATACTACTTATTTATATTCAGTAATCCGTTTCGACTTTAAAAACTTTTGAGTGTCTAATGGAAAGAATATCTATTGTCATATGATATTCTCGAGCATTGAGATCAGTTGACAATATTCAATTGATTTATTACTGTGTTCACATCTGTATAATACTTATAGCTGATATTTTTAATTCTAATGTATCTATTGGACGTTCTTTTTATTGTATCGGTTCCCATATTTGATGATCTTCATTCATGTTTCGACGTCATCTGTCACTTTAATTTCGACACATATATCAGATGTCACGTCTTACCGTACGTTGTTACAAATTTCATTCTATATCCATTTTAAGGAGCACTTTCATATGATTGTAAACGAGCTTAGTAAAAAGTGTGGATACCGTACGAGTTTATATTTTTTACTTATTTCATAAAGAGTTTCTAAATAAAATTAACTACCCTGCAGGTAATCTCAGGTGTTGGGATGCCTCCTTATTCAACGCATCACTATATTATATATTCAGAGCTCATATAAGCACTTAACATTGAATGTAAATAGATGATAATCAACCGAAGATATAATCAATTATTTATAGATCTTTAATTTAATAATAAACAACAAATTCTGATTAACAGATTACATCAAGTGAATTAATAAAAATGAAATCATTAGCATGAAACCCTTACCCATCGAGACATAAAATAATAAATATTGGTTCAGAGAAGAGTTCTCTTTTCGTCAAATTCATTTACAAAGCTGTACGATTGCAAATATATACTGATTTTTTAAGATGATAATACTTAAAATAATTTTATTATCATTATTATTGTAATTATTATCATGCTGAAAAAAAGTACATACTTACTATTGTACAGTTTTGATAAAGAATTAGCCGAAAAGAGAATTCTTCACTGAACCAAACTTTCTTATTTCATAAAACACTTACTTCAATTATTCTGTCAGCTAACAAAACATTTGAGAATGATCATCATTCATTAAATTTGTTACACTAGCATAAAGAGAAGTTGAATCTAAACGACCATTATGACAATGCTGACGTCGATTGTATGTTTGTTTACGCCAGGTACATATATTTTTACGTTTTATATTTGAATTCAAAGTAATGTCATCCTCATAAAGTTGATGATAAGTATCAAACGAATTATTGTTATTCTCGATTGCATATTTAAAATTATCTGAATTATCTACAAACTGATTGGTTGCTGGTGTTGGTAAAGACTTTAAAATTTTTGAATGATAACTTGTACTAGAGATATTATGTAACGATGTGGAGTGATAAAGTGATTCTTCTCCTGGAATATCATCATCATCAATAGATACGTCTAGACTATAATTTTGCTTTGAATAGTCTAACTTAATCATATTCGATTGTGTATATAACAATGAGTGAGTAAATGATGACGGTTTTGTATTAACATCAATTTCCGTTAGATCAATATGCTTTGGTAGTGTAAATGTTTCCGTATAATTAATAAGTCTTTCTAATTTAGTTCTAACAGTATCTGTTGCATAATTTTGTGCATTTGATGAAAAATATTGTACTTCTAATTGTTCAATACACTTTTGCATAGATTCACTTTTGATAACCAATGCTAACTAGAAAAAAAATAAAACAGAATTTTATCCAATGAAGACAAAAACGTAATTAACACTAAAAATCATGTCAACGGTATTTGTTTTAAATCAGAAAATGAAACAAACTTATTTACTTTTTCGGTCTTCCACTTCATTTCTTCAAATAATTACCAGTAACAAAGTAAAACTAACTTGATCATTATCATAATGTTAATGAGTATAACATAATGAAATGATTTACTTGTCAGAACGACTTTACATTGATGTTTACATCTATAAGTCTATGAATTTGTTTTGTATGCATTATGAATCTATCATAAAACAAAACATTGGACTAAGATCCATTCTTACTAATGACTATTAATAATAGTCGGTGAGTGTTCATAGAGTGGAATATATAAGGTTACGAAACAATTAACAGCCCTGTGTGTGTGATTTAATGAATAACTAAACAACATTCAAATAATCAAGGTGGGTTTTTTTACTGATTCATTAAAAATTTATAGCAACAAGACAGAATGGTGCAGAAGGGTTCAGAATTCGATATAATCTAAACTATTTCTACAATCAGATAACACAATTTGAAGTCAAAATATTATCTCCATGTGGAATCAATAATTTAAATCCATAAATTTAACGGTTTCGTTTGCCACTTTCTTTTCACAACTCATTTTTACGTGAAATGCTTAACGTTAAATTAAAAGTTTGTTCAAGTGTTCTTGGTTAAAATGATTCAAATATTAATGTTGAGAATTAACTGAACGTTGTATCAATAAAATCGTTTTTTTGGCAAAGCAAGAGGAAAATAAGTAATGAGATTTATACAGCTTATATTTATCATGAGTAATTTTCATTTTATTGCACAGTTTCTTGATTCCTATTACTTTTTGTCCTATGGATCACAGCTACACATATAAGCGAATATTGTAAGCTTCTTCTTGTCATAAAGACTCAAACTGCTACATCAAATTCCAGTCGATTCAGTCAGATGTAAATACTGAGATCGAACTTCATTGGGACAATGTAAAGATATGTGTTAAGATTTCATGAGTAAATTTTATTTTATTGGACAGTTTCCTGAACATATACTATCAATTATTTAAAAACCAGTTGGAAATTCTTTATGTGTAGATCGATATTATCCCCATATTAGGTAATTCGAGGTATTCGATAAGAAATCGTGGGTCTAGGTTTTGTGTCAGCTGTTACTCGCCCGTAAGGCATACATCGAGGTCTTGAGAAAACTAGTAGCCCCTGCAGGATTTGAACCCACATCAAACTGCTTCAGTCTGAAATGGTGCTGCTAGGTTATTCAAGCCTATTGCGTAGCCTGCTGTTGAACTGAGGTATTTACAGTGACTAATTACTGAGTAGTGATTGATGTCATGTTTGTTTAGCTTTCTGAAGGTTGGTCGAATTATATCGAACAGGTTTTATTGTAGCCACCAGTTTAAGTAACTCGATATTGAATGTACTATTTTTGATATTATTTATATATGAACATTAACTGACACGATCCAAGGTGCGTTTAACATGGTGAAGTTGTTTCGATATTCGAATGATGACAATAAAATATACTATTTTAGAGTAGCAATTTTTTGAGTTTTTAATCGGTTAAAGAAAGCCATGTAAATGTGTTGATATTTAAAGTAACTGCAATTACTGAATCAGCAGTTACTCAATGAAATAAACAAGGAATATGATATTTCACTGAATAATAAAAGAATCCTCTTACTTTTTCTGGCGTAAACTCATCACCCAATTTTGAACACGATGATAATGAATTATATAAACAAGGTTTATGAAGAGCATCTGGATCCCATACTACTAAGAGCTTCGTTGTTACAACCTGTTCGTACAGAATAGCTGAACCCAATGGTGTGAGTGTTGGATAAGCAAGGGAGGGGAATTATTTGGGGTCAAATCTATACCAAATGAAGTACAACAGAAAATTACTAATTAAAAGAAACAATACAAATTTATGAAATAGATCAATCACTATGTATGTGACAACACATGAAACCAAGCGAAGACCTTATAAAAGGTTACGACCAGGAATGAAAGATTATACTTTGATTATGGCTGCTTCTGCAGTGTAATTTAATCATTAGTTCATTCAGGATAAGAAAAAGTTCCTAATATATTGGTTCGCCGTTGATTTAAAAATTTATCGGCATATACCCTAATCAAATTATTTTATTTTTATGCCAAACTAATATCGGTAGAGAGACAGAAATTGGAGCATGTTACCAATCATTATATATATTGCAAACAATAACGTTTTCAATTAGGATTTCTTTGTTTCTATATGAACAGCTCTAAATGTCACTGAAAACAATTTTAACATTCTGTAAAAGACTTATACATAATACTTTTCTTAAACTATAAATGTTGCAGCTATACGCAAAGATAATATAAATGATAAGGAACGAATATTTTATTGATCGAACAACATTATTAAATATACAGACTCACCATGTAAAAGAGATAAGATCCTAGATAAATCTGTATCGACATCTGACTGTAAAGTTGTACCACAGTGATCTGTAAAGAATGATGTAGGTTGATTACAATAAATTCGTACAGCCCATTGCAACAGTCCTAATATCAGTTCAGAATAACTAAAAATGAGAAAATAAACAAACGGATTGATTGAAACTAACAAATTACTGAAAGCCTAGGCTCTCACTGTCTCTCAGCGAACAAATTACAATGATTTATCACGGAGTGAATGAAGATAAGGATTCGCATCATTGAATTTCAACATAGTAGATTAAAGGTAAGGCACTAACAGCAAGGTCTGAAAGTTCTGGCCTCGATTCATAGTGAAGTTGTGGAACCGCCCAGTAAGAAATCCTATTACTAGGATGAAATAGCTATCAATAGCTCCCTGCTTTTCAATGGTTCACAATACAAAGATTTCCGAAACCATACCATAATTAAGTTGCTTTCTCTTTACAAGATGACAACAAAAAATACAGAAGAATTTTTAACAATGATCTAGCTTCACAGATCAAATCGATCTAACAATTGAGCTAAGAGATTCAAGTAGTAATTAGACATGAACTATATTTAAGTTACCTATTGTTTTGCGCTCGAACAGTCATCTGTGCCTAATTTACCAAATCTACTAAATGGTAATCTAAATATGTAAATTTTTATGTAGATGTTAGAGAATACAGTGTTTTTAAATAAAAATTACTGATAAAAATAAAATTTTGATAAAAGGATTGTTTCAATAGGTTCATTCACAAGACTACATAAGGCTACATTAGAAATAACTAATGGGGTAAATACAGTTAATGTGAATATAACTGATCGAAAAAGTTTATATAAATAACAACTTGGACAAATATATTAAGAATAACATATTTTTTCTAGCCCAAACACAATGACGGCAGTCTTTTTCAAATAAGACAAAAGACGATTCAATCACAGACCACCTACAACCTTCCATAAGGTCGTCATACTTCACAACAGTGCAGTCCAAGAAAAAAAAAACAAAAGAAATGAAAGCAACAGTCGTATCAATGACATTAACAGTAAAATATAGAAAATTTAGTTCGAAAATTATAAATCCTATTAACGAACAAAAAGTTTGACGTAATATTAAACCTTCGGATTTAGAAAAAAATAATGAATACAGCCATGTCACTTATGTTTTTCATATATTACGATTGTACCGCGGATACAACTAAAAAGTTTGGATCTTCTAATACAGCCTAAAGAATATACAATGAAGCTATATCGTTTTCGTTTGAATGCAACAGAATTACTCCATTCTGCCCCGATCCCAGTAACGATTTCTTAGTGAAGCATAACGACCTAAGTAACTGACAACACATCCTTTAATATGCAAAGGGTAGCAGACTTGGATATTTAGCGCCACGCCTTTCATTTGGTATCATATATAAGATTCAGTCATATATTCCCAGAGCTTGATGGTATAGGGATACTTCACATTTAAATTACGATAGCTTTAAAACTATTTTACTGGTGCAAACAAGATCTGTACTTTTCTTTAGATCTGAAACTTCTAATCAAATATTTTATACCCAGTCGTTTTTCATTGTGCATTTTCTCACTGTTAAATCTTTTTTTTTTAATACCAAACATTCACACCGATGCTCTTCAAGTATATGGTGTACAAATAACTAGTGTTCAATAGTTTGAGGTATGTTCAACTAGTTTTATGACTTATGGATTGAATACTATCATTCACGACCACGGCTTAAAGTTATGTATTTAGTCTATGATTTATTCACACATGATCTGCACACGTATAAACATATTTCTTTTTTTCAGTTATTACTATTCTCACTACATTTCACACCAATAACTCGTATTCACATTTGCACTTAAATAAGTCCCGAACTCAACAACTCAAAAATGATTGGACAATGGTTCGATTATTGTGATTTATGAATATTTCTCTAGAGATGCCAGATTGTTGCGAGAGATGTTGGAGTTATTTTAATTTCAATTTCTGAGAAGTTTACGAAAACAATTTCCTTCTAACGCCTTCCATTAATTTTCAACTGAAATCTTTTAAAACTATTCTTTCAAACATAGATGAAAATTCTCATAAGGTTCATGTTATTCACCCTGATAGTATCGTATTCCGAGACAAATCTCGTCTTTACTTCCAGGGTTTTACAAGTAACTAAGGTATGGTAAGAATCATAGGACGTATTCTATGATCACGATTACTTGTTATATGATTTGCCTTAACTTGATTGTAATGTTTATAAATATTCAGACTTAAGTCTAGATTTTCCATATTATACTTCTTTATTATTAAACACATTAGATGATCTTGATCTTAATTGTATTCAACTTTACTCAACTTAATTTTACAACTAAATATCCCTATTTTGCGAACAACTACATAATCATATACTTAATTTACAAAAATTACGTATTTAATTTCCTCATCATAATTCGCATTAATATTCTAACACATATATACTATTTTAATAATGAATAGTTAATAATTATGTATAGTTATAGAGATCTAAAAAATTAGCGTTGCTTCAGATTGAAAAATTAAGATACATTAGAGCTTTAGGAATTTCGACTATCATTATATACTGGTGCATGATAACAACGTATGTTATTTTGAACTTGAATAGATGTATGATAGTAAGCGTTATGAATCTATAGGAACTAACCTACATGGAAGCTTAATTTCAAGCCATTTAAACCACCATTAATTAAAGGAGCTCTTGGTCCATAGTAGCTTACACCCTATACAATATTAGTTACTGTAATTTTTAAGACAGAAGAGTAGTGCCGTTACGTTATCTCTTCTTAATTGCATGAATATTCGAAAGGTAACTAACAGCAGGCTGAAACAAAAATATCAAGGGGAAAATAACTTTACAGTGCTGAAAAAGCTTTTGTTTATGAAAATATAATTCAAATGGTATGTAGCAGCAGAGATCTTGAAAAATTCCGAGAAGGATCCTTTATTTAACGGGGTCTAACTAGGTACCTGATATCAGGATGCATAAAGGAAAGACTAATACTTAGGACCAGGTCGATGGGCATCGACCAACTTTACTTGATCTTTTGAAGTAGGTTATTTCGACCTCATACACAATGCGATTCCAAACGCAAGCACTATCATGTAAGGCTGTCTAAAAGGGAAGGTAAGCCAATTAATTTTAACAGGTCTTTGAAAACTTAAGAGTAAATACTCAAGGTAGCCTTTCTGGCCAAATATAGTTAGTGAATTCGGTCCGGACTTCTGAAGAAGCACACATGGAAGCGCAGCACGACTGCCTAGGCTCAAAAGTTGTTTCTGAAGTGGATTTTTCCGTTTTCGGTTTTATTTCTTGTCCTGTGATTGCTTATAATCTATGTACTACAAAAAAAGTGATTGATTAAACCTTTGAGGGTTGGAAGTCTTTTTACAGTCTTTGAAAGAGTAGTGGTGTTAGTCAGTTGAGGTGCTTTGTGAGCTGGTGTTCGTATGATTTTTAGTTTGTGTGATTGGTGTACTTTGTTTATGTTGTGGACCACATGATTGTATGTGTCGTATTATCCATCCTGCAGTCTTGTATATTTTTGATCTGGTGGTGTTTTGGTCAGTCCGTGATCGTATTTTTGGGTGTCTATTCATTCCTTTAAAGGTAGAAAATAGTCAATTGCAGTTTTCATCGAGGTATTTGTATATGAGCTTTCCTTTCTCAATTTGTGGTTTTGCTTTTTCATTCTGGTTAATTTTGACATTGCTTGGATTGTCTATTCAACTTGCTGGTAGTCTATCTTTCATTTCCTCTATAACAAAACAAAGTTACCTAAGCCAATTTCTTGTATGTACTTTTCAGTTACAGTTTGGATCTGCTACGTAACTTTTCAGATGCCTCACTATTAGGTTATTCGATCTTTCGTCTCTGACCATCACGCTTAAGCAGGGTGTACACTTCAGATATTGGCTTTTTAACTTCTAGAGTGCTAACGCTAAGAATCATTCACTTCAAATGTATCAAAAGGAAATAAGACTAATGAAACTTCACTTCAAAATTAGTATATGTAAAAACAAGCCAAACAATTTGTATGTGATTACGTGACACTTCCCAATATGAAAACTTCTAAATAAGACGTCAAAACTGATGATCTTCCACAAGTTTGATTCAACACATTAAGAAGACATAAATAAATGCGTTAAAGTCCAGAATTTATTTATTTTTTTAAAAGATAGATGATTGCACAAATATATTAGCTATACTTTCTTTGGTTTTCCTTAGTTTCAATGATAATCATATAGAGAAACTTCCTAACAGAGTTCAATTGTACAAATCCTAACATAGTGTTACGTGAATAAGCAATTAACATAAACGTTTTCCAAACACGAAAATCTATTCTAAAACAAAGCAACCTTAACAAAGTGTAATCATGCAAAAACAACTTACCCCAAGCAGCTGCACAACTTAAAAGAGAAATATCTATCTTCAATGAAGTCATTTGTTCTTGTAATTGTTGAATATTGAACTCATCAAATTCATTTTCAGCTTCTAATAAGTAACTGACAGAACTTTGATTTGTTCTATCACTATTATTATTACTAATATTATCTGTTTTCTTCATCCATTCGACTAGTTGTAGAATTAAATACATTTCCAATTTATCTGCACATTGATCATGTCGTAGTGGTATATTCAACTGTACAAACATGTTTTGTTTTACAAAAAAAGAACCATTAAAGTGTTACATTGGGGTAAAGATGATAACCCAGATAAATTAATAGTTTGGTGTCAGATGGTTGAAACTAAGCGATGAGAAAACTCTCAACCTAAGTTTATGTGCTAGTTGGTAATCACTACCATGGTGTTAGCAAAGGTAAGATGGCTGATGCTTCAAGAAGGATTAGGACCCGTAATCGCCAATGCTGTTGATCAGAGGGGTCACCAATAAGCCATTCGGGTTGAGGTGGACTTTACAATATTGGTTATTATTTATAGATCAGTTAGTGAGAGGTTTCACTTGTACATAGTTGTTTAGTTCTTACGAATGACAGAGGTTTGTTGGTCAAATTGCGCTGTGATCACTTACTGATACGGAAACTGCATACTTTAATAACAGAATTTATACTGAGAACATATATAATGCACTTTTGTATAATACTAACAGGCGACCGCAATTCCAGCACAAAGACATTTGTACAAAAAAGGATTGAATTAAAGGTGATATTAAAATAGTTCAACGATTATACATGTTGTGTTGTGTGTTAAAATATCTTTTAATCACTTAGATAATTGATAAGGTGGGTGTATGAAAAACCTGTAGTTTGGCCAAAATGATTATGTAAACTAAAACATACACTGTCCAAATCATAAAACTATTATCTATGGTTAGATGGAGGTCAAATTATCATATTTTTACAACCGCGGCTTTCAATGAGGTAGTGCAAAGAGAAAAACTTTCAAAAGGAAAGCACCAATGTTTGATCTGAACAACACATACAAAACGATAGATACACTGAATGATAAATTTTAACTCATGGTAACAAAGTGAACAGTTTGCAAATTGATGCATTACGTTACTTAAAATGAATTTGAAAAATACAAATTCAAGATCTTGATTCTGCCCCAAATACGACCGAGGGTGAGAAGAGTCAGCTCTCCCTAACCAAATACTCTCACATGGACACACGTATACAGCCACTACCAGAGAAGACCTACTCACTCACTCACTCACTGCCTTTTTGTGAACAGGGTGTTATTTAAAAAATTGAGAGGATGAAAAGCGAATTTCCAATGCTTTAACCGGGATGGTGGATATGGAAGATCCACCTAGTGGAGTTGGAAAACTCAGATTTCAAACCGATGATGAACATGTGCTCCAGGATGCTGAGGAAACAAAAGGCGTACGAACCAATTGCTGGCCACCGACTACCATGAGACTGCATCAACTTATGTTGCTCCACTGTCTTGTGCATTAGACCTTTAGGTCGAAAGCTCCGGTTGTGGTTCCGTAAAGAAACCAGCTCTAGGTTTGGGCACCCGAGCAGTATCGCAGCCCACACACGCAAGTCAAGTGACTTGTGTGACGCATATGTATTCGGTGCCCCTTTGTACCAGTGTTTATGTGTTTAAATAAATAAGCATAAGATCTTAACAATTAGTAAACTGTCATAGAATAGTGAATACGAAAAGACAAACCTTATTAACTTAATATTATATTTCTTTGATAATCTAAATTATTCAATTGATATGATATAGTTCCCAAAAATTAAGAAAAATGATTCGATTGTTATCAATTATACTATTTTTTAAATTTAATTTCGATAATGCAATGAGAAGACGTAGTTTATCAGAATTATGTGATATATTTGCGCAATACATTTCGAACAATCTGATCACACATATACTTGTTAAGAACATTTATATATGAAAAATTAAAAGGTCAACTAGACAGGTTAAGGGTAAGTCATAACAAAGGAAAAATATTAAAGTACACAAAAACAAATGTGATTACCACTCTGGATAGTAAATCAGTACTACCAGGGTAGGTTAAGTGTAAGTACAAATTGTTTTTGAACACATAAAGGGGGTTTCAATTTTCGTATAGCCAAGGCTTCAATAAACCTTAGTATACGTCCTTGAAGGCTTTTGTACAACACAACAAATGCTGATTTGATATCAACCTTATGACCCGTCTCAATCAAATGTTTCGCAATGGATGATGATGTCTGTCTATCCTGTGGTCTTATTTCACCATTGGAATTCATCTGATTCTGCAACCATTTTGGTATATGTTCACCCACCCTTAATTACAAATCACGATTGCTCCTCCCTACGTACGTGTTTCCACACATACATGTAAATTGATAGACACAATGGGATGTGACACAATCGTTGTCGTGCTGTTTGGGCTTTTGGTGAAACATAGACCTTGTCTTTTCGATAATGACAAGTTGGGCTGCATAAAATGTCCGGTTGATAGCTAATTTAAGTCTCTGTTTCAACATGAGACTATTTGTGTCACCTCTGAACGGTAACGTAATATAAACTCGCTTTTTGGGTCATAGGTCTAGTCATATTGCAACCCCTCCAGCGGTTTATGAACTTCAAAGAGTAACCATTATTGATTAACGCATCAGTCAAAAGCTTCATCTCTACTTCAATAGTATCACTAGTACAAATACGATTGATTCTATTGAATAAGCTCTTTATTAAACCGCGTTTATAATGAATAGGGCAGTGACTCTGAAAATTAAGATATTGTCCTGTCCATGTTGGTTTTCTATATATAACACGTTTGATGAAACCATCATCTCTCCTAGTAATCAGGATGTCAGGAAAAGGAAGTTGGTTGTTCTTCTCTTCTTCACATGTAAGAGAAATGTGCTTTTGACTACTATTGAATTCTTCTAACAAGCGGTTTATGTCTTCAATTTGAAGGCGAACACTTCAGACAAATAGATGGTGTAGCTATGAGCAGCCCCCTAGGACCATCGCTGGCTGATGTGTTCATGGGATTTGTGGAAAATTTAGTTGGAGACTCAATTCGAAAGATGGGTCTGTATAAACGATATGTAGATGATATATTAATCATAGGTGATAAAATTGGCTATACGAAAATTGAAACCCCCTTTATGTGTTCAAAAACAATTTGTGCTTACACTTAACCTACCCTGGTAGTACTGATTTACTATCTAGAGTGGTAATCACATTTGTTTTTTTGTGTACTTTAATATTTTTCCTTTGTTATGACTTACCCTTAACCTGTCTAGTTGACCTTTTAATTTTCATATATAAATGTTCTTAACAAGTATATGTGTGATCAGATTGTTCGAAATGTATTGCGCAATATATCACATAATTCTGATAAACTACGTCTTCTCATTGCATTATCGAAATTTATCAAAGGGGCTAATTGTTTAAAATTTGATTTATTTAAATATCAATTAACTAACCTTAGGATATTCATCAAAGTTACTTGTTAAATAATTTATAAGCATTGAATTCGAAACATTGTCAGAATGTATATCATCCATATGTTTCGACGTAATTGATGTACTATTATAATTAGATTCATCAAATGACTTGCTAAATATTCTAGATTTATGATTTGGTAATAAAATGAATTCATCTTCAATGTCAATGGATAAATGAATACCCGGTGCTAATGAACTAAAGCGAATAAACACTATCCAACGTAATAGATCATCTGGGTAATAAAACGGAAAAATAAAAACAAATAAAAATTGATAAACTAGTCTCCTATAAAATAAAATGAGCAATCGTTATTTGATGAATGGTTATGCAGAGAATGATTATTGCTTTTCTTCAGTGAGTAACTGCTTCACACCAAACACAGTTGAACTTCATGGGACATAGCTTCTCACTAGAACTCCAAGAAAATCCATCTTGAAGCTATTATTACTTTGTCAAGAGGATGCAACAGTTGTTATTTGGTAACTACTGAGAACTGTTTTAACTTATTTGAGTCAATAATAGTAAGAAGACCGGTGTCAATGAGACAATTTGTCAACTAGTAATCTATAAAGGTGTCTGGAACATTGGATTGAACAGTTTGAGAACCAAACTAAGTAGGTTGTTTCACAACAGATTAATCCGTTCACTTCTTTAAACCTGATAACTACTGGTCTACTTAGCAAACTGAAAGTCTGGAAGAGATCCAGCACGCGGGTTTCATTCTGTTTGGGACGCGTCAGCTAGATGTATCGGCTATCTGGATTTAGTAGCTAGGCGGACAACGCGATGGAGTTTGAAGTGAACATTACTGAGTTCAAGTCTCAGAGTAGACACCAACTCCAGGATGCAGGTACATCCATCTGACGAGTCCCAAATAGGACGAGAAGCGCGTCTTGAATTTCACTGCTGGCCACCATCCATCTTTGCCTACAAAGAGATGGCTGTTCTTTTATGAGCAGCATTGAATGAAAATCAACATAAAAAGTAGTTACTAACCTGAGAGCTTTAATTTGAGCAAATCTATATTATTGCACCGACCAAAACTGTACTCTGAGTATCCTCCATCAAATATGAATGGATTACAAGCAGCATCATCTTGCTGGCAATTAAATTGTGCGCTTTCAAAACTCTAAAATAAAACAATGAGTAAAGATATAATAATATATAATAACATCGTTGACTGTTATACAGTCAAACTGTATTGATCAGAAAGACAAGATAGTTGATATCCACTTGTTGAAAATCCATTGAAAAAAATGTAAACCTGGAGAATCAATTATTGAACTAGGAATTAGTGAACAGTTATTCTATTTTAGTTTGAGACTTTATTTCATGAAATCAAGTGAATAGGACATTGGATAAAGGGATATATTATATAACAAACAGATTACAGTTTAAAATGAAGACTATTGTCTTAAAAGGAAGGTATTTGACAAGTATTACAAGTTATTATTATTATTATCATTATTATCATTAGCTTTATTCAATATTATATTTTTGGTACAATATAGAATTCTCAGCGCAAAGTATTTCAACAAGTTTCCGTTTCTTTCTTCTTGTTTACAATTTAAAACCAGGTTGAAATGGATCGGTAGTAATTTCATGTTTTAAATGTCCTCTTTAAGAAATTATTGGTACTTGGTGGAAATTATCATTAAATTATCAGAAATCTCAATAAAACAAATGCATTTAGTCATATTTTACTAAGATATTCGATAGATATTCTAAAATAGTTTTGTTACATTGTCCTTTTGTAGTCATTATCACACGTTTTATTTTGACTCATGTACTGTTGTGTATTTCGACGTTCGAATGTATGAGAATGACAGTCTTTTCAAATTAAATTCTGTTCATTAAACAGAACATGTGACTTTGATCGTGTAATTTCATTCATAGATAATATGGGCAGATTTGTCTCATGAGAATATTGACTAAGTGTCATTGATTAAACCATAAGTAATATGAACATATTTCTAGATTATAAAATGAGAATTAACTAGTTTCTAAGCCAGTGTAAACAACTTTATTTAACAATGAACTGATACATGAAATTCAAACTGTTTCACTGATAGTGTTGTTACTCATTGAAGTGAATCAAACTAACACTAATATATCCAGTAATGAATGGTAAAAGTAGTAGTAATACATCTCACCGATTAGATGATACTAACCTATTTACCAGTACATCATTTAAATACTTTGAGGATAGGTTGTAGCAATACGAGAAGTTCTAGTTCACATTTGATTGTTTTAATTAACTAACTTGAACGAGGTTGATGTCTAGTGCTACTTAACTTTTATTAGTCAGTTTGTGATGGAAAACAATCTTTAAAATACTGAAAAAATAAATCAAATAGATATAATTTCAACAAAGCTATAATTCATATTAAGGCATCTGTTCATATGACTGAAGTTGGAAATGTAGATCGCTGTATAAAACTTTCAGTAGTTATTATCAGAAGATCTGATCTTCACGGGTACAGTTATTTGTGAAATAAAGTCTTTTCATTGATGACAGGCTTTAGATTGTAACGAATTGACAACCTAGTTTTCAGTGATTTTTGCATCTACCATTATCAACTAGAAGTCATAACAATATACCTGAAACATTCCAGATTTTTTCGTTGGGCTGAATATCAGTTGGTTAAAACTGGAAAATTTACACAAACAAGCATAGAAATTATCAGGAAGATAGAGATGGTTATTTTTTTCACTATAGAAGAATTTTCGGTCTTATGCATATTTGATTAGAAAATGATGTCTACTTAATCATTTATTATGATAAACGTACAGGAAACAAAAAGATTATTCTTTGCCGAATACAGTTTGATGTAATATTCAATACCTATACGAAAAGGTATACATAAATCTGAATTTGTATTTTATGAATAACGATAGTTTACTTATGTTACAACAAGAATACAATTTGGGGATAGTGAATAAATACAAAATATAACAGAACCTCTCAGCGTTATATATATATATATATGGTTACTCTTCTCTCATAAGAGTTTATTCTGCTACACATATTGGTAAAATTAAGTCATGATACAAAAGCGAAAACCTAAGTGTTTTATTGACTGAAAGGGATGAAATATATTACATCTTTTCGTGTAAAAATCTGTTAAACAATTTGTTCTATGACCGTAAGAATATTTAATCTTTTGTTGGTGGATTGAAACTAAAATAACATATAGCTCTCACGAATGTATATTTTGGAAAAGAGTAACGACCTCATAGTTAAAGCACTTACCTTTCAATTAGTAGATCACAGGTTCAAATCTCCATTAGTCTATTTCGACTTGAAAAAGCGATTGGCATTATTGATTATTTATTTTAACACATAGATATTGGTACAAGGAGGCACCAAATGCATATGCGCCACACAAATCTTTTGATATGTGTGAGGGCTGTAAAACTGCCCGGGTGCCCAAACCGAAGCAGGTGGTTTTCTTAGGGGGCCACTCCTTGAGCCTTCTACCTGAAGGTCTAACCCACAAGGCAGTGGAGCATCGTAAGGAGATGCAGTCTCATGGTAGCCGGTGACCAACCATTGGTTCATACGCCATTTGTTCCCTCAGGATACTGGAGCCCATGTGCACCATTGGTTTGGAATCCGGTTAAAGCGCCGGACATTCGCTTTTCGTCCTCCCATTTTCGTAAACAACACCCCCGCCACGAGAAGGCAGTGAGAAGGACTTCCCTGGCAGAAGCTATATACGCGTGGCCATGTGAGAGCATTTCGAGAGGGAGAGCTGACTCTCCCCACTCTCAGCCGTACCAGGTCATTTTGGGGCGATTAGTATTATTAGTCCGCATATAACTTAAGTGGTTTATATCTGAGTATATAAATTTGTACTTGATAAATGAATAAATTATTAATATTTTGGGGAATGTTAGTCACAGCTCTGTCGGTTTATTCAGTCTATTCAGAATAAGAATTTAATGGTTTACATATAGGAAATAGAATATTATATAATATTTCAACTCCGTCTGTAGCCCTTCTGGGGCTACTGCCGGTCCCAAGCCCGGATAAAGTAGGAGGGTTGGGCATGGGGTTAGCAACACCATTCCTTAGAAAACTAAGTCGCTAAAAATGCTAACCAGAAAAATTTGATTTAAACTATCCACGATAACAATCTCATCTCATGAACCTTCTACATCATTACTTCTTTGTTATTCAAATAACTAAAAAGTTCTTTTACAATGAAATTATTAATTATTATGTGATCTTAAGTTTTATACTTGTATAATTATGTTAGTTAATAAGTCAATCAAAAGTTTAACTTGAATAAATAATAAATGTCATTATATACAATCTACATGAAATCAATTCATTAGTAATTCTATATTATAAAAAATTTATTAAAAATCGAATTAATGAACAAACTTGAAATTTAATTAATTTAAACATTTCAATATTTAATTAAATGAAATTGTGTTGTCATAAGAAAACATCATTCAATTTATTTGATTATCTGTAAATGATACTCAGATATTAAAATGTTTCATGAGTTTTAACTTAAAGTTTAAAAATAGGAGAAACAGTGTAAACATTTTTTTATTGTAGGTTCAAAAAAAAAAAACCATTATGTGTGTCATTAACAATAATAGAATTATATAATCATGAAAGAATACTAATTCAGTGACTGTATTAAAAAAAAAGTAGGAATCTAGTTGAATAACTATCAAAAGATGAAACTGATAAGTATTAACTTATTTAATTGGATCAAGTATTTAAATGAATAAAAATGTATAGATTTAAAAACAATAAGAGCATGTTGTATTCATGCTGGTGAATTATATCAGCAAATGATTGTAGTATTGTCCATGTTTTTAAATTAATGATACAGTTAAATAAAAGAGCTGCAGCTTAATAATGATTAAAGCGCTTTACTGTTGACTACTAGTTAGTACATTGGAATTTCAGTTTTCTCTAAATTAGCGGTATTATTAACCCATATGAGAAGAGCATGGATTGAAGTCAAATGAAAAAATCTATGTTTAATTATGATTTACTTGAACACATAAATACTGGTACAAAGGAGCACCGAATACATATGCGTCACACAAGTCGGTTAATTTGTGTGTGTCGGCTGTGATACTGTTCGGGTGCCCAAACCTAGAGTTGGTTTCTTTACGGGACCACAACTGGAGCTTTCGACCTAAAGGTCTAATGCACAAGACAGTGGAGCAACATAAGGAGATGCAGTCTCACGGCAGCCGGTGGCACCCAGGCAGTATCACAGCCCACACATAAATCGAGTGACTTGTGTGGCGCATATGTATTTGATACCCTTTTGTACCAATATTTATGTGTTCAAATAAAACAAATAGTCGGTGGCCAACAATTGGTTCGTACGCCTTTTGTTTCCTCAGTATCCTGGAGCACATGTTTACCATTGGTTTGAAATCAAAGTTTTCCAACTCGTCTAGATGGATCTTCCATATCCACCAACCCGGTTAAAGCATTGAAATTTCGCTTTTCATCCTCTCAATTTTTTAAATAACACCCTGTTCACAAGAAGGCAGTGAGTGGGTGAGTAGGTCTTCTCTAGTAGTGGCTGTATACGTATGTCCATGTGAGAGTATTTGGATAGGGAGAGCTGACTCTTCCCACACTCGGTCATACCAGAGCATTAAATAACAGAAACTATCCACTTTGCCTTGGTCTGCACTCTTACTTGGAAAAAAATTATAAAACAATCATGAAAAACCCGGAATATCATGCAAAAAGTGTATTTCAGTGAGTTTTAATAACGAACAAGCAAAATGATATCAACAAAGAAGACTTAGTACTCGAAGATTGATCAATTTTCAAAGTTGAACAAAAATAGGAGTAAGAAATTGCTAGCGATCCTCTCTTAGTGAATCTCATGTCAGCCAACGAGTTGATAATAAAACTTATATTAACCTTAGGAATGAAAATATCATTCTTTTGAGTTCAATAGTTTGTTAATGAAGCAAAATGTATGATGCTCTTAAAATTATATTAAGAAAAATTAGCAACCAAGATCTTAGAACATGAATACACCAGTATATTAAGTAATTGATTAAACCACCAGATAATCCATACATAAAGTAGTATGCAAAATTACTGTGAGATAAAATATTTGCTCTGTCACTTACTTCGTTTTTTTCAGGTTCATACACATTTGTTATCAGAGGTAAACGATGATTGGGTGAGTAGATACTAAATCGTGAAATGAAGAAAAGCCAAAAAAAGGAATAAGGGATCTTAAGTGTATACTTAAAAATTTCGGTTAGTATAAGAAGGAAGATAAATACGTTTGTAGTGGCAACGATCTCTCTTCAAAATATTTAATGAATAAAACTAAGAACAGACCGGTAGTACAGTTGCATTCCCGTTTTACCGATTTATGTCAATCGATGATTCTATGCTGTAAGATATGACGTCGGCCGGAACAGGATGGGTTGGATAGATATTTCTTACTAGTTTGTAACTCGGTGGGAGCTTCAAGATCTTAGCGTTAAACATTTGAAAAGCTAATTTTTTAATCATTAGACCATCTCGAACTCAAACGAAGAACAATCCAGTACAGTGAGATTTGCAAAAGTTATTGGATTAATGTCAATTTACAAATGGAAACTATCTTATGAGTAATTTATATCGCTAAAAACACCAACGTATGTGACAAGAATAATAGTAATTCATAATTGACGCTGGTGGTGGATTGTGTGATATTTGGGATGTGAAACATTTGATTTCGAGACACGGTGGTTTAAAGTTAACGTGGAAGTTATGGTACAAGATGTTGAATTTGATCCCTTAAGGCTATATTTTCATGGATATGTACAACTAATAAGTCCCAAACTAGAATGAAACAATCCCCCATTGCTCCTTGGGTTTTTAATAGTTCACCAGTGTTCATGTCAATACTCAGAATCCTAAGACACAAACATAACCAATACCACTCACTCGTAGAACAAGATTCACATCTATCTGAAGTAATGTAATGATGTTATTTAGAATACAAAATGAAACAAAGGCTTCTAATTAAACTATCCAACTTAGTTAATTCATTATTGTTAAAGTATACAAAAAAAAGACAACAAAAATCAAGTTACTTACTTCTTACAAGTTTCAAGATTCAAATTATCATCAATTTCACTGATAGGATTATTGAACCGATTGTTTTTTATCACTTCTTTATCGATATTAACATGATTAATTTGTACAGCATATCTACCATTATTAGTTATTGTATGAACATTGAAATTACTAGACGACAACTCACTGGAAACATGTTCTTTTGAAAAGAATTTATGATTAGATTGATGCTGTTCTGTTACACAGCAACAATCATTACAGTCATTATTGATTATTTTACTAGTGGGTCTTATTGCAGTTGTTGTGGTTGTTATCGCTGTAAAATCATTTACAAGTAGATTATTATCAGTAATTAATTCATTTGATAAAAGTCCTAAGTCTTCATCAGTATAAGTTGAGATAAATGGTGAAGGTGTTGATGTTGATGTGATGATTAAATCAGTGAAATTTATTAATTCATCAGAATAACCTATTTCAATGGGTGTTATTCTAGTTGGATCTTCTACTATTACTACTTCTTCTTCATTAGTATGAAAATAATCATTATTACCATTATTAGCAGTAATAGTAGAAGTAGTGGTGATGTTATCATTGGAATGTGTGCTACCATCAGTATTAACATACTGATGATTATGATTAACAACATCATTGATATTTTGATGATCAGAACTATCATTTGACTCGATGCTTTTTGTTGTGTTAAAATTTTCAAAGTTATTCATTGTTAGTGATAATGAATAGGGATAATCATTAGCCCAATTAATTACAACATTAGATAGCAAATTATTAGATTCTGCACTATTATTATTATTATCATCAGGAAACAATAACTGGTTCACAGTAGAACTTGCCTCTACTTCCCTGTCTGGATTATTATCATTATTTTTTGAGTTAATATTATTGTTATTATCATAATTAGACTGTTATTTTAAAAAAAGAAAAGATGGTAAATAAGTAAAAATGACAATATATGCATCCTTAAAACAAAATAATCTGATTATACAATAATAATAATAATAATAATAATAATAATAATAATAATAATAATAATAATAATAATAAGGAGGAAGAATGTATTTGATTATATTTTCCTTGAAAAAGCTTGGACCAGATTTCCAGGCGAAACGTTGGATTTACTTCAAATTCGTTCGCTACGATTTTACAAATACATTCTTCTTCTTTAATAACTCACATTAACTCGGCGCCCAAATATTGTGAAACTATTCGTTCGAATTTAGACGAAAGTTCTTATTTCATAATAATAATAATATATGTATAGACAAATTAATTATTTACCAAATATTCCACTGTGACATGATAATTGATCATAATTTATAGGAAAGGAATAAAAATAAAACAATTCAATGTATGAACAATAAGTTAATGTTAAATATGATGTTTTTTTTTTTCAAAAATGAGAAAACGGAAACTTACAGTTTCATTGTTTTGACAACATCTATTTATTGGTTTTGTAGAGGAGAATATGAATGGAATGTAATAATCATTATTTTCATTATTATTGTTATTAATTATATCTGATAACATGAAATACAATAAAAAAACGGAAATAAAAGAAAGAAAGGAAAAAAAGACAAATGCTTCATTTAAGAGAAAGTCATCATATTAAATTAACTTTTGAAAATCATGCCTAGTGTTTTTTGAAAGTATCTCCATTTCTCATTAGACATATTAAATTTATGTCAACTGAACAAAATCACTAAGCAAAATTGCACCTTTAAGTCAAACCAATCAATAAAAGCTTGATTAAGGAGGTGTATTGTACCATTGTTATAGGTCATTATTGATTATTGGGACTCTATGAATAATCACATTTTAACTCACTCGATACACGAGCAACTATCCAAAGATATACGTAATCAAATACTAGTAAAACACTTTCATAATAATCAAGCAAACAAAGAGGAAAAACGCGCAGTATACTCGCCTTTGGTAAGCAGATGGACATCTATCCTAGACCATATACTGAACAAGTCGGAAAAAGTCGAATGAGTTTTCGCTTTTGTACTAAGAGTGTCAGTTATTGCTTCTAATTTAACCGATCAGACTTTCACGATAAATGAAAGGTCAACACACTTGAATACTTAACTCCCTGTATTCAAATAAGGCATTGATTCAAACCAGTTCTAAAGTAACTATACATCTGAGGAGATTAAAACACATCTCATTGTGCATTTACTCAGTGTTCAAAAGATTCATAATTGTGCGACGAAATTAAATAGCAATGTAGAAAATGAGCAACCGTGATTGCTACCAAATCATGCGACCAAACACAGACACACACAACCAATTTATCCAGATCCACTAGATGGATCATTCAATCTTTCAAAAACATTTAACACTCTTATGCCGAATAGAAATGCTTTACATAAGAGTATGCTTAAACCTGCTTAATTAACTAATTTAAATCCCTCCCTTAAAAATAACCTTCCATTATAATCATTCTTTATCTTGAAAAGTTACATTATAATCGCAAAGATTTACCTTATTCATTTCTAACTTTTTTTAACCGCTAATTTTAACTTCGATAATTAACTAACTATAAAGTGAATTATTTCATAATTTTAAATAGGATGATACGCAGTATGCTGATAACATATCCAGGTTAGAAACAACTCCATATTTTTTGCCTTTAAATATAAACAGTTTCACTTAATAGGCAACTATGGAACAAAAGTGGAGAATAGAAATCAAAACTGATTAGAAGGCAAAAAAACAGTAAAAATATAATCAAGATGTACACAATGAGCATAATAAAGGACTGTTGAATGAATATTATTCATTATTGATTTTTATCATTAAAATGATCCGTTTGTATTATCTAATCAATGATAATCATAATAAAAAACAAAGTGAAAATGAATAATAATTTTTTTAAAATCAAAATTTCGGATGGATAAAATCCAAACTGAAATATTCCACGATTTGATTTAATGTAAAATCATTGATTAAGTACTAATTTCTGTAATTGACTAATAATGCTAACAGATCATTTCGGTTGAATTAGATAAACTAGTATTCAAATATGAAACCTACTGAATAAAATAACTAAAAAGTACATGAAATGCAATAAAATTTCAGTCAGAAACAATGTAGTACAAGGCACTGTAGTGCGTTGTCTTGTTTGATGGGAAAATCAAACACGAAAAGTAGATCATGAATCAATCTAAGTTAGACCACTATTAAAAACCTGAAAGTACTGGACGGATGTTTCATCCTAGTGTGGGACTCCTCAACAGTGTGAACTCACACCGCCACAAGCAGGATTCCAACTCAAGTCCTTCAATCATCTGTGAATGGAAATTTCCAGAGGTCCAATGAAAAGCCGTGATCAATAGAGCTAAACTGTGTCGAGTGTAGAGACAGTTACTCACCATCGAAGATAGTTGGACAATGTCTTGGACTGATTAAAGTTAGACATTAACACCGTTGGATGCCGGTTAAGGGGTTTAGAAGTTTAACGTTCGCGCGCGAGACTGGAGGTCTTGAGTTTGACTCCCGTGTGCGGAGGCATGAATTCACACTGCTGAGTCCTATACTAAGACAAAACGGCCGTCCAGCGCTTTAAGGTTTTCAACGGTGGTCTAACTTAGATCAGTTCAGGATTCCAGTGAGATTCAACAATCCCCATAACCTCATACTAACGAGAATGGGGTTAATGATAGTAAATATTAATGGTAGTGATAACTTTAAAGTATTTTAAAAACATGGATTTACATTGAGTAAAACAGATATCAAGTATTAAAAGTGATATATAGATTGAACAAGGGTGTGTATCAAGTTAACAATACTATAATTGTGGGAACAATTGAAGTTAAATGATAATTGTCTGATAAAACATTATTTATTAAGAAATCTCTTCAGTGTAACTACGAATTACCTACCTGAAAACTGATATCCGCGAATATTTCGCGTATGAGGATTTGTTCGACAAGACTTGTTATTCGAAAAGACTAATTCCAAATTTGTCTGATAATTATCATTTAATTTGGGCGTGATAAGGAGAAATACAGCTGTGTGCGGATGATGATGATGATGACGATGATTTATATCAGATTGTAGTGAAGACATATTCTTCACAACACTGCTACTTGTTATGTTTCTATATGAATTATCAGATAGAAATGATAATGACGATGATGGAGGGGAATTCGGATTCACTGATGAATTCCAAATATGATCACTCAGAATCTGAATTAAATTAGAGAAATTTAACTGGAAAAGAAAACAAAAAAGTGAAGTTTATTGACTATAAAGACATTTTTACACTGAAAAATATTGATATTAGCATAATGAATATAAAACTAGGTTTGTAAAAATTTCAGCCAAAATGAAATTAAACAATTTCAACTATTCACCAAACAGTTTGATTTGAACTTTTATGATTATTTTCATGATGATGATCATCATCAACACTAACATTGTCATTGATTGAAAGAAAGCCAAGAAAGTTCATAAAATCTAGTTTATAAGGAATAGTATCTTAAAAAAGTGATTCATACCGCCTATAAAATGTTTCTAATATAATTTATTTTGTGATGTAACTCCAGATATCAGTACATCGTCGTAAGAAACAAAAAAATCAAAGTTAACATGATAAACAAATACTAAGATTCTGGCAAAATTTTCATTTGTACCAATTTCACCATATATTAACTGTAGTCATTGTTTTTACTTCGTGACATAAAAAGTCGCCATTTACAGAGGTAGAAGATTTACAATCTACTTAAATTTATATACACCATAGCGCAAAAACATGATACATCACCAACAGATAGAGAATAATATAAAATGTGAAACACATGTATGCACACAATAGAAACAGAATGATAAACTTGGACTTCAATAAAAGGCTTAACACGCATGGTATTTTTGTCTAATATTAATATTAATAGTAATAATAATAATAATAATAATAATAATAATAATGAGAACTATGTTAATTATATTTTCGAAGAAGTTCGACTTATTGTTATTTAAAATGTTAAGTAATATTATTTTACGATCTTTTATCAACCAAGTGCATGTTTAAAAAATAATACCATTTTACATTGAACGAGATATTAAATTGTTCAACACGACGGGCAGGAAAAACTATGGAAAAAATTAAGCCCATTTTTTCTGAAAAATAACTATACGTTTACTGAATAAATAAACAAAACATTTATCAGCTACAAGTAAAGGATTTCACTGATTACTCGCTTATGTTAGTACAACGAAATATCAAGTGATTGATGTGTTAGAAGTTTTCTTATTACAACCCAGCTACTCTTATTGCTTGATATTGGTGGACAATACTTCGCTTAACAAGTCCCCAAATCAGAACATTGTGTGAAAGCATATAAGAATAACAGTAGTGTTACGACCAATTGGAAAAGTTGATATCAAGGCCACTATCTCAATTTAATGCTTGAATACGGTAATGAATTGGTTAAATCCAACTCAAATCAATGAAATAACTAGACATAAATATTGTATCAATATAAACTGGTCATATCAAGGGAATCAACTCACAAATCAAATACCTGATCACGTAAATAGAAACATGGAATAATATTTATCGAGAAAGAGAAGGTTCGAACTCAAAATTAGGAAGTTAAACGTTATATACTAATTACATTGATTGATTATAACAAGAGAAAATTGAAGAGAGAATTAGGTAGTCTAAAATATAAAATGATAGATATTCAAAGCACGTAACACCACATACACGCAGTTGGGTTTAGAACAGCATATCATAACAGAAAAGAAAGACAACATCAATAGAAACTGAGATGAAAGATGAATGTATCGGTTTCGAACTATATTTATGAACTGTGTCTATAATCATCTGTAGTTTTCATAACGAGAAACCCTACACGGGAAGTCAATGTTTCATCCCACAATCTAAATCAATGGTCAGTAATTTTAGGGTTTCGTAAAATACGACTAAGTCAACTCATAGGAGGTTCATCACCTAACCGACTAACTTACTCTTGTCTACATCACCACTAACGTTAACATTCTTCATTCAATGAGTTCAATACGTCCGAGCAGTGCTCAGAAGATAACTACGATTGAATACCCATCCTAACTGTTTTCCATTTTCATATACCAAGTCTCATGGCCTTAAATAAGGATAGAAACATTGACATAACAGAGTACTAAAATTGGGCACGCGTTTAAATTTTATCAGTTTATTTTGTGTTATATTGACTGCGATTACAAACAAATATTTTTGACAATCATACTTGACCCAGTCAATATAAATGACCACTAGTATAAACCAAACCAGTAGTCGATAACCTCCATGGAATAACATCACTTCTGCACTACAAGAGAACTCTATTTGTTTACATTTGTTACAACTTATATCACTTCTGTCCAGGTAGATATTTTAAAATCATAGACAACGGGCTGGACTTGCCAATCTTATTCAAAGATGACATTTTGTATAACCAAGTCTGTTTAATCAGAGACTAAATTGTACATCGCTAACTTGGTGGTAAAATACAAGCTACATACGCTGAATCATCGTAAACTTCCTACGTTACATTGACGTTTTTCATGTTATGACAGTGTACGACATGGTACTTTGTCGTAAATACGACAGCTTGAAGAGAATGTGGAGTAGATGCCCACACCCACACACACACACGGATAAACGAACACAACAAATTAAGCGAGCTAGTTAGTCCAGATCAATTAGCAACCAGCTTATTATATCAAGTACAATTAAACTGCATTTTACCATTCAAAATAATATAAGTACATCAGCACACACTTGGTTAAACGATTTGTAACAAATGATAGGTTGAAACAACTGAAATATAATCCTGCAACCTAATATTTACTAAATAAATGAGCATTGAGATAGTATGCTCATTTATAATCTCATAATAGTTACAATGACATTTAAGCCTTTTCTATAATAACAAACAGCTAAATTATTATCATTAACATGTAGTGGGCAATGCTAGAAATGCGTTGGTAACCAACTTTGAAGTGGTATGCCGATCGGAGTATTAGTTAAATGAATCCATGTTACAGTGATCAGATAAAGACATGAAATCAATCCCTTGAATTCGTAACAGTTTATTTGAATAGTATAGGATCATTAAAGCGGTGAAAATCGGTGAACGGATGAATGAATGGATGCTGAGTGGTGTGTGGTTTGAATTTGTTTACAGTGAGACAGATATTAGATTTAATTATCATTTTGCTAAAAAAAATAATAGCTACCTTATTGTTCTAAGATACTCCTTTACGAACTTATTATGTCGATCAATATGATTGACAGGTTTAGATTAAACGAAAAGAGAATATATTGTCAGTTCAATTCACTAACAGTTATCTTAGGGAAAAACAGAACAGAAAAGATTCAAATGAAATCGATTCAATTAGTTTCTTTAAAACTATTATATTGACTTCACCGCTAAATATACAAAATAACATATTGAACTCTATTGAGAACAGTTACTTCTTATGGGAAAAAACTGAATAAATAGATTAGGTTATGTAAACATTGAAGCGACTCATTTACGAAGTACACAGATTTATATACTCGGTTGTGAGCTACATTACAGGTATGAAGGCTTTCGAGATTAACCGGTTACCCGAATCGAAGTAAAGCAGAGTTTAAGCCAGTAGTCTAAAATTTGGAATTGGACTGATGGAATCACTAACTTTAAAACATGTATTTTTATTGTCTTATTCAACCGATTATCATCTTCCTAGTATGGAACTCCCTGGCAACATACACACTCTTGCGATAACAGTAACTGTCAATTTTACATTAAATGATCGTAGCGCCATATTGCGAATCGACTAAAGATGGAAATGTGTAATATCTGAACCAAAACCAATAGTCCAAATGATAAACACTCCCCAAGGTACCTAAACGTTATAGGATCAACTCCCAGTAGGGTTATGGGTGGGCACTGGTGAGAAATTCCATACCAAGAAAAATTCGTGAAGATACACCACTGACAGATTCGAACCATTCCCACCAAACCACTTCAAGAATAAATATGACAGGATATTTTAAAAATGAAAAATTTAATAATAAAGGGAAACTAATAAAAACCAAGTGGATTTTTGTTGTCAGTGAATAGAATGAAAAAAAAGATAATAAAAGTTAGTGTATGAGCAAAAAAGTAGAATAGATATTTTTAGTATATGGTAGTTGACGATTCTCCTAGACGTACAAAAAAAAACATTTGTGATTTTAGGATTGTAATGAAAGAGATGACGTCCAATCTCTTTTTAATGAATTTCTTCTCGGTATTATAAATGATTTTGAGACTTAAAATTTTTTGCTAGAATAGAATGATTAATGTTAACTAAAATTTTAGAATAGAAGATTTTATGGTAAACATATTACTTTATTTTTTACAATCTCAATAGATAAGTGAAATTGTGAAGAAATGTAAGTCAATATACCTAATTCTGTAAGATCAAATGAATGATGTTACACACATACATTGAGTTGTTCAGTGAAAAGGTATCCTCCATTTTACTGTTTTTTTAAAAAACAAGGAAGCAAAAAGTATCATTCCCATCACTGATTTAGGAAAAAGGATAGTTTGATAAACTTGAAAATGAACTTTAAAAAACTAACCACTGGATCAATAAACAAGTACATATTTATGTAGAACAATGATTTCAGTGTAAGTCATTTGTCTGATAAGTGAATCGAAAGCCAGGGAAAACTTCTGGTGGAGTTGTATTCTTTGAGCTGCATGGTTTATTCGTGAAGTCTTTATTGTCTCTCTAGACAAAATTATCAGCACCAACTTCAAATAAAAGACAGGTGTGATTAGTTTACATTAATTCCAATCGACTTTCATTTGTTACTCATATAGACATACTTATAGACGTCCGACAATGGTGGTCTTTCTAGACTTAAAAGCAGCATTTGACTCGGTAGACCGCGAGATTCTGTGGCAGTGTCTGTCATTGAAAGGTGTACCCCAGAAGTACATAAACCTTGTAAAGGCTCTTTACTCGAACACCACTAGTCGAGTCAGAGCTTATGGCGAACTGTCATCTACTTTTGCAACCTCAAGTGGTGTCCGTCAAGTCTGTCCACTTTCCCCATTTCTGTTTAACTTCACCATAGATCTACTGATGGAAATAACATTCTCGTCGACTGAGTTCTCGGGTATTGATCTCCTTCCAGGAGGTCCACTTATCGACTTAGAATACGCAGATGATATAGTCCTGTTTGGTGAAGACACTGACAAAATGCAGATTCTTTTGGTAGCACTAAGCAACAATGCCAGAATGTTTGGGATGCGCTTTTCTCCCTCTAAATGCAAGTTGTTGCTTCAGGACTGGTCTGCGTTAACACCTGAACTAAGGATAGGGAGTGAAGTAGTCGAACGAGTTGACAACTTCACTTATCTGGGAAGTCTGATCAGCCCTAATGGGTTGGTGTCTGACGAAATCTCAGCACGGATTCGTAAAGCTCGTTTGGCTTTTGCCAACTTACGTCACCTGTGGCGGAGGCGAGATATCCGTCTATCAATAAAAGGACGAGTATACTGCGCGGCTGTTCGTTCTGTTTTAATTTACGGCAGCGAAACATGGCCATTAAGAGTAGAAGACACCCGTAAGCTACTAGTATTTGACCACAGATGCCTTAGAAATATTGCTGGCATCTGCTGGGATCACCGGGTAAGTAATAGTGAGGTTAGACGCAGGGTATTAGGAAATGATGGTAAATCAGTTGATGAGGTTATGAATCTTCATCGACTGAGATGGTTGGGCCACGTATTACGTGTGCCCGAACACCGATTATCACGACGTGCAATGTTAACCGGTGTTGGGGATGGTTGGAAGAAAGTTAGGGGCGGCCAAACTAAAACGTGGAATCAGTGCTTGAAGTCACTAACTTCTAGTCTGAGTCATGTTGGGAGATGCAGACTACTTGGTTGGGGTCCATGTGACTTTTGTAACCAATGATTGGAGACTCTTGGTGACATGGCTCAGAATCGATCATAATGGCGTCGATGTATACACTCTCTGTCTTCCCTTAAACTAAGAGATTAAAATCGCTTCAAATCTTTATTTCTACGAACTAATTCTTTCTTCCTGTATTATATCCTTATTGCAATCTTTCTTTTATATATTACCACCTCTGAATTAACTACTTTTATGAATCCGGTGTTCATCTTGCTGTGCTAATGAGGTATGGCAACCTGGACCGATGCATATATGTGCCTGGTCCTACGTTGTAGCTGACTGATAGTTACTCACATCGTTTGACCCTTTCTTTTTGAAATATTCTGTCAAGTTCCTTCCATGGATTTTGAAACCTAGATGAGGCGATTTTGTGGAGACTGTTTTAATCTGTAAGTACTATATGTTCACCCATTGGTATCAACTAGGATACCGCTTAAAACCAGGAGGATAGGTTTCTATAAAAAGTTTGTGATGTCGTCTAGAAAGACAATCAACGTGTCAAGATTAAATAATCCAGAATAGACAATAGAACTCTACCAGGATCATCCTCCTAAGCTACAAATCCTCTCCACTGTCCCTAGGAAAGACTTTCAAGAGATTGGTCGGATGTCAAGGGGTGCTTACGGAAATAATGCATCAAAGAAAAAACCTCTTTCCAACAAAATCAAGTCATTTAGGGAAGGTAATAAAGACTGCACGGAAGATAAAAGATCAGAAGAAAAGTCGACCCTCTAGTACTGATGATAACATACTTTTTGTGACCTAGTTGTCTATCCACTGTCCGGATGATCGGTGAGATACTGAAATTAAGAAAATAGTCTATGTGCACCACTATGAAAAGACATGACAATATGGAGCAGCTGTAAAACGAGACTTTTGGGATGTCTTAAACAATAGAAGCAGAGCCGAGACAACTGTATTGTGAATAAGATTGATGTGTTTTGAAGTTTGTGAAATAAAGTTTCTATGACCTCAGTTCGATTATTTATTGGACACCCTAAGCATATACCAGTAGTCTACAAAAAATATGGTCGCAAGTAACGCTAAGAAAAGCTAATTTAAAGTTTAAACATATTTTCTCATTTTATCTTAAGTAGATACTTTTGATAAATTGGAAAGCAAATAATTTTATTCTATGGATGAATTGGATGTTACGATTAAGAGTAAGACAGTGAGACGTTTTGCAATCTGCATTAGTGTACAAAATCGCAGAGATCTAATAATCATGTAACTATGTTGTTCAATCCTGTAGACAGATACATGTTTATATGATTAATTGAATAAATATAATGTAAATTTGTAAAACAATCACATAAGTGATAACTTACATCGAAATTTAGAATTTGGTCAACACCAGGCTTCATGATATGTTTTGGGAAATTATTAACTATAAAAAAGCAATGTAAAAATAAATTCAGTAAGGCGAAACATAGTTAAGTGCTTATGTTCAATATTTTTAACTACCGTATTATCGGGTTTGAATAATACTTCATTTATCAAGGTGTAAGCACAATCGTATAGCAGTACCATCAGTCTTCAACATAGTTTAGTTTACAGATTACTATATTATTATAATTAGTACAACTTAATCATTTGAAAAAAATTGAAAATGGATTTATTCTGAGAAACCCTAGGGCATCGGAAATTACAGAACTATTTTCATCTTTTGAAATAGTTTAGAAACATAAATATCCCAACTTATAATCAATAAGGTACGAATCGGGTAGGCAAACTAGTTTATGATATGTTAACAACCTGAATTCAAAAGGTAACACAAATACAAATTTGGTGGTTTTTTCATTCACTGAGCTCTGTGGTTTAACTGAAAAGATTTCATTGTCGACGTAGACGACATTTCCAACTTCTACTACAAATAGATATGAACACTGATATAATTATTCAACAAGCATATCAAATCAAAGCCCAGAGAACGCAACACTATCAAATAAATCCATTTAAGCTTTTGAACATTTTAAGAGCTTGAAACAAAAATAAAACATTTTAGTAATTTGTATTGTTTAACAATCTTATTAGTCGGTATTTATTCATTTTATCACAAATTATCGTGAAAATGCTTATCATTTTAAGGATATAAAAATTGATTGAAGCGAATATCTCTATTCTAATTTTTCCTTAGTTTGATATAATTCCAAAAAAAATTCATAATATAAAAATATCCCATACATGTACAAGATTAAATTATCCTAGTAGGATGTGCTGTAAACTATAAAAGGGAAAACAAACAGTATCTCCAGAGCTGGTTTCCAATAAGGAATGTCGTCATTGATTAAAGCATTATCAAGTACCCATAGTTTGTTACTACTTCTCATTAGTACACAACCACGATACCAAAGAAAACATGAAATGTCAGCTTAGAATCACTGTTATGATCAGTCCCCGATTACTATATGTATATTCTATGAGCAAGACGAAAAACAGCCACACACAAATTCAAAGTTATTGAATCATTTTGCTTACAATTATCTGGAAAATAAATCCCATCATATTCGTTACGTCGTAGATGGTAGTTGTCACGGATTGACCGCAGTTAGTGCTTCAATGAAAATCAAGAAGGATCCGATAGATATTTAGTCCTAGTATAAAAGCCGTCAGGAGTGTGGACCCATTATCCAGTCAGGGATCGAATCTATATCTCACATCAAGCACTTAACATTTTACCAAGTGTCCTAACCAAGTTTTCTGAATATGAAATGTATACTTATTTGATTTTCACCGATATTACACATTTATTTAAAACTAAAAATACCCAAAGGTTATTTAGTTGACCTGAAGAGAATAAATATTGGGATTTTTATTGCGAAAATATTTTAAAGTACAAACGTCTAACTATTTAAATCGTTTAATCATTTAGTGAAATGAAATAACACAATGGTTATTATTTACTGAATAATTCTACTGTATAATATTAAAACAAATACACAAGTCAAATAATTACTATATATTGCACGATTCCTTGTTTTGGGAATCGATTAATGAGCTAGTGTGCATACAATGGATTATAAAAATAGTTGTTCAAACATGATACACATGTGGTGTATGCCACTTATGTTGACAGATATAAGTAGCATATAGCACAGCTCAGAAGTGGAATGCCTATCAAAAGAAGGTTGAGAAGATTGAACTGAAGAAAAAAGAAAAAACATAAAGGAATCGAGAATTGAAAGAATCATGAAGGATGTAAACGACAACTAATGGAAGATGTGCAAATGAAGTATTTAATTTACGAAGACACCCTGTAAATATAAAATGGTTATCCGCACCATGTCTTCGTTCACTACACATATATGAACTATAATGCTTTGATATTTTAATTTATATCAAACTATAAAAAATATGGCTACACAATCATGCTTAAATATAACAAGGATCAAATTTGTACAGCCTTAGATTTTATGAAGAGGAAGAGATAGATTAATTTTAAAGGAGTGAAAGAAACATACAGATGGATCGAGAAAAAAAACTTTTAAAGATAAATAAGTTATATAAATATTATTAATGTTTAATTTATAGAGATAATCAATAGAATAGAATTTTTAATCGGATTGAATTGGTAACGTTGTACAACAGTTAATGGAACCATAACAATCATTTTTATTAATCTTGACTATTCATGACATAAAAACAAAATTACAAAGAGAATAGATAAATCCGTTAATTAAACTTACACATATTCACTAACTGTTCAACAAGTTGAGCATAAGTTAATTCATTACGATCATTTTCACTTAGATTAGGTAATGGTAAACAAAGTTTATTCTCATGAGTTAATAAGGGTACATTCAAATAATGAAATAATACAATAGAAGGATTCTATGAAAAGAAAACACAGCAAAAATGTTGGTTTATTAATTAAAATTAGTAGTAATAATAGCCAGTGAACAAGTGGATTCAATGAAAATTGATGTTTTTTAGGAGAAAATGGCTATATTTCTGTATTACGTACTGACTAAATCACTGAATTAATCATTATTATGTCTAAAACCAATCGATAAAATGAATTTTCATCGACTGAGGTGGTTGAAAAATGTATGATATGTATCATTTACTGTTTCACTGAGCTATGTTAGTAGATGCAGATTATCTGATTGGGGTCCGCGCGATTACTGTGACCAATGGTTGGAGACGTTCCGTTATGAAGCTAAAAATCGATCGCAGTGGTGGAGATGCACTCATTCTTCGGCTTCATTAGATTTTGAGCTGGAAAATTATCACCCATTGTTTTGTGACCTTTATTTCCATTTATAAATATGCACTAGTTAACTGACAAGTAATTTATCAAACTATTGTGATTGAATATGTTGAGCATGAATTACAGCTTAAATTCACTTATAATGGAGCAGTGTATCAGTGGTGATGATGTACGAATTTCAACGGGTTTGAATCCCTCCCCAATTAATTTGGTCTAAGTAATCGAGTATTAGTACTAACCCTCAGATTAGGAGTGTGGTTCGAAGTCATGTACATTAATCAGTACTTGGTAAATGAGCTGAGCATATATATATATATATATATATATATATATATATATATATATATATATATATATCGATTAGTGATTTTGTGTTTTGTAAAATAATTGGAAATCAGTCAGTCAGTAACAACGTAGAACTTTGTACGTACGTACATCAGTTCGAGTAGTTTACACCTACCAACATGACTCAGTCCACTTGTCAGTGACTTCGTGAATTTGTGCCACGCTTCGATCGGGCCGCTTCTAGCTTTCTTCCAACCTACTCCTACACCATAAAACATCGCACGTCGGGGCAGTGGGTGGTTGGGAATACGTAACACGTCCCAGCCATCTCAACTGATGAAGTTTTACTACTTCATCAATTTATTTAATTGGGAATAGGAAAATCGATTTCGTGAGCACATCATTAGTTTCGCTATGCCAGTAATTATAATATTTTGTCGAGTCAACAATGTCATGAAAACGATCTGTTTATAACATAGCATGAAAGTTATTACAACGGTTGAAAAATAATGTTTTTAAATGAAAAACCGGAATAAATTATTATTAATTAACGTGTGCATGTAAAATAAATATACACCGGTAATATGATATTCAATCGGATAAAAATGGATTATAACTTACAAATCTTAATGAATAGGTTCGTCGATGAAACGTAGAGATTAAAGCGGAATGTGCATAGTTGGCGATAATACACTGGAAAATATACCGAATTAGAGAGAAAAACATTATTATCTATTAGTGAATCAAAGTAAAAACACTTGGAATAACAGACGTTTCTACTTTAATTGACAGATTCCGTAAAACAAATTACATGATCAATAAAAATAGGACATAGTACAATAAATAGGTACAATATTAATGCAACATTTATAGTGACAACTAACTCTGTAAATTATCAGTCATCCTTAATTCCTAGGAAAAGTATCCAGAAGATAAGAATAACGTGGAAAATACTTATCAATTAGACGTGCTAAGAATCTTCTAAAAAACTTATAAAGCAATTCTTTAGGCTTTTATTTAATAATAAATGAATAATTTGAAAATTTGTTAACAATTTTATTATCCTTTCTAAAAACCTCTCGAATCGCCAGGTCCCCTTCAGTTTTATATATACCCCTGTTTTCTGTACAGAAACTATCCTCGAAGTAGGCCTGGTTTAATATTCCTCTCCTCCCATTTTTTATTCAGAGTCCAAGTGTGGAAGAAATAGGTCAGTAATGGACATACGAATGATAGCATTTGTAACGTCAGCTGCTGTGAAACTGGTGTGAATACTAAAAGTAAATCTGGGAATCAATTTTTTTAATTAGAACGCAATTATATACATCTTCATTCCGTATGTACCCGTGCAATCATACATGAAACTTATCATGTCAGCATAACATTTGTAAATATGTAATAAATCCTCCTATGAGCTAAAAACATTTCTCATCATAAGAAATACATTTTGCACATATTTCCTAAATCTTATTGAAACTTGCTAGGATAATCCATTAAGCGTTCCATGATGTTGGAAAGTGTCTTTAAACTACATTTAGTCAAACAGTCATCTGGAAAAAAGTCATTACACTGACCTCGATCCCTTGAACTTTAAGGACCATGTGAACTTCTTTAGTAGTACGTCGATTTGGTTTCTTTTTCCATAAATAACCATCTTGTTTACGTGCTACGGTGGCCAATTCTCGTCGATAAAAAATAATAGAACCATTTCTAGGACTGTTTTAAAATATTTCAATGAATAATAGTAAAAAAATCTAAAAGACATGAAGCAATATGAAATTACTAATATTAAAATTTTCTAACAGCCTGATTATCCTCATAGATCGAAGTGAATTCTTCAGTAGTCTACAGAATATATTCTATAAATGCCTATGAAAAGGTGACAGACCGTGTATACGTATTTCGAAAGTAAAAATGAATGAAAAACAAGTAATGGATTTGTGTTTTTAGGCACAGTTTTCCCTTAAAAAAGTGATTAACAACATTAACCAGTAATTTAACTAAATTTTGGAAAGGTCCTTCCTTCCGTCACATATCAAATAAAGTAACGACTAAGATGGATTAGATTCGACAAAGCTCAGAACTTATGTTTACGTATGATGGAAAATATGAGGCAGGTCAAACTGTTCCAGTTTTAATTTGTAATAAAACCTTTTCTGCATGACAGTAATATAATTGAACATTCGACTATAATTCAGTCAGTAATCTAGGAGTCATGGCTACAACATGATTTTTTTAAAATTAACTCCCTAATTATTTGAATACTGAACAATAACATTTCTCAAATGTGTTTAAAATGGTGAATAATGAGGTGTTAGGTTGTCAGATGGCTGGAAGAAATCAGTAGAAAGTTTTATGTTATTTAGTACTGGTTAGAAAAACAAATACACAAGCTTTGGATAAATAATGCTTTTTGTGGAATTTGAATCTATACACCTAAGCAGAAAGACTGAATTGTGATTAGTAATATAAGCTTGTGCGACTACAGAGTATTGTCCCTGCTTACATAATATATACAGATGACATACTTAAACGGATCTTATTTCATTCAGTAGAATTTATTAACATTATAAAAGTACTTACCGAACTTGAATAACTGATGAAAGCCAGTTAGGGTGTACACATGCTCCTAGCAAAAGCTCAGCAACTTCCTTTTAATTTAAAAAAAGGATTATTCGAAAATGAACGTTTTAAAGACAGTAAACAATTTTTACACATAACCATATCCTCAAAACACACGAAAACAATTCTTTAGTATAACACGTAATTAACTAACTGCTTTCGTTTCTTTCAAAAAAATATTTGACAATAGACGTCTGTTATAATCACAAAAGAGGTGGTTATGAATGCTTAAATAATAATAATAATTATTATTATTTATTCAATATTATATTTCGGTACAATATAGAATTCTCGGCACAGATGAAAATATTTATTATCATCCACAGGCTGTGGTTTCTTTAAATAATAAATCATCAGTCTGGCATTTGTTCTTTGAAAACATAAACTTGTTAACTTAGTGACAAGAGCCATTTGTTATACTGATAAAACTATAATGGTATAAATTTGACATTCCAAATGTAGGGAAACTTCAGTGGAAAGCAATTAACTCATGAAGATTATGTCACTTATTTATCTTTTCACATACAAGTATGAGCTAAATAGTTATATATATAGTCCAAAATAGATACAAGTTAGACACTTTCACGTTGATCTGATCGAAAATCACCTTAAAAACTGACCACCTGTCCATTGAACAACCTCGTAAGCCAAGCTTGTATCTGGCAAAATTACACATTCCATCGAAATAAAAAAGTTCGCGAACACTAAACAATCAGGATTATCACACTTAACAATTAAGTATATAAGTAATTAGCTTTGTAATTAAATTAAATTCCACATACCTTTTGATTGCACCAAATAAGTTTACGTGCTATACAAACGAAGGAATCACAAGATTGCTTAAAGGTTGTGGAATATCGGATGAACATTGATTAAATGCTAAAACGTTATTATTACTATTACTGCTGTTATTGTCACCATGATGTGTAGTGTTAATAGCAGAAACACTACTTTTATGAATGTTATTATAACTGATTGGCAGATAATCTGGTGAAAATTCACTAGATTGACTTTTCATGTGGAAAAATACATTTTTTACAATAAAAATGTAATCCAATCGTTTCTCCAGGTGAATAAATAGATTGATAGCGATAAGTAAATAAACGAGAGATAGTCACAAAAATATGTGACCATATATAGCACCTATGGGTAATGATCCCAACGAATATTGAATCAAATCTAGGACTAGAAAATAACAATAACAATAACTGAATTGAATTTTAAGTAAAGATAAACTATAAAAATGGGCCAAAAGAACTTAACGAACAACAAATTACATAGTTCAATATTGAAATAAACATTTACGTTAATTAAAAGAACTGGACATCTGATTCATCTTTTTAAGGTGATTATTGCGAATACTACATACGATAATAAAAAAACATACAAAATAAACAATACAATACATCGTTACTTACATGTCCTAATATAAAGTCTGGAAATGGTTCACTTAAAAAGCCTACGTTTGTACTACCGAAGAATTTGGCAGTAGAGTACTATAAACAAAGATGGTTGCGTAGGTTAAGTGAAATCAACAATGGGGATAAGATTTATCTCTATCCACTAATATTACTTTTAATGAAATATTGACTTAAAATAGTAACAGCTTCAAAGTGTAAGAGAGGTTATAAACAGACAACATTAAGAACGGTCGAAACTCACTGCAGTACACAAACTATACGAAAAAATCGAGAAACTCAAGTTATCGGTCCTCCCTAGAAATGGCTATCCCAGGAACTTCGTCAAAGTATATCCGGTGAATCGACATATCGTAGAGAAATCAACCCAGAAATCCAAGAAACATGTCACCATATTATATACGAAAAAATTTCGAAACGACAATAATTCTGAAACCTTCCCAGCCAGCATCTCTCACAAACCAACGCGATTGCTCCAGTCCCATTCATGCAGACTGAAAAAGCGCGATATCAGTCATTTAGTTATATGTGATATAAAAACGACATCAAAAGAAGACAAATCCAACATTTCCAAAACAAACTGCGCCAACAGTAAGGAACACCATCCAGGACATACATAACACGCCTTCACTTACACAAACACGAACATTAATTAGTGGTGAAGCGATGTGTTGTAAAGACTAAAATCAATACGCATAGACAACCATGAACACGTACTTGACTAAAATGTCGTGAATACGGATCAATAGAGTTCTGAGAAAATGAGTTTCTAAAAGCACGATAGTTAGGTTAGTTGGCAGCCGATAGGCACCGATGTGGATCCAATCTATCAGAGTCCAACTGAACAAGACAATCAGTAGAAATGCAAGGACATGTGAAAATACCAATTTATAAACAACGGCATCAGAATAAACTTATTTAGTATTGGCGGAACAAATGAAAAGTCTTGATGATTTTGCTTAGAACGATAAAAAAAGCTTAACATTTAAAACATTTATCTACGAAAACATAACGTCAATAAAAATATCCACTTGAGCCCATCGTTTTAATATCTGAGATTGTTATTTCGTTTTTAATACATTTTTTTAGAATCCCAGACGATAAAAGTTTGTAAAAATGCTTGAGATGTGTAAATGTTGAAAAGATCTCTATATCCAAAAAGTAGTAGCCGTTGTAGATAATATCGGCCAAGAGTTTGATAAACAGAGCCTGGAAATTCATCACTGAACCAAGTGAAAAAGGAACTGAAATGAATTTAGTTATATCCACTTTGATCAGTCAGTCAGTCAGCTACAACGTAGGACCAGGCACATGTATGCATCGGTCCAGGTTGCCATACCTCATTAGCACAGCAAGATGAACACCGGATTCATAGGAGTGGTTAGGTCAAAGGTGGTAATATATAGGAGAAAGATTGCAAAAAGGATATAGTATAGGAAGAAAGACTTAGTTCGTAGAAAGAAAGACGTGAAGTGATCTTAATCTCTTAGTTTAAGGGAAGACAGAGAGTGTATACACCGACGCCATTGTGATCGATTCTGAGGCATGTCACCAAAGGTCTCCAATCATTGGTTACGAAAGTCACGTGGACCCCAACCAAGTAGTCTGCATCTACCAACATGGCTCAGACTAGAAGTTAGTGACTTCAGGCACTGATGCCAAGTTTTGGTTTGGCCGCCCCTAACTTTCTTCCAACCATCCCCTACACCGGTTAGCATTGCACGTCGCGGTAATCGGTGTTCAGGCATACGTAATACGTGGCCCAACCATCTCAGTCGATGAAGATTCACAACATCATCAACTGATTTACCATTATTCCCTAATACCCTGCGTCTAACCTCACTAATTACTTACCCGGTGATCCCAGCAGACGCCAGCAATATTTCTAAGGCATTTGTGGTCAAATACTAGTAGCTTACGGGTGTCTTCTACTCTTAAGGGCCATGTTTCGCTGCCGTAAATTAAAACAGAACGAACAGCCGCGCAGTATACTCGTCCTTTTATTGATAGACGGATATCTCGCCTCCGCCAAAGGTGACGTAAGTTGGCAAAAGCCAAACGAGCTTTTACGAATCCGTGTTGAGATTTCGTCAGACACTAACCCATTAGGGCTGATCAGACTTCCCAGATAAGTGAAGTTGTCAACGCGTTCGACTACTTCACTCCCTATCCTTAGTTCAGGTGTTAACGCAGACCAGTCCTGAAGCAACAACTTGCATTTAGAGGGAGAAAAGCGCATCCCAAACATTCTGGCATTGTTGCTTAGTGCTACCAGAAGACTCTGCATTTTGTCAGCGTCTTCACCAAACAGGACTATGTCATCTGCATATTCTAAGTCGATAAGTGGACCTCCTGGAAGGAGATCAATACCCGAGAATTCAGTCGACGAGAGTATTATTTCCATCATGGTGTATTAAAATACTAATCACTATCTGGAGTACTACAAATGTAAGTACTTATCATTAAATAAATGACAATATGAGCATCAAGAAAAAGGGTTTGCTGGGGAGTTCTATTTTTGTGGGTATTATATGCTCCCTATTATAATCATGTGCCAGTTAGTAGATGGTCATCATTAACCTAGGGTTTGGCATAAGTGTACGTCACACCACTTTACCATACTGCATTAACACGAGATGAAATTAACAAGATGAGTATCATAGGAATCAAAATAATGTAGTACTGGGAGACTAAATATTGAGAATGATTCAAAAATAAAAAACTAAAAGGCATATACATAAAAGAATTTCGGGACTAAAGATCTGGAGGAAGACAAAGGGTGAATGGGTTGTGTGGTCATGGACAATTCTAAGGGAATTCACCTAACGTCTTCAACTACTGATCACAGTTAACTCATGGACCCCAAGAAAGTAGTCCGCAACTACCTACATGCCTCAAATCAACAGTCATAGACTTTATTTCTTGATTTAGTCACCCTTAGCTTTCTACTAACCTACTCATAAATCAGCTAACATCCCTTGTCGAAGCAGGTGATGCGTAAAGAATACGTAATACATGTACTAACCACTTCAGTCGATGAAGATTTATAACTTGGACGACTAATTCGAGTAGACAGCCTTAAAATGTATTTGTTTATTTGGAGACTTTTCAATAACAGAAATTGCTGTAAAACCATCTGGTAAACGAAATTGAACGATACCTTAACGTCGAGAAGTACAACTAAAGTGGGGCGTTGGTAAATAAACTTATTTTCTAAAATCGGATGGAGAACAAAAATTTGGTCAATGCACCCACGTTCATTTCTGAAAACAGACTGCTCTTCCCAGGGTCGTTCTTCACCAGCGCTAGTTGAGCGTCTGCTAATCATGGAGACTAGTATTTCAGATACTATATTGGTCAGACTGATTCCTATATGATTGTTATGAGACGATTTCTGCACTCTTTTAAAAACTGGGACGATCAGTCATCGATACCATTTAAATAGGATTACATCTATTTCCCGAAATCTAGCTATTATCTTAGACATCTTATTCGCTGCAACTGGAAAACCACCTGTGAATATCTCTGGAGTTAATCCATCATGGTCCACTGCTCTCTTTAACTTTAAAATGGATATAGCCTTTCCAATCTCATTAAGAGTTGAAGGACTTGTGTCGATTTCCCATTCAAGTTGTTTGGAGATATCGGGTAACTGGAGGCTAGTTGGACTGTTCCTCAAAGTGTTTTCCTCATAGGTCTAATCTCCTGGACTGGGAGTAAAGAGGAACCGTCTTTTTCCGATAGTCCTAATACCTGTTTTCTTGATCAATCGGAATAGTTGTCTAATATTATGTATAGTCCCTTTTCTATCCCTTTTGGATTTATCATTCACCACTGACCGCGATAATCTGTAAAACGTCTTGTTAGTTTACGCTTAAATTATCGTCACTCTTCGTTTTTCTTCGAGCCTAGCTACATGGGTTTTCGAACATCTATCAATTCAGTAGGTGATACTAAAATCCAAAGATCTTTCGCAAGCTTTTGATATGAGCTGTTGGTAGATTCCACAGCTATCTTTACAGCTAGATGTGCATTTACCCAAGCTTCTTCAGGATGAACCGTTTTTCTACGATCGACTGGATGCTTAGCTAATTCTTTCCTGAATGCATCCCTGACCTTCACATTTCCGGATTGATATCTGAAGGATCTTTCTGTTTTGACTTGCCTATATTCAGTAAAAATGCATAGAAATACGTGTTTTAGCTATGGCATGATCGGAGTCTATCCAGATACTGTAGGAGTGAAAATCTACAAAGCCTGTCCAAAGACGGTTGACAGCAATCGAATGAGTCCAGTGATGTGCTAATATTTCGGGCTTCCAGATGAAATAATATCTCCCTCTATGCCAAAGGCTTGTACTTGTTAGGAATAATAGATTATCTGAGGATAATTGCAGCAGATGGTCATCATTACTTGCTTACGGACCGCGAACACTATGAGACCAAACTAATCCTTTTTTCAGTATGACATGGACGTTAAAATCATTTGCTAAGATCATCAATTCCGAGAGCCTAGTTTTTCTGTAGGTTCTAATGCTTTTTGGTAAACTTCACTTATTGCAGTTGGCGGGGACACAGACAGAGACGATAAAGAGGTAATGACATGTCTCTGTCTTTTCAAGTTTTCACCGTGCTATTTGTGACAGACGGAGCATAAGCGACTATCAACAGGGATCTAGACAAGACGTATTTGTTCTGTCTTCAGACTTGGTGCTATATTTGTACTATCAAGGCCATGAGAAATTTTTGTCACGTCTTCAGATACAAGAAGGGCACATTGTGTTGGCTCTTTATATTAACTACACTAGATTAAGTGAAGGACCACACTACGATAGGTGTCTTAAGACAAAGCATATATCAATTTTGGAACCCTAAAAAATATAGCTTGTAGTGGTCAGATACAGTAATGTCTGATCGACTGAGACAAAATAGCGAGGAACAGCTTCTGGAGTTTTGAATTTGTGCTCGCATCCGCTCAGTCTTCAAATAATCGTCTATTTTTAATGCTCACTACTTATGCATCTATTCGGAAATCATCTAATGAACTATCTCAAACTATTGAAACCTGCAAAATTTTATCTTAATATTCACGAAAAAATCAATATGAGAACTCGCTACAGTAACTGCTTTATTGCTTACTGTTTACAGGCTTTCATACATATAAAAAGCATTGATATAGGGCACGTAACAGACCTATGAAAGTTTCGATGATATACAAAGTTCCAATCCCTGAAGGAAATTGTGATAACGCAAAATCCAAATTAGGTCTGAGAATTATTATGAAGACTTTGGAAATCGAAAGCAAATCTAATAATAAAAGAGCTCATGGGCCGAACGTTCTATGTATGATTAAAGTGGAGTTCAAGAATACTGACACAAACACTTGCGCATTGAAAGTAGAAATTTTGTGCCGTTTCTTCTGGTAAACATGATATGAGCAAAACTTATTATACAGTCGTAAACAGATATACGCCTGGAAATCACTTCTTTCGTGTAAGCTGAGAGTCCGAGGTGTCTAGCCTTAAGACAAAGAAGATTTGTAGGCGGGAAGTTCACATGAATGCTTCCAGTTGTTACGTACGATTAACATAACCATAGTACGACGGGAAATAGATACAACTTAATGCCATTTTTCAGAGATCGTGATCTTAGAAACTACCTAAAGACGTAGATACTTGCAAGTAATATGCTGAATGCTAAATACACAGAACTGACAATAGTTAAACTGGTTACGTACTCAGACAACCTGGCAACTAAAAGCACTTTAAACCTGAAAAACATTTTGAGAGGGTCCTTTAACATTGATTTTTTAAAATACGATACTGGATAATTACCCAACCTCATATTACTGGATAAGACGGTGATGGTGTGAGAACGGTAGCAGAAATTTTTTACAAAGTTTATCTTTATTACTATTTTTAATATTGACATATTTGGTCTGCACATTGATGATTATTCACCACTGGGAACACCCGAAATACCGGATAACACCTACGAATTTGTCAACAAAATCCTAACATAAAAATGGAGTTTTTCGGTCTAATATCGAGTTAAAACCTATTAAAACTGATCATGGAATATGACACGTCTGAAAGTTACTGGAACAACATACTAACGCTATCATCAGTTTGAACAACAGACTTTGAGCACCAGGGTGTTTTATTCTAGAAATCAATGGCTTGCGTAAAAGGAACGACTATTAAAATTTAGATACTCACCTGACTAACTTGATAAATAGAAGTGCAAAAAGAACCAACAGATTTTACACCGCCTAGCAAGAATTAAAAGACAAAACACATATTCACAGACACCAAACAGAACGAACAGTTCGAAGAAACATAAAAGCAATTATAGCCATGAGGGGAAGAAAAGAAAACGAGTCAACTGCAGCAACGCAACGAGTAGCGAGTACACTGAATACAGCGGTTTTATTGTGCACATATTTTAAAGTATACGCTCAAAAAGTACTACTAAATTTGTTTTTAGGTAAAACGTCTATATAGGTTGTATCGTCTCCTTCGTCTAAGCACACCCAATGGTTTCTTTCTTCTTGGCCAATAGTGTAGGTCCGAATCAACTGGATCATAGTAATCATAAGGATCAGGTTGATAGGCGTCCCCATATGGCTGTTAACTCCATCATCACCATATTTGTACGGAGGTGGAATTTCTCTCAACCATCTTGGAACATAACTACCGATGTACGGCCTTTGATAGGGCTTAGGATATAAATATTTACGAAATATTTCCGGATGATGTAAGGCTAAGTATGACAGGACAGATTCTACAGTTTGCTGAGTAAGTGTGGCAGTTGGAGAAACTGAAGACCCTGATTTTACACCTGGTGTAACTGGTAAAGCTCCACCTGGGAATCCAACATTTCCTGGCTGTGTGACAGATGGAGTACCCCCAGGGAAAGAAGCAACAATTATGTTGTCTGATGGTGAGCTGATACCGGGTACAATTCCTTTCCCAGGGGAAACAGTAGGAAAATAACCTGGAAATCCATATTGTGGACGATATGATGGGAAGATTCCAACAACTGAAGATGCTGGCTGGATATTTGAGTTTCGAGCTCCAGCTGCAAAATCTTCACCCCTGTATTTTCTGCACTTACAGAAACTGTACTTTGAACAGGTGTTGGTACTTGAGATGAATCAGATGCAGCTATTGCATTTGGACCCATTTGAGTAACTTGAATAGAATCACCAGGCACGACATTAGTATATCCCATCCCAGAATTCATTCCATTCGAATCGGTTAACTCCATTTGAATCTGTCCGTATGTAGCACATAGTGTTATGGAATTAACAAATAATTGAAAAATAAAGTTAACTGTTAATTTTCGAATGATATAAACAACTTTCATCTTGATGTTTAGTGGGAATAGTACTTTAATTTAAATGAAGTGCATTTATGAGCTCTAATCAGTGAATAAATTGTTTAGCCCATAATTTAAGTGATTGTGATTAGTGTTTATACGATCCATCAAATTTGAGATTGGTTGAATTATATAGTGATCACAGTTCATATTGATTTAATTGTTATTTAAGTCATTTGCTTAATACTAAACTCAAAAATGGAGATTTTGATTGTTCAAACAGGAGGTGAAGTCAAATTAAATTGTAACTGATGCGCTTCCAGGTACAATAGATAAGTGTTATCCTAAAAATATTGGGGGTTATGCCTTTGAAATTGGCAATAGTTATGCCATGGAGATTTGCAGTAGATACACATTGCCGGATTACATAAAATTTCAGCTCACCAAACCATTTTTAAAGGACAGTTTAGAAATCTCAATGGAAGATAGATCCGAACTTATTAATTTATTAATTGATACTCAGTTTGAGAAGGTGACATCCAAATAAGCAGTTAATAATTTTTCTGGTTATTGAAGATACTTATCACTCATGGAACGGATACAATGATTGAAACTGCACAGTATTTAACTAATTATGAAGAGAAACTTAAAAGCAAATGTATTGTGATAACAGGTACATTGTCTAGTTTATTTTTTTGACGAACGTATTGAAAAGATTTTATCCGTTGATTGACTCGGAGAATTTCATTTTTCTACTAACAAGTGGTCTTTGACATGTGCGTGATATATAAAGTTATTCAGGGATTGTGTTTCAGTTAGTGACCTTTATCAACTTCACATTCTCTATAAGTTTGCTAGAATATAATCATTATAGTAATTATTAGCATAAAAGTATGATTTTCAGTCCAATGTGAGAAAAGGACATCAATATGATGAACATTCATGATTTGCAACCCTTATTTACTCATATTCATAGAATGTAATGTCATTTTGCTATGGATGATGAAGTTTACCTAGCAATTATGGTTTTGTACTTGGCGTTGTGATTCATATTTATATTAATGAGAATGAGTGCCTTCATCAACAAGGTGCTGCTAAAAGGGTGTACGCGATGTCACATTGAGGGATAAGTCTTCGAAAACACCACAGAGGTTAAATAATTTGACTGTTCAGATTTTGAACCATACAGCCATACCTCATGTACGAGATGGAACCTGTTTATATTATGTTACGAATCGACAAGCTCACAGAGTAAGATTTTTTAAACATTCGTCGCATTTGTTAGTAGATCGGAATAATAACTGGGTACTATATATATATAATTCAAGCTTCTGTAATGTAATTCTGTCTTTCGTTTAAAAGTGACGATACATATTGACATCATACAAACACTACTTTATCTGTTCATTATCCATACAAGTATGTAGTGTCAAAGTGTAATTTAAATGCAGTATAGTAGCTGATATTTATTATTTTTAAAATCATACGTGCTCACTGGTATCTAAAGCGTTGAGATTTCTTCTCATTTTGCTAAATGGCCCATCTCTTAGAAATAGTAATTTTAAATTTCTCTTCTTTGATAACTGAACTGTTAATTATAGATTGCATTGGATTTAAGATCAGTTATTTTAATAACTTAAACAAGTGTACTAATGTGGTAAATCAATTTCACATGCGATGTCTCTTGATTTTCCACCAATATGGTCACTTCAGTCATGATTTGACAAAAATGTACATCCCCTATAATCGCCCCACCACCATCAGTAAAATAAAGTCAATAAGATACCTAAAGAGGGCAACAAATAATAACAGTACCAATCATACTGTTGTGCTGTTTCAAATATATATATATATATATATATATATATATATATATATATATATATATATATATATACATCGAGTTATTTGCAGAGTGACTGCTAATCATAAAAAGTAAACTACCGTTTCGTTTGTAGAATCACATTTATTGAGATCTGTAGTTTGTTCGCTTAAACTGCATTAATTTAAGTAAACCTAATCAGTGCTGGAGAGCAGTACTGGTGAATTGACAACATGAGTGAAGTGTAAAACTCATACAGACTTAATTCTCTAGTAGCATTGTAAAAGAAACAAGCGACATAACCCAGCCATATTAATTCTCAAGAAGTCCCATTTGTATACTCTTCACTTGATTTAGTCTTCGAGTTTTTAAAAAGTAATTTAAGATTTCTTAACTCGATTTACGTTACTAAAATCCACAACTTTCGATCTAGGTGCTTTTCGACCCGGTGTATTCAAAAATACAGATGCCGACTTCAACGTAGCATTTGCAATTGGTGGGCTGATAATGTCAAAGAAGCCAGGAATTTTCATAGCAATGCATGGTCAGTTCTACCAGCCAAGTGAAGTTGTTCGTGATGGAGAAACAGGGACTTTTATTCCAATCGGAAATGAAAAGTGAGAGCCATCAGAGCATAACCTAGTATACAATTGTTAGATTCTAGTTAAACGTTCACCAGAGAAATCAACTTGCTACTGTTTTCATTTAAAATAGCATAGATTGATCATGAACAGCGAACTATCGATACAAGTTTGGGAATTCTAGATGCACTTAACGAGATAATACATTTGTTTTTTTTCCTTTGTATTATTACTATCTTTCTTGATGCTTCCATTTAAGGATATTTCTTAAAATCTGCTATTATCAGCATGGAAATTTCTCTTAGATTTTATGGGATAGTTATCAAGAAGCAACATTTTGTGTTTTCGTCGCTTGGTTTTTTTAACCTCTAGTTTGAGATCGAAATCACTTTTCATCCATAGATTTATTTTCAAATAGATATTTTTTGACATCAAAAGGCTTAAAGTAACTTCTTGCATGATTCAGATAGGAACAATGCTTAGGAAACCTGAGTAAAAATGACTATTCTTAAAATTTGAAATGGTACTTCAAACAGCAGTAACTGGAATCACTGAACAGAATATGGTTGGTAACTTAAACTAAATACATTTCTATCGGCAAAGATTAACATGCATCCATAGTCTCGGTGAAACGCTTGACCTAAAACCAATCTTGAAAATGCAATTATAGCTTTAGCTATCGAGACAAACGACAATATGTCACGATAACCAACTATTTGTTTTAGAGCATTAACAACAACTACATTAACTTGTTCAGAAACGAGGTCAAAAGAAAAACAAAAACCAATGATGAAGTGCGATGCATATCATGTATTCCATACAAAACTCGACACTTAAATGAATCGAAGAAAACCGTGAATAATTGGCAATGCAATTAAAAAAGAATGAAACAAACTGGGAATCACCTATCATAATTTCGAAAATAGATTGGTTTTGGATTTCGAAAGCGAACAAGCAGAAGCATAACAAACAAGCAAAAACAGTTGGAAAGTTTAAGACAACTAGTGGTTAGTGAAGTAAAGGGATGAAACTGAATAACGAGGTGGACAGAGAAAGGAACAGGAAAAAATAAGACAGAAGAAACAAATATGAGTGGAACATCCAAACGGTAACAGAGGTGACATTAAAGTATCTCGAATAAATAGTAATGATATTAGGGGATCAATAGCAATGTATTTAGAAAAAACCTCCAACCGAACAATGTGCATGAAATTTTAAATATGTATGATTTCGTGACGTATGCAAACTAACACGTATGAATTCCATGATACTTAATTTGAAAACGCTTTGAAAGTGGCGTTGATGTCTGTCATAAATAAGAGAATCTTGTTCATGTCATAAAAAAGTTACATAGCTTTGCAGAAGTCGGAAGACCTCAGAAAAATGACAGATACAATATCACAGGCTATTTGAGAAAGCAAAGATGAATTTAGTTTTGAGATGAAGTGTTCTGAAGGCAGATTTTGAATAAATTTGAATACTTTTTAGTTTATACACGCAATAAAACAAAACTAAGTTGGATGTGTTTATATTATGGTTTGTTTGTGTATCGAGGCACTGGAAAATCGCAATATGGATGAATATGAAAGATTAGTACATTTCCAGGATAATTCCAAGCAAAAAGGTGCAACAGGTGACAAAGGATGATATCTATGAAACTCAAGTCAAGAATAAATCACAAAATCATTTTAGATGAAGTAAGCAGGTACATAATAATAGTAGTAATAATAAATAATATCAAACACAACATTAACTAAAGTCAGTCGGAGAGAAAGACTATAAGGAAGACAAGCGAACGTTTGAAACGACCGGTCCGACATAAAAATGACTGAAATAACTGACAACAAATGAAAAAAATGACATTAGGTAGCTTTGGGTTCACAATGAAATGGGTGCATTTGTTTCATTTGTATGATGATTACGTGGAATTATTTTAAATATGAATGTGAATGTCGTAAATACGAATGGTCGAGTTTCCTATTATCTTATTTAACTGTGAAGAATAAAGGATGAGCAAACGTAGTAAAAAAACGATGACGATAATAATGATGAACGTCACGTCAAAAATGAAGACAAAACATGGCACAACACATGGTTCCATGTATAAAGAAAGAGATATAACAACTCTGTGACTTAAAATTCTTATTCTCCTTTGTAGAAGGCACACGAACAACAATACGTTGAAATAATATAGCAATATTAATAATTGGAAAGACAAGAAAAACGGGAAAATCTAAACCAAAATAAAAACACGAAATAAAAAAGCACTACTCACAATTATTTTTGAATTGCAAAGCCGAATAGTCATAATGTAGATGAGGATGTGCGTTGAGAGAAAAAGCAAGTTAAATTTTACATTAAGATAAGTGAGTGATGATGCGATGACAACAAAGACAATGGAGTCGAGGTATTTTTTTAGTGAGTATAGTATAGATCAAGTAGTAATAAATTCAAGGTTAAGTGCCACAGAAACATATACACACACAAAGTTAGATGCCTATAAATGTTATAAATTCCATAAACTATTCGTTCGACTAGTGTCATTATTTATGGAAGCTGTACTACAACAAATTCCGTTCTTTTTATTATGCTCTTCACCTACACTCCCATCCGAAACTCGGCGAGGTATTAAACCATTAGCAGAA